TTATTTTAACTTTATTTACTTTTATTTAAATATTATTTCCTTTTATTTAAATATTATTAAACTTATTTTAATTTAATTTTAACCTTTTAAATTATTTTTATTACCCTATTTAATAACCTTTACTTTAATTATTTATTTATTATAGAAAGCTAATAGACTTAAAAATATTAAATTAATAATAAAAGGAAAAGAGAAGAAGAGGTAATAAAGATGAAAGATATATTATAAGTTTTATAATTAAAATATTTAAAAATATTATTTAAAAGACTATTATAAAGAAGATTACTATTAATAATAAAAACTAGTTAAGTAACAAAAATTAACTTAAATATATTATTAAAAAGTACAATAAATATTAATAATTAATACTAATAAGTATATTACCTTAAAACTATATTTAGTATAATAGTAACCTATTTAAAAATATTAAAGTAATATTTCTTAATTAAAAATAAATAAGTAAGGCATTAAAATAATAAACTTATTATTAAACCTCTTTAAAAGTTATTAAATATTTAAATAATTTTATTAAAAGTATAAATATTATAAATATATTAAATTAAAAGGAAATATTATTAAATATATAAACTATTTATACTTAAATATTAAAAATAAATATTATAAAAGCTTTATAAAATTAACCCTTATATAAGAATTTATATTTAAATATTATACTTTAAAACTATATAGTATTAATATATAACTTTTACTTTAATTTTAGGATTATAAATAGTTTAATAAAATAATTTTTCCTTTAACTTAAAGTTAATTCTCTTTAAGTATAATAATATATTCCTCTCCTAATTAATTTTAAATTTAGTAAAAATAAGAATAATTCTTTTAGTAAAATAAAAGACTTTAATTAAAAGTAATATTATTTTATATTATATTATTTTTATAACTAAAATTATTTTACTATAATTATTAATAATAAAATTAAAATATAATATTATATTATAATATAATAACTATTATAAACAAGCTTTTAATAGTATTTAAACTAAATATACTAAATTTCTAACTATAATTAGTAGGCTATAGATTACCCTCTTATATAAAGGGCTTAAGTAAATTAATTCTAATTTATATAGGCTACTTATTTTAAAAATAGTATATTATATCTTTTATAAATATATAGGTAATATAACTAAAGTTAAAGAAAATACTTTCTTTATTACTTACTTTATAACTAATATTTTTAATAAAAGATTATAAACTTAAATAAAAAAGCTATATTATAATAGTAAAGCTATATAAAATATAGTTACTATATTTTAGAAGAGTTTAATAGTAATAATAAAAGGTATATTATACTATAAAAGCTCCTATTAATAGTAACCTTCTTAATATAAGTTTTATATAACTAAAAGTTTATAATAAAATAATATTTTAAAAGCTTTTATATATTATAAAATAAAATTAATTAAAAATATAATAAATATTTATACTTTATTATTAATATAATTAACTTAACTATTAAATAAATTAAATTTATTATTTATATACTAAAATTAATAATAAAAAGATTTAATAGTTATTTTAAATTAATAATTTAATTATAAATAATATACTTACTATAATTAAAAAGTTTTAAATAAATAAAGTATTAATATTTAAATTATAATTAACTTTAATAATAATATTATAAACCTATTTAATAATAATATAATAAAAAGTACTATTTTATTCTCTTATATATTAACTATAACTTATATTTTAATATATATTAAACTATTATTAAACCTTATAAAAACTAAAAGAAAAAAGTACTTTTATATTAAAAATAAATATATTTATATTATAATACTAAATAACTATCTTAAAATAAATAATAAGTTATTTTTTATAATACTATTAAATTATATTAAGAAATATTATATTTATAATAAATATTTTAAAAAAGATTTTAAAATAAAAATTATAATAAAAGTTTAATAAAATTAATAAAAATAAATATATAAACTATATTTTTAACTACTTTAAAGGTTAGTTTATAAATATAATAAGTAATTATACTAATCTTTTATAAAAATATAACTTTAACTATATAATAGAACTATTTATATACTTTTACTATTATTATTAAATTTAAATTTAAATATAATCTTATTATTTATTATAGCTTATAATATATTATATTACTACTTTATTATTAATATTATAATTATAACTTTCTTTTAAATTTTATTAAAAATAATATAAAATTCTTTATAAATTTTATAATTATTATAAAGCTATTAAAAGTCTTTAAAAACTAAATAATACTTTAATTAAAATATAAAGTTTAAATAAATTAATTTATTAAAGCCCTTAATAATATAATAATTATTTAAAATCTTTATAACTTTATAAAAAAGGTTATATAGTCTACTATATTTATTAAAAGAAGCTTTTAATTAAAAATTATTAAAATATTCTTAAGGTATTTTATATAAAAGGTTATAAATTTTATAAGGTAAAAGCTTAATAAAATTTTAAAAACTATAAAAACTTTTAAAAATATAAATTAATTATTTTAAAGTAAATATTTTTAAGGATAATAAAGTTTATATTAAATATAAATATTAACTTATTTTTAAATTTTATAAACTCTTTTTATAAATTTAAAAACTACTATTTTTAATAAAATATTATATATATTTTATATAATAAACTATATTATTTTAAAATATTTTAAATATAATTTTAATAATTTTAATTTATAAATTAAATTAAACTTTTTTATAATTAATATAATAAAAGTATTAATTTATATAAGCTATATAAAATAGACTTTTATTTTATTAAGAGTAACTACTTTATATTATATAGTATATTATTAATAAAAGTATTTATATTATTATTAAAAGGGTTAAATTACTTTATTTTAACCTTTATTAATTAAATAAAAGTTTATATAAAATTAAATATTTAATTTTAAACTAAGAAAGCCTTTATTATTACTATAAGTATATTACTTATTTTATCTTATTATTATTATTAAAAGTTACTAAATATAATTATATTTATAAACTTTATAAAATATAAAAATAAATACTTTCTAATTAAAACTTAATTTTTATATTAAACTATTTTATTTAATAAACTCTTTTAATAATAATATATAAAATATATTATTTAATATTAAATAAATAAATAAAATTATGAGTTTTATTATTTATTATTTTAATTTTAACTTTTATAATTTTTTATAAATTCCTTTTAAAAACCTTTTAAAAATTAATAAAATAATAAATATAAAATAATTTAATTAATTTAATATATAGCTATTAAATATAATTATATTTAATTTATTTTATTATAATATTAAAATTTTTAATTTATTATATAATAAACTATTTAATAATAAAATAAATTAATTATATTTATTTATAATATATATTTTAATAATATTAAATTTATTATAAATACATTTTAGAAATATTTAAATAAAAATATAATATTTAAATAGTTAAATATTATATTTATAAATTAAAGTTTTTAATAAAATATAAAATAATATATTATAATATAAATATCTATTTTAAAAAAGATAGGTTAAATAAGGCTATTAATATTACTTTTTTATTTATATTATTTATATTATAATTATTTTAAAACTATAGCCTTATTTTAAATAAACTATTTAAAAGTTAATATTATTTTAAAGTTATTTTAAAATATTTATATTTTAGTTAATAATAAAAGCTTTTAATATAACCTATAAATATAAGTATTATTTTTATAAATATTTAAGTAATTTTAAAGTTATTTAAATATAAATATTTATAAAATATATATAAAAATTAATAAAAAATAAAAAATATATTAAATTTTATTATTTTAAATATAATTAAATTATATAAATATAAAGGTAATAAAATACTTATTAAATTAATAATACTTATAAAATAATAAACTAATATTAAAATTAAAAAGTTAAAGTATTCTATTATATAATAATTATTAAGGTTAATATACTTAAAGTAAAAATAAAGTAGATTATTAACTATATAATAATATATAAAACTATAAAAGTTAAAACTATTAAATATAATAATAATTAAAAAGAAAAAATATTAATATTTATTTTATAAAGTTAAATTTAATAATAAAATTAACTTTATTAAATATAAAAAAGTATTTTATATTATTTTATAACTAATTTAAACTATATTATAAAATTTAAAAATTAATTTTTAAAAATATTATTATTTTATATATAATTATAAAATAAATTATAAAACTATTAAAAAAGTATATTAAAGGTAAACTTTATAAAAATTAAATTATTTAATTTAATATTATTATTAATAATAATATTAATATAAAGTTATTAACTTTTATTAATATTAAAATTAAAAAGTTACTTAATTATATAAAGAGTATAATTTTAATAAAATAATACCTTTTAATTTAAAAAAGTATATTATATATATTATATTTAATAAATAGAAATTTAAGTAAAACTATTATAATACCTTTAATTATAAAAAAAAAAAAAAGTATTAATAAAATTAACTTAAATTTAAAATAAATATACTTTTAAATTTAATAAGTATTATAAATAAAGAGTTTTAATAAATATTAATATTAAACTTATAATATTTAAAGAAAAGAAAAGAAAGTTATTAAATAAAAAATTTTATAATTATTAAAATAATATTAATATTAATAAAATTTAAAATAATAATAATAAGAACTATATAAATAAAGATAAGGGTAATAAGAATTATAAAGAGTAAAATAATAATAAAACCTTTCCTATTAGAGATAAAAAAGATTTATATATAATACCTTTTTAAAGATAATTAAATATTTTCTCTTAAAGCTATATTTTAATAATTATAAAATAACCTTTTTCCCTATTAGAAATAATAAAGTACTATTTTAGGTAAAACCTCCTTTAAAAATAGGAAAATATTAGCCCTTAAAGCTATATTTTAATACTTATAGAATAACTTTTTCCCCTATTAGAAATAGTAAAGTACTGTTTAAGGTAAAAGGTCTTATAAAAACGGGAAAAAATTAGCTCCTAAAGCTGGACTGCGTGACGTAGCGGTCGTAGCCGAGCCGCAGCATCAGCCTGTGGCACGCCTCGGCGTAGTGGTCCGGCCCGAAGCCGGGCTTCGTGACGCGCCCCGAGAAGCCGAAGTTGGGGAGCGACGGCACGACGACGTGGAACGAGGGCTGGGCGGCGTCCTCGGGGCCCGTCAGGTACGGCAGCAGCTTGACGGCCTCGAAGAAGCTGCCCGGCCACCCGTGCGCGAAGAGCAGCGGGATGCTGTCCGCGCGGGCGGACCGGTGGTGCACAAAGTGCATGTCGAGCGGGTCGAAGCCGTCCACCGTTATCGTGGTCGTGTACTGCGACAGCTGCGCGTTGAGCTGGGCCTCCGCGGCGCGCCAGTCGAAGCCAGACTGCCAGCGGGCCGCGAGCCGCTTGATGTCCTTGAGGGGTGCGCCGTAGGACCACGAGTCCGACATGTCGACGTCCTGCGGGAACGTGGCCAGGGACAGCTTGGTCTTGAGCTTCTCGAGCTCCGCGTCCGGGACGGCGATCTTGAACGGCTTGATGGTTGCCATGGTGTCTGATGGCGCAATGGTTATTTGGTTTGAGGTGACGGTTCTTATTCTTCGGTTAAGGCTGTTGGAGATCTCTAGACTTGCAAATCTCGAAAGGTGGACACTCGGGAGATCCTCTTTAATACGTATATATGCCCGAGTGCGAAGACGAGCGGATCGTCGAAGAGCCACAGCTTGTTACGTCGATGCTCGCGAGATTACAAATGAACTGCAGTCACTCTGAGAACGTGGACTTCAGGGCGGGGGATGATCTGGTGTTCTTGAAAGGCGTCACGCTGATCACTGCCAGTGATGCTCCGAGGGTGAGAACGACCCGTAACTATGAAAGATGTACGTCTCACGCATCACGTCACTGAGGCCATCAAGTCACCTTAGGGCGTGCCAAGCCCATTCAATCAGACCTCGGGAGCTGCAGTGCGTCAGTAAGCAACTTGCCTCGGGTCTTTTCCCCGCCCTCGGAACCATGAAACCTGGGGCGGCACCTACCTAGATGCTGGGCACGGAACGCCGTTCATTGGCTTCTAGTACTAGTATGTGCGGTGCTGGTTCCCGAGCGCCCTAATAATGTGGTTTCGCTTCTATTCCGTATACGTCCGAGGACATACATGGCGCCTTCATACGGTGGTAAGCACTCAAGACCCAGCGCTTGGAAAGAATACGATGCCGATAACAATAGTTATAATACGATAGGTGGTACGCAACTATAAAACTGGTTTCGCTTCTATTCCGCATACGTCCGAAGACATGCGTGGCAACTTCATACCTAAGTACGATGGTAAACGCTCAAGAATCAGCGTTTAAGATAAACACAATGCTGATGACCGTGCAGAGCAAATACAATACGTGGGCACGTAGGCTCAGCCTTGTGCCGCATGTTCTGTAACAACAGGTCCACAGACACGCTTTGCGAACGCTAGCGCCTGTACTTGGGGTCAGTAAATGAGTGGAAAAGAAGCAACTTAAAAGGGGTTTCACCAACCTTTGGCGTGGCAACGCGATCTCGCTGTTCCAAAAACCAAGACACCGCCTCCGCCATAAAGGGCGGGGTGATTTCCAGCCTCTCGAACCGGATCCGAACCTCCTCGCTCCAGTCCATGACCGTCTTCTGGCGCACGGTCTCGTCCCACGACCGCTCGGTGTCCTCTGTGATGCCGATCTCACTCGTCCCCAGCAGCGTGAGCGAGGCCCGTCTCGAGGCCGGGCTGTAGCTGTAGCGAAACACGCACGCGTGCCGGTCGTCGTCCCCGTTCCACATCTCCAGCGTGCGCAGCCTCGGCATCCTCCTCACGGCCATGCTCGTCGCCTCCAGCAGCTGGTTCACCTCTTTTGCATTCTCATGCGGGCGGCGGAGGAGCGAGGACGTCAGTGCCAGCGTCTCTAGTTTCTCCCAGACCCATTCGCTCGTGTTGGTGGGCCTCGCGTTCGGGGGTTGTGGCCAGAAGGGCTGGAAAAAGTGGCTCGCTTCGACGACGAAGGACGCTGCGAGGTGTCGCAGCTGTCGACTGACCCCGGCCAGACCCAGTCCTAGTGCGCACTGATCGGCAATATGGCGATGAAGCAAGCGTATATATGGCGAAGAAATTTGGTGGGGGTGAGGTTGTAAGATGATTGGGGAGAATGGGCTGCCGATATCCTCAAACAGCGTTAGTTCGGATACGGAGACTGGCAGGCTCCCTAGAAGATCTATGTAGACTGTAGGCGCAGAATTCGGTTAGACTTTCTGTCCATAGGCGTCATGCTCAAGTACATCAACTCACGTTCAGAGGGCAGGGTCAAGTCTCGTCCATAATATATTTGACGCTCCTTACTTCGATTCTCGGAATCGAGGACTCGCAGCGCAGGCAAGCTTCGCAGGAGATAGTGCAAGCTTCGCCGGCGCCTTCGAAAGATGTCGAAAACGCCTGGATGGAACACCAGACGGTTGACCGCGTGGACTGGTGGTGTCCTGGAATCCGATAATTGGGGCTTGTAAATGAACCTCTGCGGCAGGTCGGCCAACCTCATTTGGTTCGCGCCGAGGACCGAGATCTTCAATGTCATTTTCCCTGGATTCTTGCTGTTGAAGATGTCCCACCATGTATCCAGGGTTTCAAAAAGGGTTGTGATCATATAAACGTAGATATCGGCCCACGGGGCCCAGCTACCACGATATGTGTACCCAAATGGAACCTTTACCCTGCGACACACAAGTCAGCATTCAACATTGAAGTTCGTTCCCTGCAGCATGGTCTCGTAGGGTCGCCTCAATAATTCGTCAAATGCGACAGCCCATTTATTGGAATCTCTCACCTGATGCGCTTGACCAGTCTCCTTCTTCCACCGACGACATAGTCTTTGAATTCTGGGAAATCCAGCCACGTCAAAGTAAGCTTGCTGAAGTGCTTCACCTCGAAGTGTTCTTGCCAGTACCGGCAAACAGTTGCGTAGTTGCATGTCGGTCTCCTTTCGTTGAGACAGCTGCAGTACAAGTCATTTAGAATGTGATCAACGATTTCGTTTGGGAAGCGTTTCATAGTTGCTCTTGGAGTGCGGTGTCCGCAACAATTTCCGCGGTGTTGGCAGTCTCGGGTTGATGTTTCGCCTATGTTTTTAACGGGGAACTATCTGGAGTGTCAGATTCTGGGGGCAGATATTAAACTAATAATTATTTACCTGGGCAAGTTTTGTGATCACTAGTTAATTGGTCTCAGTTTGGTGTCTAGCGCCGTCAACGACGCCAGTCACTTTAGCCGAACTCGAGATGACTCTTCATGTCACTAAGCAGGCACCATTTCTTTTGACTAGGAGAACAATAGTGAACACTAAGGGGACCACCATGGATGACGCACCCACGAAGCCGGGTAACCCGCGAGAGACTTGAAGTGGATGCTTCTATACCTGGGTACGATGATGTCTAATAGCCGACAAGAGGGTGGTCGTCGAGCACCTGAGGCAGTTTGACGTGTATGAGGTCGGTCCAGTCCTCAGACAATACTTCATTTGTGTTTAGGTTCAGGGCCCAGTCCATATCAGCCCGGAGGCTAGACGCCCAGGTTCCCGCCCCAGGCACCCCCCCGGAACGCGTACGAGACGTGGCCCTCCCGCCGGTCCCGTCGACGGCGTGCCTTCCAATGAACCTCGCGATGGTACTCGCGCTGGCGCTGAGCGAGAAAGCACCCATGCACTCCTCCTTGATGGCGCCGTCGCCGCCGTGCGGGCTAGGCACGAGCCGTGTCGTCCACGGCGCGGTCGGGTCCTTTCCAGTCCACACACTCTCCTGCGCGATCCGGTCGTCAGCGTGCGTCTCCGCCGCTGTCTCGTATAGTCTGACGTCCAGGCCGTCTAAAACGTGTTCTTTGAGGTAATCAAGGTAGGGCAACCCCGTGACGTTGGTGACCAGATAACTCATCAGCATTGTTCCGTAGTTCGAGTAGACCACGTCTGTCCCAGGGGTGAAGTCCAGCGGCTGCGCCACCTGATACTCGATTATGTCTCGCAGTGTTGCGGGGCGTGTGCCGTTGAAAAGCGTCAGCGCCACGTGGCGGAATTCGAACGCCACATCCTTTGTCTTATCCCAGTCGTAGCCAGCGCTGTGGTTGAGGAGGTGTCCGACAGTAATGGTGTTGGCGCGGGCGTCCGTTGGATGATATCCCAACATGGGATATACCAGGGTTGACGTTTCGAGCTTTCCGGCTTCCAGAAGAGTGGTCATGGCAGCGAATGTGAACATCTTGGTGACGCTCGCGAGGAGGAAAACATCGTCCGGCTCCACGACAGCCCTGTTGCTCTCGGCCCAGGTGTAGCTGCGTTCAGCGATCGTCGAGCCGTTCTGGGCAATGCCGACCTGGGCCTGGCGTACACCCGTCTTCTGCATCCATGTGCGCATCACCTCATCGAGGGCTGTGGACGTGGCCTCGTTGTCCTTGAAGCCGTCCACGGAGCCGGTTGCCGCCCACCTGCGTGCCTCGGGGATGGTTTGCTCGGCAAAAATGACCGCAAACCGTGCATCATCTCCTGAGCCACCGCCATGAAGATCAATGGGATACAGGCCTTGTTCCTCTTGAGAATTGATTTCGACGGACAAGTCATTTGCGGTCAGACCATCCTTGGCCACCCACTTACCAACTTCAGTGTCGACAAACTGAGGAGTGATGATGTGATCCTCAGATACAAACAGATGGGACGGGCGCCAAAACCGCTTGGAAATTTCACCTTCGAAGATCCTTGAATAGTCGAATACGGAACTTGGCGTCGTGTAGAATATTGAGGACTGCTGTCTCCCAATATTCTCCGAGTCGTGGGCCAGGATACAATATCGGCGGTTCGAGGGAGTCCCGTACATACTGAAGCCCTTGACGATCATGTAGTTGTCGTTTTCGGCGGCGTCGTACTCGGAGGGCCTGGTCAAGTTACACTTTTGAATCCACTTTATGGCACCCAAGTCCTCCATAACACCAGCAAAGACAGCACCGCCGACTGGTCCAGTCACGGCGATATGAGTCGAGGTGTAGCCCTTGGTTGCCCAGGATTCAGCCCAGGAATTGTATGTTGCTTCGTCAGCATCGTGGATTGTTTCGAATGGGCGCCCATCTGTCTGCAGCCATATGGCCGCGTAGTAGACTTCCGAAGGTTCACCGTAAGCACTGAGTGAGGTCATTCGGTAGCCATCAGCCGAAAGCGACTTGACCTTTGCGCCGTGGGCAGTGCCGTTGAGATTATGATATGTGTAAACAATAGGGGCAGTCTGGTTTGCGCCTCGACGATCGGTGGGAGCTGAGACCGAGGCTGAGCAAAGCCACAGAAAAGAGGCCAGGGAGGCAACCAGTAGGAAAGCATTGGTAGGCATCTTGTCCAGTGATAGAGGGTTCACGGCCGGCGTGGCGACTGGAAATGCTGCTGATGATGATGCTGTCGTCAGTGTTGTTTTGATGAGATGCTATGGCTTCTCGTTGAATGGAGTCATGACAACAACGTGGGAGGTTCTTTCCTCACCATTTCGCCTAGGGGAAGGCATAGCATTTCGCAGTAGGGACTTCCGCAAATTCTTCGAGTAATGGATTGTCCCTAAAATGGAAGGAACCACAGTCTTTCCATTCAAACGAGGCCCCAGTATCGAGCGTCTTTCCTTCCAAGGTTGGTGAGAGGCATGAATACCTAGCTACATACCTGGGTAGGTAGGTAGGCATACTAGTAGTGCACCATGCTCGTAAGCACCTTCGATTTGACCCAAAGCATGAGAGGGTGGCGAGCTGAAGGCCCAGACAATCCGTCACTTCCACCAGTGTATGTGACATGACGTTCACAAGACGCTTATAGTGGAACACAACAGCTTCTCAATTGACCTTCATCAGCGATGGGAACTTTGAAAAGCCCTGCAAAGGACAGGCGAGTTGTGGGCCGACTTCAGGATGTTCAAGACTGGGTGGGCCAACACTGCAGAGCCGGCTGCCTGTTCCTCGACCTGTCTCCATCCCCCATCCCACCCCGAGTGGAGAGAGGAGGCCTCCGGAATGTCCCAGGTCCCTTCTAAACCCAAGCACTCTACACTCATATTTTTTTCAACCATCAGAAATTCATGACAATATCAAACTTCTTCTCAGCCATCAAAATCAGCCCCAGCTACACATAATGCCATCCAAGCCTCGCAACACAGCAGCAGAACCTGACGAAGCTGTCCAACCTTCAAGCATACAGGGTCTCCCACCACCAAGTACAAATAGCATACACAAGGAAGTAAAGATATGCTGGACAAAGATGATTAAGACTCTCGAAAATTTCCTCCAACAAGAGCCCGAGGGGCCTCGCCGCGAGAACATTCTCGCATGCTTTTACTTTGCGTAAGAGCATGGCTTCCTAGAGGATCCATACTGCCTGTGGGCCGTTGATGGTGTTGCGAGATACATACTCGTAAAGGAATTCATTAAGACTACGAGTCAGAACTGGGTTCAAACGGAGCATTCTTTTGCCTGTCTAGGATATCTACCGTCCTCCTTCCAATTTAGCTCGATGCTGACCTCAGGCTCTTCCAGGTCGGTGGCCATAGGTGGCTGTATAATCATCCTTGTCATCCCCTCTGTTGAAATATTGCCTTTGTGAAAACCATGGTTTCTTGATTCATCGGCCACGCACGGTCGCTTCGGGTTTCCCGCCCTCAGTGTATTTTGGCGCCGGTTCTGGCTCTCGGATCTCGACCCGCCATCACATCTCTGGCTCTAGCATCGTATATGCGGCTGAAGGTCTTTGCTGAGGCACTAAAATCACGGTACGGTTGTCCCGAACGCGAATTGGCTGCTTAGTTGTGCTTTAAATCCTCAATTAGCGTCGGACTCAATATTCCAATGTTCCGGGGAATGTTAGGCAGTAGTGCTGGGTCTCGGATGATGGGGGTGATCTAGTACGGTCTCTTTCTGTCACACTCTCAAGTCGGACTCTCAAGTCGGTTAAGAATGGTGGAGCAAGTACCTAAGTATATAAACCTGACACTTCGCGTTGCCTCCCATACGGGATCGCTTCGAGCTCCAATCTGGTAGACATTCTTTTTGGAGTTGAGCATACACTCTTTCTGCTCAATCTCAGCCGCTCACTTCCAGTCACTCACTTCCTTCCATTCTGCGCGCAGGCAGCCATTGTCTCAGGAGAATATGAGAACGATTACAAAGACTATTCTGTTTGCCTTGCTGTCAGGCTCCACCCTCGCCGGTGTCATCAATGTGGCTAGCCATGACTCTCGTGCCGCCAACATTTGCGGTCAAAAGGGATACGACAGCGGCGCTGACATGAACTACCATACCGTGCGTTAGTGGGTACTAGAGATAGTTACTATAACCATCCTTTAAATAGGAAATCCCTTTTTTATAAGACTAACTTTAAGTATACTTAGAGAGGAGAGAATATTGACTTTTAAGTAGTTAATTAGTATCTTAATATACTTCTAATAAAAAGAAACTTAGAGAGGAAAGGTAGCTATAGAGAGAAGAGATGGACTTATAGAAGGACTTATAGAAGGGAAAAGGGTTATAGAGATCTTCCCCTTCCCCTTCCCCTTCCTTCCTTCCTTCCTTCCTTCCTTTAACTTCAACTAAGTCCTCTACCTTTCTTCTTTAAATTAATCACCTAAGCAGTTAAAATTAACTATATCTAGAGATTTAGAAGTAGCTTAAGGGCTATTAGAAGTAGGCTAATAGAAGCTAAGAACTTAAAAAATATCTAGTAAGAAGGGGAAGGGAGGGAATCTCTCTTAGCCAGTTAGTGTACCTAAATAGGAGACTAACTATAGGGGAATAAAGAGAGAGTTACTTAAAAGGAAGGAGCCTTCCTAATAAGTCTATTTTCACTCTTATAACTACTTTTTCTTTATAATTATTTTTAACCTTTAAAAACTAATATTAACCTTTAAAATAACCTTATAATTACTAAGAATTTATTTAGGTATAACTATATATACCATCTTAACTATTATAATAAAAGGAATATTATAGTGATAACCTTAAAGGGAGAGAAATAGTGTAACAATTTAAAGGTAGTAAGAGGAATATAGGTGGTTGTAGTGACTATCTCTAGTACCTATTAACGCACGGTATGGTACGACTACGATGACAGTGGCAAGTTTTCCACCCTATCTGAATGCTCAAAGCGCTGCCTTGCCAGCCCTCAGTGTCAGAGTTTCGGGTATGGTGTGAAAGAGTGTATGCTATTCAGCGTTACCCTTACAAATATCTTTGCTGCCGATGCAAGCAGCGGGGATACGTACTATGACCGCGCTTGCACGACTCCCGGATCGCAGCCAAAGCCGGCTCAGCCGTCGTCGTCCAGCACGGCTACCAAGGCATTTTCGACCACTCCCAAGGAACAGGTTGCGTCACCGACATCTTCACCTTCGAGTGTCAAAGCTGCAACGCCCTCCGCTGCGGCCACCGTCTCACTCGCCCCGAGCAGTCCGACTACTTCTACCGCCCAAGTGAACGCCGGAAGCACCACCACACCAAGTAGTAGTGGCTCAAGCGGCAGCACATCCACAAGCGCAGCGCCAGGGTCCACAGTCTCCTACTACCCCGGTTGCAAGGCCGGCGATTTCAAGCTGACCTACGACTTCACCTCCCTGTCTTGGTTCAACTCCACCAACAACCTCAACTGCGCCGTCAACGGCAAGCCCAACTACGACCCAAACGGCAAAGTCTGCGTCGACACCGCCACCAACACCCTCTGCGACCCGACCAAGGCTGGCGCCTCATCCACATGCAAATGCCAGGCATATTGCGACCCCAATGCGCCCTCCGCAGCCTTCCAGCCCCCGGGATACGGCCCACCCGACACCATCTCCATCTCCATCGCCGACTTCGCCTACCCGACGTGCACCGAGTCCAACCCACAGACGCCCAAGACCGGGATCGGCGCCCTGGGCAACGCGGAGGTGGGCAACGGCGACGTCAACTGTGGGCCGAAGCACAACTACCTTAACTTCTTTGGCGACAGCAACCCGGGCACCGAGCAAGGCCGCATCCTGTTCATCCCCGGCGCTGCTTGCCAGGGACACCTGGCGCTGTATGAGGCCACGTTCCCGCTGGGGTGTACGAGGGATGCGGCTGGGAATGCTTCGTGCGTGCCTAAGACTCTGCCTGTCACGGTGTCGCTCACGAGGTTCAGTACTGGCCAGTGCAACAGTTGCGCGGGGTCTTTGATACAGTGAGGTTGAGGGAGATTGTGTACTTGTCTGACAGCATAATGCCCATCAGTACTTAATAAAATAGATACAACCAAAATTCAATATCGAGGAACTGCTCGTTATCACAATTTCAAGGGCTGTGAGCGTGTCTTGGATGTCTTTGCTGATAGGTAAGCCCCTGCGGGAAAATGCACCCAGAACTAGCCGTTTAAACGGGCTTAAAGTTCCTTTATACCACTCGTCATATAATCAGTGGTATAAAAATAACTAATAATGGTATGAATTCTATGTTTCGAAAGCTGAAAAATTAGCATGCTATAGTAACATACTCCGCTATAGCGAAATACCCTCCCACCAACAGCGAAACAACCCTTCTCTATCACAGCCGCGTTAGCCGACCACATCCAAATGACCACTGCGGCGAAAAGGACTAACACAAATAGTCACCATGAAATAGTTTCATAATACCTTATAAATATTTGGCTATCAATGATATTACCGTTGAAAATCCTGGCGACGCCTAGGCTATCAGCGCAGAAGACCTATTGCGGATGCAGATACACTGATCAGGTTGATCGGGCACTACGGAGCAAAGTATACCAAAATCGAGAAAGCCTGTGGAAAAGACTTTCCAAACCGGAATCCGCGGGACCAAATACAAATCAAAGATAAGGCGCGGAATTTGAAGATCTAGATGCTGAAGTGAGTAACATGAGAGCTGCTCCCCATTGTGATAGGCGGCTGAGATACGGGCACTCTCTAATATTCTCTGGCACAGCAACGATATGACCCTGAGTCCTGGAGGTATTGAATAGAATGTTGTTCTTCAACGAAAAAGGGAATAGCAATAACAAGCAGGCTAGCGGCCTTATTTTCTCCATCTCCTTTATATGTTCAAGCAAGCTAATTACCAGTTTAGCTGTGAACGTCTCTTCCAACTTGAGCGAGATGCTCAAGGTAGAGGCTCGAAATATATATAATATCCTATACATTCCATGCTTCCTCTTTATGAACTACATCCTTTTGAATATAAATAAAAGAAAAAACAATGAGACATCCGGCTAGGTGCAACTCTGGCTACGAGGCTGCCAGTGCGGCGCGGCAGACATGGCTAATCACAAAAGAGGAAGCAAAGACCGCATCACAGGTATCACAACGGGAAACGGTCACCTCAAATTTCCAACATTTTCCTCCCAGCGTGAAATTACGAGAGACAAGTGCTGTATCATTTGGCGTTGTGGCAGAGTGTCCATGCAACCAAGCAACATTTGAAGTCGCATTCACGGACGGCTGCGCATGGCCTGGGAGTTAAGCAAAGTCCCCGCCCATGTACGGACGTTAATAATGGAAGATTAGCCGCAGCGGCAAGCAAAGATTCCGGCTTGAGCTGCCGAAGAGTGCGGCGATGCACATCGCTACTCGGAGCCGAAATTCGAGGGCCGACATACCGCCAAAGGATTCATCTGCAAAAGTTTTGAAAGTGCTCACTTTGTACAACGGGTCGAAATGGCGCAAACACATGCTGCACAGCCAGGTCCACTTTGGCTGCCGTCTGCTCGGCGCTCCGCTGCATCTCCGAGGCGCCTCCCTGCTCCGAAGCCCGGCAGAGCATTAACCCTGGAGCGCCGCCTTTTCTCCGTGGGGAATCGAGCGGGCACCCGATGTGGGGATCATCGGGTAGCGGAGCGGCAGCGGGAAGGACAATTGACTTTGCGGCGTCGGCGTCGTCATCGTGAGGGGCCAAAAGAATCGCCGACGTTTTGGCAGACTTCATATTCATTAAGACCTGACAAGAACCCCAGGTCGCGATCGCCTTCCTCGTCCAGATCTACCTTGAGCTGCAGTCTTCTCAATCTCAATTCCTACCGAGCAGCACGAAATACTTCACAATGGGTGCCAGTAGGGACCTACATATCGCCATCATCGGCGCCGGTAAGCCCCAGTTCAGAAGCGGCCCGCCTCCTTACTGTACTCACGGGTTCCTGACAGCCCCGTAGGCATGGGCGGCCTGGCAACAGCGCTTGCGTTGGCCAAGGAGGGATTTACGCACATCGATGTCTACGAAACGGCCTCGGATCTCGGATTTGTAGGGGCAGGTATCCAATTAGCCCCCAACATGGCCAGGATACTGGACAGGCTCGGTGTTTGGGATCCCATAGCAAAGGATGCCACCCCTTTGAAGGGCGCGAGCATTCGAAGTGAGCAACATGCACCCTTTGACCACACCAAACATGGAACTGCAGTGACTCATTACTCGATCAGAGGGGCCTACAAACGAAGAGCTTGCGTTCTCCGACATGCTGTGGATCGGGGAGTCGTACAATTACAAACACTCGGTCGGCCACCGAGCATCTCTGGCCGGTGAATTATACGAAGGGTGCAAGAAAGAGTCGGCAATCAATTTCCACTTCGCCTCACCAATCACCGAGTTCAAGTCCTTCTCCCCAAAACCCACATTTACCGTATCGCCAAGGGGAGACGGCGGCGAGCCCTACACGGCCAGCTGCGACGTCCTCTTCGGCGCAGACGGCGTCAAGTCACGGACCCGAGTGGCGATCCTCCAGGAGCTGGGCGTGGACGCCAAGGTCGTCGACTCGGGCCAGGCCGCGTACAGGATCATGCTGCACAGGAAGGACATGGAGAAGGACCCGGAGCTGCTGGCGCTCATCGACGCGGACCAGACCACGCGGTGGATCGGCGAGAGGAAGCACATCATCGCCTACCCCGTGTCGTCCAAGACCATCTACAACATCTCCACCGCGCACCCGGACAGCAACTTCGCCGCCGCGCCGGACGAGACGTACACGACGCTGGGCAGCAAGGCGTCGATGCTTTCCGTCTACGCCGACTTTGCCCCCGTGGTCCAGAAGATGCTCAATATGGTCCCCGAGGGCGAGGTCTGCGAGTGGAAGCTCCGCGTCCACCAGCCGCTGCCGACGTGGGTGCACGGCACCACGGCGCTGGTCGGGGACGCCTGCCACCCGACGCTGCCCCACCTGAACCAGGGCGCCGCGCAGGCGATAGAAGACGCGGCCGTGATCGCCGCCGCGCTCTCGAGAGCCCCGGACTCTGGCCCGGAGGGCATAAACAAGGCCCTCAGGGTGTACGAGAAGCTTAGGAAGGAGAGGGCTGAGGCCTTGGTCGCCATGGCTGCTGCCAACGGCAAGGAGATGCAGCTGGGGGACGGTGCTGCCGCTGCTGAGAGGGATGCTGCCTTCAAGGCTTTCAGGGAGAGCGGCCAGGGCAAAGTCCCCGACAAGTCGGCGGATAAGGGGGTCTTGAGTTTTATATACGAGTGGGATGCATCCAAGGAGACGGCTAATCAGTTCGATAGCATTTACTCGGCTCTGTAGAACTTTTCAAGCTACATGCCAAACGTACCATCCTCTAGAGCTTGTTTACACATCCAGAAGCATCATTGATGTTTCATTTCAGGCTGGTTGTACACCGATAAAGATGACGACCCGAGACTGTACCTGCTGTGTGATTTGCAAGTATGAAGATGGTTACTACGGTCACCTCAGGCGTGGGATGCGAGAGGCATTCGAGTGCGGCCGCTCTCACCTGGGACGCATCCGGCACGAAAAGCACACAGCAACTTGAAGTCTCCATCGACTCTCATGAGCGACTTCCCCTAACTAGCGACCAAGTCCCATGGGGAACGCCCGCCACAACGCCCGTGGTGGCAATCCCCCGAATCAATGACGAGCCTGTGCCCCCTCTGTATATACATGTTCATATACCCAAACCCACCACAGGTCTGGCCGTAGTCGCCCGAGCAAGGATGGTTGCAATACCCGTTTGGCACAGGGCGGGCCTTGCCGTGGACGACGTTTCCGCACCAGCACTCGCGGCCGTACTCGAGGCCGGCGAGGCAGTAGCCCTCGGCCGCGCAGGCGACCAGGCAGTCCTCGATGGTGGCGCAGCTTGCGTCCCAGTTCTCGGCGTGGTGGTCTAGGGCCCGGATGCCGTATACTGTGTCACTGTTGCGTGTTGTTAGGATGAGTGGGCTTGGGATCTGGTGGGCGTGTGATATGGTGGTACTGACGACCAGCAGTGGCTTTCGACAATGGTCCACTCGCGAGACATGGCTATCGCGGTGCTCGCGTCGGACATGGACTGGTCTGCCGCGTGGGCGGCTGCCCATAGGGCTGTGTTCAGGGCAATGGTAGCGCCGCGCATGATTCAAAACTCACATATGGGTAGTGTTTGATGTCGCCGGGAAAGTTGGAAAGTTGTTCAGCCCATCTAGATGCGAAGGTCTGCGGACATAAAGTGAGAGCCGAGGTCACCTCATTCTGCTGTACCAGTTGTCTATGTGACAACCTGATATTTCTTGTGATCGCAGGAGCTCACCTGATGCCCATATGACCGTGATGAGACGTCCGACCGCTTGGGCTAGCTTGAAGCTATTTCCATGGCTGTTGCAACCAAGGGCCCGTGGCATCTGTCAGTTCAGGTGGTGCTAGGCAATCGCAACGCGTCTTCCCCGCAAAATGTTTGTTAGCTATACCAGTGTGTATCGAAGAAGTTTTCTTTGTTTCGCACGGTTAGTTTTGGAAAAGTTCTCAGATTTCCTCTCGTTGCTGGCTGTTACCATGTCCCATACACTCGTCTCAATTATCTCACATCGGATCATACCCTAGGTATGCTGCGTTACTCTTCAGGAGATAAACGTCCTCCTCACGATTGAAGTGAAGCTCATGACGGCTGGAGAAGAGGACGCCGGCTATCTCGGAGGTCGGCTGTGATTCGTCCACCGTTACTCGCACTTTGTGACGCCGTCAAAATAGCTTATATGGCTAGTGCCAGTGGAACGTCTGTCAACGAAGACAATCTGATGAGCCATGATTCGGGAAGCACTGGAAGCTTGCCGAGGTCAAGGGAGCTGACATGGCACAAGATATATTGAAGAGACGATGACCTCGGGAGTACGGGCTGATGGCTTCAGAGCGGACACTTAGACACGCGTTGGGGTGGAAGCTCTTGTTGAGGCTGGCAGGCATCTCCGAAGGTGCCTAGCTCCAGTAACCAGGAGCTCAAAGATGATGAATCCAATGCTCCATCGTCATTATGCATGGTCGAGAGGAGATCGAGAAAGCCGTACAGTCTCTTCGAGCTGGCACCGGGTCTCTTGCCTTCTGATATCATTCCGCACTGGCGATGACAAGCGAGATTTGACTGAAGAGCTCGTAGGGCAGATCACGGACGCTACTTAGGCAGAATGCATGCAGCCGAGCTGGAAAGCTCGTCGGCAATTGAGTAGCTATTAAGCTTACTGAAGTTGAGTTTGCGTTCTACAGGCCAATACCAACGGCGAAGCTCAACGTGTCCTCGTGAAGGGACCTCTACGGCCACAGGAACTTTCTCACAGGAGTGGAGTTCAGCATGCTGCGGGAAATCCGACTCTGCTTCTACCCCAACTTTACGTCGGCCGGGTCCGCGTCGGAGAGTAGCATCATGAGCACAGCCCCCTGCTAGCCGCAGCGTTCGATCGCTGCCGAGACGCGTCCAAGGCATCCCGCCCTCCTTCCAAGGTTAGAACAATGCTACTGTGATACGTCGAGTATGGTGATGACTTCGATGAAGACAATGCTAAGACGCCAGGGACACTGTAACGGAGCTACCTTCCGGGCCAATCGAGACCTCGTGTACACAGTATAAATCAGGGGCGAGGTCGGTGGGGTTACTGCCACTGCCACGACAACGTGCTCCGGGCTGGGCAGGCTGGGCAGGTCGAGCTTTGGGACGCCGTACGCGATGTTTGGGTATCGGGACGGGTACGGGCCGAACGAGACGGCCGTAAGCACGACAGAGGTGGTGACTGGTGACACATCCGAGGCGACGAGCGTGGCACTCCCGAGGGGACGAGAGGTTAAGGTAGGTAGCACGTCCGCGAGACAGGAGAGTTGATGGCTTAGACCGGATTCGTGATGCTGGGACTTTTGTGGCTTACAAGAGTGATATGATATGAGCAAGGCAGGGGAGGGAGATAGAAGCAATTATATAATGGATACCCCAATGCACAACGAGGGACCCTTATCTGCATTTCAACGTATTGATCAATCTGCGAACCCCCCGCCCCTGACCGAACCAGAGATAAAATGCCTGCTTGAATCAGCGAGTGAGCAGCAGCTTATCATCCAACAGCTCAGGGACAACCGCAGAGGCAGATAGGTGATTCGCCGACTTCCGACGGGAGGGGTCCCCTCCAAGTGCTCTGAGCGAGCAGGGCAAACCCCTCCGGCGTGACCGCGGCTCCTTGTGCGCCGCTCGTGGCAATTTAGGCCGTTTCGGCGCAGGCGAGGGAAGCTTGGCCAGATCATTTCGTGGGTGCAACCACACCCGGCCGAGAGAAAGTACTCCGTAGACACCCGACTGGGAGAAACGCACGTCAATCACGCAGCCGGGCAGCGTGACACCTGCTTCCCGGGCCAGGCTGGCCAAACAACCAACAACATTCCTCCTCCCTCCCGTGAGGATTGAGCCTCCTCAACACCGCCAAATTACACGTGCTCACCTGCCTAACAGAGCACGTATTCCGGAATTCGGCCAGCTGTCTATTGTTTGGACTAACGAAGGCCCGGTGGACAAGGATGTGATCTCTCGGTGTAGATAACGAGGACGCACGGCGCCGTTCTACTGGATCCTGTGCTCCGGCCGTGATCAAACCTAAATATCCAAGCATCCCGGGGCAGTAGGGTTAGCATTATATCAAATAGAATTGGCGGCAGCCGGCAGCCCGTCGACGCCGTTGCCAATTATTGCACACTGCTGAATCTAATGACAGGCAAACAGGCAAACTGTCCCCCTTGGTTTGCCCTCGAATTTCCCGAGACATTCAGTCGATCATTGGAAAATTCGGTTGCGAGCCTTGACTCGCTGACGCTCAGTTCCGCTCACCTCCCACCTCTTCTGCCTTCCGGATGGGGACAAGCGACTTGAGTGGCAACGCCTGGGGAAGCAGGGATGGCTGCGGGCCCACAGGCCTGTGCAGGGCCCAGGCTGCCAGGATTGTGCATTGCATGCCGCCGTGAGAACAGCTATGCCCAGCAAGACCTAGCTCCTGGGCCGAGACTGGGCTGCACCACGGGGGAGGAGAGGGAAGCTTGGGGGGCAAGCCGGGCAAGCCAACTGGCTGGCTGCGGGAGAAGCTGAGAGGAACCGCCTTCTAGAAGGATTTATTACTCCAGGACCCTAAATGGGACAGCTGGCGATGATTTAGCCCCCCCCAAGCCCCTTGTGAGAGAGATACGGTCAGACGAGGTGGCCAGTCACGGCTCGACTCGCCATGATTGACAGAGCCGCTAAAAGCCGTGCAACACAACGTTTGGTCGGACGGTGAAGAGGGGGTCCAACAGTCGCCTGACGAATCCGACACCGAGAGCCAGTCAGTGCAGTGCTGATGATGCCCAGTTGGACGGCCAGAAGTTTACAGCCAGTGCCTCCCTCGGCAAGGACCTTGGTACAAACCTTCACGTTGGGGACTCGAAGGATCCGGAAGAGGTCGAGCTAGTTAAGAGAGATAGAGGAAGCAGAAGATACCACCAGTTTGGATTCGTAGGCGGGCCTCTCAGAATTCACATGCTTATCTGCACGTCTGGAATCTGCGAGTCCTCCTGCTTGTCATCTCACGACCCCGTTCTGCCCGTTCAGCCCATCCATATCTGGCACCCATCCTGTCATCTTGTCCCGCCTGTCCGCCCTGCCCGCCCGTCCGTTCGTCTCAGGGTTCCTTATCGAGATGCCCCCAGTCTGGCCTCCTCCACAGCTCGGACGACAAACTCAATCTGGCAGCTTGGCTCCGCAGGCCTCCCTGCTGGTCCCGGGCCAAGCTTTCTGTTTCTGTGGCATTGCAGTCGCTCGCGCCCCAGGCCGGTCCAAGCTGGCTGCCGCGGCCTGGTGCTACCTTGGGGGAGGCGAGAAGGGGGGTGGGGTGCGACCTTGGAGCCGACAAGTTGGGTTCGATAGAGCAGACAGGGGTAACCTACATGCCAGCGGCGATATAGTCCTTGGCGTTGATCTAGAATGCAATCACTGGCTGCCAACCAGTGATTGCCAGTGGTCAGTGGTCCGCCGCCCGCACATCATTTTCGGTCCCCTGGTCAGCACACAACGTTTATTATTATAATAAGATGGGGTCGTCCCTGGGATGGGGACACACGCTGCTGCCGTCCTCCTCCACATGCCGTTGCTTTGCTCTCGCATGCTCCTGTGAACCTACCGTTCCTCTGGATCCGCAGCTGTGCGCTTCCCCACGTCTAGGCAAGGCACAAGAAAACCGGCTCGGCACCTAGGACGCCCGTACGGTGCCATCGAGTTGGCGTGGACGAACCAGAATCGCGCGCGGGGCCGATTTAGACGTGTGACGGTCGCAGTGGCACCGCCCTTAGTGCAGACCTTCGGCTCAACCTGAAGATTTCCTGCCCGGCTGCCCAGGCTTGTCCTCTTCCACGTCCTCCTCTCACACAGACGCAGACTCAGACATGGCCTCCAAGGATTCATCGTCCGTCGACGGCTCCCACGACGCCACCATGAGCGCCGGCAGCACTGTTGTCTCGACACCACCGGTGGCGGGCCACAACAGCTCGGCCCAGCAGAACGTATATGTCAACCCGGACCCGGCCCTGGATATCTCCAACGAGCATCACCACCCGCACGTCCACCACAACAAGACGGCGCTGCCGGATGAGAAGGACGATATCGTTTTCGCCAAGTCCTCCAACAAGTACACCGGTGACGATGAGAAGAACGCGCCTGCCCCTGACTACAAGGTGCGCCAGATGTCATCGTCCAACGACGAGGAGAGCGGCCGCGTTGGCGATATCGCGGACGAGGGCGAGGCGAAGAAGTCCTTCTCGTTCCGGTCGTTGTACAGGAGATATGTCTGGCTCAGGGCCGGCATACATGCCTTTATCTGGCTGGTGTGGACCGTGTGAGTATCGCCTGCGTATAACTGCGCGTAGATGAGAGTGTGTGTGCAGTGCTGACCAGTGCCTGGTGATTACCCAGTTGGTGGATTCACGGCCTCGTCAGGCATCGCAACGACAGGTGGCTCGGCTGGCTCAAGCCGACGCTGCTGTACATCGCCATCACCATCCGCGTCGTCACCCTCTGGATCCCCATCTCGGTCGTCATGAACCCGGCCAAGGCCGTCTACCGCCACACCATCTACCGCGGCTACGAGGCCATCCCGGCCAAGCTGCACCAGCCCCTGGCCGCCCTCGGCACCGTCGGCGTCTTCCTCGTCGGCTCCATGGTCCCCGCCGAGACGGGCCAGAACACGCGCGCCAACAGGGCCGTCTCGCTGTTCGGCCTGCTCGTCATGATCGCCGTGCTGACCGCCACCTCGCGCGACTGGCGCAAGATCCCCTGGCACACCGTCATCGGCGGCATGCTGACCCAGTTCATCATCGCCGTCTTTGTCCTGCGCAGCCAGGCCGGCTACGACATCTTCGCATTTATCTCCGAGATGGCCCGCACCCTGCTGGGCTTCGCCGCCGACGGCGTCGAGTTCCTGACCGACGACAGCGTCACCAAGCTGACCTGGTTCCTGACGGGCGTCGTGCCGCCCATCATCTTCTTCGTCGCCCTCGTCCAGCTGCTGTACCACGTCGGCCTGATCCAGTGGTTCGTCGGCAAGTTTGCGACCTTCTTCTTCTGGACCCTGCGCGTGTCCGGCGCCGAGGCCGTCGTCGCCGCCGCCACCCCCTTCATCGGCCAGGGAGAGAGCGCCATGCTGATCAAGCCCTTCGTGCCGCACCTGACCCTCGCCGAGATCCACCAGGTCATGACCTGCGGCTTCGCCACCATTGCCGGATCCGTGCTGGTCGCCTACATCGGCCTCGGCCTCAACGCCCAGGCCCTCGTGTCGTCCTGCATCATGTCCATCCCGGCGTCCCTCGCCGTGTCCAAGATCCGCTACCCCGAGACCGAGGAGACGCTGACCTCGGGCCGCGTCGTCGTGCCCGAGGACCAGGAGGACAAGGCCTCCAACTCGCTGCACGCCTTCGCCAACGGCGCCTGGCTGGGCATCAAGATCGCCGGCATGATCATCGCCACCTTGCTGTGCATCATCGCCTTCGTCTCCCTCATCAACGGCTTCCTCACCTGGTGGGGCCGCTACTGGAGCCTCGAGGAGACGCCCCTCACCCTCGAGCTCATCCTCGGCTACCTCCTCTTCCCCGTCGCCTGGCTGCTCGGCGTCCCCAAGTCCGACTGCCTGCGCGTCGCCCAGCTCATCGGCATGAAGGTCATCACCAACGAGTTCGTCGCCTTCAGGAACCTGATCGACCCCGACCAGCCCTTTGTCAACATGAACGAGCGCTCCAAACTGATTGCCACCTATGCCTGCTGCGTGAGTTGACCCCGGAAATCCCCCGACAATATTAACCTCCTACGAGAGGCGGTGTTGTGAAATTTGATGCTGACTTGAAAATCACAGGGCTTCGGCAACATTGGCTCCCTCGGTACCCAGATCGGTGTGCTGTCGCAGATCGCCCCTGGCCGTGCCGGTGACGTCTCCAAGGTCGCGCTGTCCGCCCTGTTCTCCGGCGTCCTGGCCACTCTGACCTCGGCCAGTGTCGCTGGCATGTTGTTCACCGACGATTTGAGCTAGGCGGTGGCTCTTCGTAGAGACACATATGCTCCGTTCGCCCCCTCCCGCGAGATTGGGCAGGCGGTGCAGTGTCGAATGTTCAGAGGGAAAAAAAAAAGAATTAAATCGTAATGCATTAGAAAACGAATAATATGAATGTTTTGCCCGTGTCCCCACACTTGATACAACCCATAGCTCAGCTTGGCATCGCTAAGTGGTCCTCTCGCCGGGTGAGTCACCGGAGGTGGTCCTCACCTGATGTGCAACCAGCTGAGCCTCGGTACTAGTAGTTCATTTGCATCATTGATATCAAGGAAATTCCTACTATGCGTGACCAAATAAGCACAAGATACCGATGCCCCTTCGCGGAGAGGTGGGTCCCACTCAAACCTCTATGAAGGAACGCGTCGGAACACGTTTAGACCAAGTCTGGTCTGTCAGTCTTTTTTTGGCTCCCCAAGACCGAATACCTGGTCCGAGTCATTCATAGTCAGAATGGCCAAAGCCCATGGTTATCATCGCACCCGCTCAATGATACCCGCCGATCCGCTACCAATTCCCATAATTGCCACGGCCTGGCCCTCGGCCTGTGGTTACTTTGTCTTTGCATGTTGCGGAACAACGAGTTGTCAACCTCAGGCTCGACTATCCATTGCGCACTGTAAGAATGGCACTGGACCAGGTATTATTAAGTTGTGATATTCATCAAAGCACCCACTTTGATGGTACCAGTACCACTTTACCGCAGTCCCGTGATTACCCCCGAAAGGTAGGTAGTTTCCTTCTAATCCCCATACAGATAAAAACATATGTGACGCCTTCATATAGTAGTAAACTCTCGTAACCCAACATGAAAAAGAACCACAATATCAATAACAGTGTGAGAGAATATAATGTGTGGGCATATGAGCTTAGCCTCGTGCCTAACGGACAAGGCTAGGACATGCCTCTTGTAAACATCTTGAGACGTGTTAACGTTGGTCATCCCAGGACGTACCAGACACTTGAACAAGAGACTAAGTATTCAAATGAGGAGTCACGGCCCTCACGGCCTGTTCCATCTCACCAGATTGCCTGCGGCGGATTACAGGTTGTTTAAAAGCGCGACTGAAAAGCTGGTGGCAGAGCATACCGGCTCGAAGATCTCAAGCGCAAAACTTAAAATACTATCTCTGTCGAGGCCCACCCAAGTCACGCGTTGAAGGCGATCGAACGGATCACTGAGGATTCATGCCGACCAAAGACACAGCTTATTATGCATTTGGAGCTAAGTGTAAGCTGAGTGAGCAGGAAAGATGAGCTTGCGCGAATAGAGGAATGGTTGGTTCTCTTCCGGTGTCGGTGGGAGCATACTAACATTACCGAGCTCAGGGCGTGAGAGAAATTGTTAGTGGGTCCTCGCATCGGCATAGCTAGACCCGGCCACAGGGAGGCATCCCCCTCGATCTCTGCCATCATGACATCAATCTCCATTCGACTCTCCAGATGGCACCAAGAGTTCTCATCTTCGGTGCTGGTGGCATCGGGGGTGTATATTCATATTTGCTGTCCCGCGCGGTCCCGGCCAGCAACATCACCGTAATCTGCCGCTCCAACTACGACGCCGTCTCCAAAAACGGAATCACAGTGAACTCGAGTCTCTGGGGCCAGGGACTCAACGTCAGACCGTTGGCCTTTAGGAATGTCACAGAGGCAGTTGAAGCCAGCGGAGGAGCACCCTTTGACTATGTCATTGTGACCAGCAAGGCACTCAACACCACCCCATCAACGGCAGAACTCATCAAGCCGGCCGTGACCTCAGGCAAAACGGCGATAGTGCTCATACAAAACGGCATAAACACCGAGGCGCCCTTCGCAGAGCTCTACCCAGAGAACCCCATCCTCAGCACGGTCGTCTACCTCCCCGCAACCCAGACAGAGCCCGGCGTCATCGAGCATAAGGAGGTCGAGCTGCTGCACATCGGCACCTACCCAGCATCCGCGCCCCAGCCGCACAAGGCCGCAGCGCAGGCCTTCTCGGACCTCCTGACAGCCGCAGGTGCATCCTCAGAGCTCCACGACGACGTCCAGGCCGAGCGCTGGTCAAAGCTCATCGTCAACGCGGCGTGGAACCCGATCTGCGCCCTGACGCGGTGCCGGGACCGCCAGCTCCTGGACATCAGCACCCAGGCCGGCCCGTGCAAGGACTTCATCAGGGGCGTGATGCTGGAAGTCGCGGCGACGGCGCGGGCGCACGGGTACGGGAGCATCGACGAGGAGCTCGTCGAGTTCCAGCTGCAGCGCGCGTGCGTCAGGTCGCTGCCGGGGATCCAGCCGTCGATGATGGCTGATGCGCTGGCTGGGCGGAACACCGAGGTCGAGGCCATTGTTGGGAATACCGTGAGGCTTGCGGCGGAGAAAGGGGTGGCGACGCCGATGCTCTCGGCGATCTACTTCCTTGCTTCTGGGCTTGATAATAGCTTCACGCTGGCGAGGTCGTGAGAGGCGTGGCCAGTGTTTGGGGCAAAGGGGAAGTTCATAGACTTGTTGCGTGACTTAGATTTCAGATAGAGTGATTCTATCTAGGTAATCATAGATAGCCCTTATTAGAAAGACGTTACTTCAACCTAATTCCGCGCGAGCCATGTGAGAGCATTTATTACCCGTCAACAATAGCATGGGCTACAGTTAACGTAATACTCACTGATACTATCAATAGTCTATTTACTACGCACGTCTCTTCTTCTGCGCCACTTCGTTGTTGCTGTCACAGAGGTGTGACTCCACAGTACCGGAGCACAGCGCCGCACATCTGCATGAGGCCACCCTTGCAGGAGCAGATCACTTAAATTCGACCGAGCCCCGCACTTTCAGGTCTGAAGGATTGTTGAAGCTCACTGATCACTGTGGGTTTTCTGGAGAAGTCCAACACCGATTCCCTCCTTGGACCACATCTCCTTGATCCCCACTGAAATATTACAACATCAACAACATTACACAGCGGGCATAGACTGAAAATGAGGCATCCAAACCAGATTCAAGGCAGATTCTTCAAGTTTCGAGATTTCTCGCAGTGGGATGACGACGCAAAAAGGGAAAACCGCGTCCCAAAGGTCGTACGCAAGCGCATGGTCCTGGTCTTGGGAAAGCCCGACAACAAGCGCCAGGGCTTTGTCAAGATTGTTACTGTTCGTCCCCTTATTATGGTCATACAAATGTCACAGATCCAGTCTATGACTTACATCCTTCTAGGTAGCACCAACGCAAGCTGCCGGTGTAGACGCTGATCTTTTTATCCCCATCGCCCCGTGCCCAAAGAGAAACAAAAAGGACCATCAGTTGCATGTTGCGAACTTCGAATGGAGTCGGCACAGTCATCCATTGTACACAAAACATTCATACTTCAGGTTGGATCAGATATACGACGTCCCTTTAGATGTTTTGGAGCCGTACATGTGGTCGCAGAGCGAACATGTTGCGCTTCAGAAAAAGTCACGGGAATGGTTAATTCGTGCCGTTGCCAGACGACAAGCGAATCTTGTGGACATCCCTGCTGAGAGACAGGCGACGGAGCTCCTCGCTCAGGATGGGGACTGCTCGGCCCACCACGTGGAGTCAAGTTAACGCAGCCACAGGGCAGGGAATGAAGTGGGTGTATGGAAATGAAGTAGCCTGTAGTCAGCTTTTCTGAGAAGACCTGCTATACTCTCTCCGCTGTACTCGCTACCCTGTGTCTATACTCTTGGTCCAGAACGCGCCCAAAACACAAAGCAACTGCAACGTTTATAACGTCGTCATCTTTGAAACAAGCTGTCCGGAAATGAAACCCGGTTCCCGCTCAGGATTTCACCTCGACTCCATCTTTGACCTGTTTTACCTCCGAGACAGTACCCTCTCGGCTGCTGGAAGACTCGGAAGGGGTGGCAGTCTTGCCCTTCCCGAATCTCAGCCCTCTGAGAACGAGAGATATTTGTTTCCTCCCATCTATGATGGGGAAGAATCCTGCTACAAGCATGGTTCCCCAGACCCAGATGATCGATATGACGACCCAGGCAGCGAAGAACTGACGGCTGAATATGTACTTCGCGGCATACATCGGCAGCGGCCACAACACCCAGTGGCCAAAGAAAGTAGCCAGAGCCCAAGCACTAGCGATAATTCCCCAATGTTTGAGACTTGCCCTGTCTTGAGTATATGACGAGGGTGCCTCCACGTGAGACTCGGGAACCCTGGGGTTCTCAGCCCTGCTTGTGTTGTGGTTGTCGAATAGCAGCCTCTCCTTCCGGAACTCAGCCCAGTCATAATTGGCCGGCCGCACCAGAGAGATAACAACAGAGTACAGCGCTGGACTCAGCGCCGAGGCCGTGGTGCCATAGACACAGGGCAGGGTGGCGCCGGTAGATGCGATGGAAATCTCGCCGTAGAAGGCGTGCGCGGAGCCCAGCCAGACTGCGAGGCCCGTAGCGAGTCCAAGCAGGGGCGAGACGATCGCAGCGACCTTGGACTGCTTCTTCCACAGTATGGTGAAGGTGGTCGGGAAGATGCCCGGGCAGGTCAGCACGCCCAGCATGTACAGCGTCCAGCCGAGGTCGACGCTGCCGTAGTACAGCGCCGTCGAGAAGGCCGCCGAGAAGATGCCGAAGATGACGACGCCGATGTGGCTCCAGCGGATGACGTCGCGGTCCGTCGCGCCGCGGTTCAGGTACTGCCGGTAGATATCGAAGGTAATGATAGACGAAACGGCGATCACCTGCGCTGAGATGGTCGAGGTGACGGCCATGAATGTGATGAGCAGGACTGCGGCGGCGCCGCCTTTGCCGGCGATGGCGACTGCTGCGTACGGCAGGACGAGGCCGTTGGAGATCTCTACCGTCGACATGCGGTCTGGGTAGGTTGGGAAGCGGGGGGACTGGATTGCCTCGAGGCCGAGGGCCGAGAGGGACATGAGCGTGCCCAGACACCAGGGGATGGCGAAGTAGGCGATCCCGCCGATGATGTAGCCTGGGACCACGGCTTGTGGGGCGGCGCTGAAGGCTTTTGTGAAGAAGCCCGTGTCCATGATGACTAGGCCAAAGTTGGCGAGAATGTGGATGATGCCGAATAAGATGGCCTTTCACATAGGTAAGTACGTGTCAAACAGAGCCTTCAAAGATAAGAGGAACTTACATCCTTGCTTGCCATTGTCAAGTACGATCCGTCATGATTTCCGGCCACAGGATGGGCCTGGCCGGCCTTGACGACAAGATCGAAGAGATGGCCCGGGGAGGATATCTCTGGGACTGAGAATGTCGCGATGGTGAAGTAGCAGATTATTATGGTTATGATAAACGTGTGGAAGTAGTCTGTCAGGAAAGTGGCCTTGATGCCACCAACAAATGTATACAGAACCACACTTGCCGGCAGCAAGAAGATGGCGGCTACCACTGGCATTCCGGTCCTGAAATTCTATCAGTGCGCCGTGCATCGTGGGTGATACTAAGGTAGAGTCACTCACAGTGCCGAGATGGCTGCACTGGCGCCTAGCAACATATTTGCAACGGCGATAATATTGTTGATGAGGCATAGTGCAATCCAGACTATATGCGCAACGTTACCGTATCTAATACGCACGATTTCCAGGAGTGTGTGAGCCTCTGGAATCCGCATTTTGCATGCAATTCCCAGCACTGCGAAGAATACAATCATGGGCGAACACCTAAAACAGTTTGGTCAGCAAAGCGCCGGCTGGGTTAGGGGAAACTCCGGCAGACTCACCCAGCAGCAAACCAAAAAGGACCAGCAATGCCATAATTGTAGCCGACGAGCGTAGACCCGAGCATGGCTGTGCTCCACAGCCAACTAGATATGACGGCTGAAGCTGTCAGGCCGGTCCCGACCCGGCGGTTTGCAGTCATGAACATTTCTGTGGTTCTGTTGTCCTCGCCTGCGGTCCTTTTAAGGAGGTAGGTGACGAATATCATGATAAAGGCAATAAGGAAGCCGATAAGTACGACGACCACATATCCAACTGCCTGAGGCAGAGGAGGGTCAATAGAGCCACTCGCCGCAGCGCGAGAGAATATTATTGAAGCCATTGTGAAACCTGCATGCAGCCTTGACGCTGAGAAGGTGACAGTGACGATCGGCACGGGCACCGTTGCAACTGGACGGATATCGCAAATATTTAAGAGAACACCACGACTCCGATGTCTATCGGTAGCCACAGTTATTGCAACGTACAACCAGACTGCTGGTAATTATCATGCACGACGTAAGTTTGCGGCCCCACGTTTCCGGGTTCGCAACGCTTGAGCGGCGATGGTGTCATTATGCCTAACATGGCATCTCTACGTAGTCACAGTCCGCTGTTACGGCTAGTCAGAAGCCACAGGGTGCCGCCAAACGAGCTTTCCCTGCAGAGACAAGGAGGAATTTGATCGAGTACCGAAACGCTGGGTCGATGGGCGTGGGCAGATCCAAGAGTTGGGGTGGAACTGCAACGCGGGACGGGGGATATCTATTGCGATTCATTAGGCTCGATGACGCGAAAGCGGCTGGCCCTGTTGCCATGCAGCCCATGCAGGCGATCTCATGGATCAACAACCTTTGCTACCCACCGGAATCCCGTCACTAGCTGCGCATGCGGAGCTCGATCGGTAGAACGCGCGTGGGGTAGCTTGGGAATGAGGTCTGTTGCGACTTGATCTCGTCGTGATGAAAAGGGCTCGGGTTTCTGCCCCAACCTGAGGCTCAACGCAACCCGCCCAGCTCACCATTCCGCTACGCCCTACCTCATCTTTGTGAAGCACTGTGGCACAATGGCATCATCCGCACCTCAATCGAGCAATGGGACGCCGGGCTCCGGCCCGGGCGCTAAGAAGCAGCTGATCATCAACGCCTTTGTCGAGTCCTGCAGCGGCCATCAGTCTCCGGGCTTGTGGAGGCACCCCCGTGACCGGTCCTCGAACTTCAACGACATCAAGCACTGGGTCGAGCTGGCCAAGCTCCTCGAAAAGGGCCATTTCCATGGGATGTTTATTGCCGACGTGCTTGTATGTGTTGGCACCGAACAATAAAATCCTCATCTTTACTAACAAAGTAAAAGGGCTCTTACGATGTGTACAAAGGCCCGCGGAATCCGGACCCGGCTATAGTGTCAGGAGCACAATGGCCTGTCAACGAGCCGCTCGCCGTTGTCCCTGCCATGGCGGCCGCGACCAAGAATCTCGGCTTTGGTGTCACCCTGGCCACAACGTATGAACAGCCCTACCATCTGGCTCGGAGGCTGAGCACAGTCGACCACCTGAGTGGTGGCAGGGTCGGCTGGAATATCGTGACTGGCTACTTGGACTCAGCAGCCAGGAACCTCGGACATACCGAGCAGCCTGTGCACGATGAGCGATACGCAATTGCAGAGGAATATGTCGAGGTCATGTACAAGCTTTGGTGAGTTGGCCTCGAAACACACAATTTCTAAGCGGGAGACAAAAAAGGAGAGGCTAACACTCGAGACCCAGGCAATCATCGTGGCGCGACGACGCAGTGAAGCTAGACAAGGAGAAGGGAATCTACACAGACCCCAAGCTGGTGAGGACCATCGACCACGTGGGCAAGTACTACACCGTCCCAGGGCCGCATATCTGCCAGCCGTCACCGCAGCGGACCCCAGTCATCATGCAAGCCGGGACATCAAAGGCAGGCAAGACGTTCGCCGCGCGCCACGCCGAGGCCATCTTCGTGGCCGGGCACAGCCCCTCGGTGATAGCCAAGAACATCGCCGAGATCCGGGCCATGGCGCGCGACGACTTCGGGCGCGACCCGCGCAGCGTCAAGTTTCTGGCGCTGGTGTGCCCCATCATCGCGGACACGACGGAGCAGGCGGCGGCCAAGTACGAGGAGTTTGTGAGCTACGGGTCCGAGGACGGCGCGCTGGCGCTGTTTGGCGGGTGGACGGGCATCGACCTGGCCAAGTACGGCGACGACGAGGAGCTGCGCCACGTCGAGAGCAACGCCATCCGGTCGGCCGTCGAGGCGTGGTCCAAGAGCGTGCCCGGCGTGCCCAAGTGGACCAAGCACACCGTTGCGAACCACATCAAGGTCGGCGGGCTGGGCGCCACCGTCGCCGGCACCGCGGAGGAGGTCGCGGACGAGATGGAGCGGTGGGTCCGCGAGGCCGACGTGGATGGCTTCAACCTGGCGTACGCGCTGATGCCTGAGACCTTTGAGGATGTCATTGAGAAACTGCTGCCTGTCCTGCGTCAGCGGGGCCTGTTCTGGGATGGGTATGCGGTGGACGGCGGGACTTATAGGGAGAATTTGTATGGCAAGAGGGGGCTTGCGCGGCCGCCGCCGGACCATGCAGCTGCGAAATATCACTGGAAGGCCGAGGGCTAGAGCAGAAGCTATGTGGCAGAGTGCATGTTGGGTTTGGGCGGTTTTACAGGAACAGAGTACGCGCGGAAACTGAAGTCAGTGGATTAATATGCCAACTATCGATCTGGGTCAACAAGAACAAGAATTTACAACACCTGTGCCTGACTATCTAAAAAGAAGAAAAAATGGAATTGTCCAGAAAGATGTGCAAAAACGTGGCAAGTATTTGTGGAAAATTTACTCGGGAACAAATCGGCCTCGCAAGTGTTTCCCAGCTGGCGTCTTTCTCCCGGCTTGTCGCGACGGATCAATCGATTGATTGCTCCTCGTTTTGGTAGCAGCAGCCGCAGCCCGAGCTGCAGACCGGGTTTGCATTAGTATAGGAGCTGGTTTAGGAGGAGCAGACCCGGGAGGTGAAGCAGCCCGGGGAGAAGCAGCCGCGCTGGGAGCGTCTCCAGCGCCTGAGCCACCACGTTGTAAGGACTGCGGTAGGCTGATCGGTTTCTTCTCCCTGGCGAGGGAGACGGCCCACCGCCGGTTCTGCGCAGATATCCGCCAGCGGTGTACCTTCCCCAGCTTCACCTGCTTTTCCACAAGGCCCGCATCCATCATCCTGTTCAAGGTGTGGCTCAAATTGGACAAGACGTCGTCCTTCTTTCCCTCCAGTGCCTCGAGCCCAGGGCGCCTGTCACAGAGGTATCCAAATATCTCTCCGAGGCACATCCAACCCTCTTCGGGGGTGGCCAGTAGGGCTTGGAGGCAGAAGGACCTAAGCGTGTATGGATCGTTGGGGTTACCGTTAGTTACTGCTCCCTGGGCGGGAGAGGACTGCTCTGCTATAGATGTATAATGAGCAAATTCTGGTGAACGAAGTGGACGAGAGAGAGCCTTAATAACAGGAGCCGGAGCCGGAGCCTGGATCACAGAGGTTGGACTCTGACCAAGGGTAGACTTCTCATACTCGTTATCAGCAGGGTGCTGTGAAGGCTGGCCGTCGCCCCTGGCAAGCATGCACAGGACCCGGGCCGCCTCCAAGACTTCGGAGTCCACAGAACCACTCATTTTGGAATGATACAGATCTAGTAAGTCCGGAATAATCGTCTTGGTCTTGCTGAAAGGCTTTGTCTTTTGTGAGGCGGGATGGCTCGGAGTGTTGAGTGCTCGAATTGGTTTGGGATGAGCAATCCAGACAACATTGAAGATGGAGACAGGGGATGATCGAAAGCCGTCAAACATTTATGTGGGAAATCGTCCTTGAAACATCGCGAAATTATATATACTTAATGGATTGTTCTCATGCTCATGGATGACTTTGTTCTCCTCGAGTCTGGCCCTCCAACTCGATCTCTCCCGCACAAAGGCTTTGTACCTCAAGCCTGTGACTAGACTAGGGCATCAAATTCGCTTTGTGGAGACAAAGGCCCTGCTTGACCTTCAATTTTGGGCCAATGCTTTTGAAAGATTAGCGTAACACGGTGTGGGCCATACTTGCAAGGATTCGCAGATGTGTCACCCAGTACTGGTTCGGTACTAAATATGAGACACAAAAACTGCCAATGGGCAACTTGAATAATTACTAATCTGCGAAGAGCTCCGCGTAGTTGATCATCAGCCAGTATAACCGACCTACTTGATAGTAGCTGGGTGGCTAAGCCCATGTCTGTGATGACAGCTTATGAAGTACCTAGGTTTTAATAGGGCAGAAACTGAATACTGTGTTCTTGTGTGCAAGCTTAGAATTCGTCTCAAGAATCCAAGCGATAACAACATTCACACGCTGACACCAAGGACAAGGTCTGATCGATGATTCAATTATTGATCTGTCTAACTAAAACCCATGCGTTTGCAACAAGCAGGACATGGAGATCAATATGAGTACTTTGGTAAGCACTTTAGAACCATCAATCCTATTTTGGTGGCGTCCAACCACGAAAGACCTCGGGACGCACGTAAACCGCCCGCGATCGCTCCTTTATAAACTTTAACGACGTCGTAACATGACTTTAGCCTTGGTATCTGGTGCAACCATCCCGCTACCCAGAGAAATCCCCCGCGGTAGGCTTCGATTCCCTGGGAGAAGTTCAAGTTCATAATGAGTGAGAAGATGGGCGAGGACAACCTTCATTGTGACGCTAGCAAAAAATCTGCCAGGACACGCTTGAACACCATTTCCCCAGGTGGTGTTGTTTGGCCCGGGCATGGTGAACTGATGCATGTCTTCGTGACCGGTTTCCTCTCGCATCCTGTAAAACCGCAACGGATCCATCTCTGACTCGTCTTCGCCCTGCATTTGTGACTTTTCGAAATGGTATCTGTCGACGCATATAAGAGTGCCGGGAGGAAGCTCTGGTCCGACAGACAACTTGAGTGGCTTTCGAAGTCGGCGGAAAAGGACCACTGCATTATTGTGATGACTCAACGATTAGCCTATCTCCATTGAGGGGGTGGTGGGAGGGCGCCACATGAGTTGTACGTAGCGAATAGCAGCTTGATTTACTTACAATGCCCGCTGCCTTGCGTTCGAGCGCATTCGAGCATAAAACTATCCAATTTGCGCAATTCGGCCAGGTAGCTGAGAGGAAGACGACCATGACCATCCGTGTTTCGTAAAACCTCGTCCCGCAATTCACACACCAGTTCTGGACGCCTGGCTAGCTCCGCCAGCATGAAGTAGAGCCTTGTTGAGGAGGATGCGGTGGATTCCAAAGCGATTACGAGATGATCGCGTATAAGTCGACTGAGCCTGTGGTCTTTAGACCGATAACGATCGAGAAGCCATCTTGTGAGTGGAAGTTTGTCGTTGATACTCCGCTGATCCTCAGTACCAGCGCCGTCGCCGCCATCTTGGGCGGATTGAGCGGAGGCAACACTGCTGTAACAGCCATTGCCACGTTCAGATTCTTCAGCCTCATATACGGTGAGCTCTCGTTCAATCATGGGTTTGAGAAGCGATGCCATATGCCAGTCCACCAGCTTTGCTGGCAAAAATACGACAGAAGCCACGAGTGGTCGCAAAACGAGGGGTGTGCGGTAGGATGCCACGAGGCCGAGTAACATGGTTGCGTGAAGGCGGCGTGTATCCTTCAACCAACGGGGGTCAGCCCCGAGGTCGGGTCCCAAAAGGCCGGTGGCGTTCATGCGGGTTACAATATTGTGTACGGTCTCCCATAGCGGCACGGCTGTCCACTCGTTTCTTGTAACGTCGGTGCCCAGCACGGCCTCAAATGCAGCCTTGGCGTAGTTCTGGCGCATCCAGACGCGTGAGGGAAGGGCACGAAATAGGTCGATGGCTACAGTATGGTATCGAGCATGATTGTCGACGCCCATGAATTTCCATCCTTGCCACATCGTCCGATTAAACCAGTCGATTGTTGAAGCCCGAGATGCATTCAGGCGCTTGACCTCGTCAAAAGATGAGGACGGGAAGACGACATGCTCATATCCACCATACTTGGTTATAAATGGTGAGTTAGGGTATCGCCTTGCACCCTCGATTAGCAAGCGACGGTAGTCCCAATCCTTTTGCATGTGTAAAATTGGTAGCTGCAGTCCGTCACCGCGATGTGCAGACCATGCGATCAAGCGAATGAGCAGTAGCACTGCAACAGCGACCAGGGCCAGAAATGTCACAACCTCCACAGACATGCAACTTGCATGGAAGAGGTCGTCCAGTTGGGGGGATATTCCATGCTTGATTTTCTTAAGAAGAGGGCGGCAAAGCTGGCCTTTGGACAGCCGCAACGGTCCCATAGCGCTCAGTGCTGCTGACAACTGCTCCCTGTAGATAGCACGCTGCTCGGAAAACCGGTTCAACATAATGTCTGAATTGGAGAAAGACAACTCAATGTTATAAGTAAAGAGTCAAGAGTTCTGGTGGAAGAGCGTTCAACGTGATCGTTGATGTAACTTGACAACGTAGTGGTTTATTGTGGCTGGAGGTGTTTGTGAGGTGCACGCGACCCGGATGCAAGATGTCTGGAGAGGAGGAGAGGATTTAAGCTAATAAGTTGCATCGCATTCGGTCGCGAGTGAATCCAGGAAGGCACGACTACTGTGAGATTGCGCAGTTGCCGAGGTATCGTTGATGCCAACAGCCGACGGCGTCCCACGTCCCCCTCCCTTTTTCCATTGCACGCTCAAGTTTCTATGTCCGCACTGAAGATCGTGATCACGAGCCTGCATCGAGCTTCGAATCAACTGATACCACCCCATGCGTGATGGTCAAAGTGACTAGTAAATATCAAAGCGGTTTCAAGCGCTTACCAGCTTATGAAGGAACCGCATACGCCTTCGGATGTGCCAGTGCCAGTGATCCAGATTAAGAACAAAACTTGAACCACGTGGATCAAAGCGTTGCGGCACGACTTGTGTAGGCAGGGTTGCTCCAGATACATATAGTGTACAACAACGTAAGTAACATGTCAGTGAATCTTGCCTGGCACGGCCCACAGCTTGCTAACTCTTAGTGAAGGCTGTGCGCAACACCATGTCCAGCGCCTAATGACTCTAGTCTCTCGCTCAATGCTTCATGCAGCTCGCAAAGGGTACACGCTCAGGAGGGACCTGGGTTCTGAAATGCTCCCATGTAGCAGGCAGGTCCCGGTTAGGTTGCGAAAGATGCCTCATCTGCTTTTTCACCTTGGTAAATCCTTTTGTGTTGATGGAAAGTCACCCGTCCTCCACCTGCTACATATGTAGAACGTCTAATTTTCATGAACGGAAAGATACACCAACTACCCTGATCTCAGTGCGATCAATTTATTTGTTATCGCAAATCAGGCAGCCCTCGTTATACCACATATCTTGAGAAGATAAGCCAGCTCTTATCCCTACTCAGTGGTCATTTGCCATGTTGATGTCAAAACAACGTCATTATAATGCCCTTTTTTATTCCCTGTTCATTGGAGCGGTCGGAAGTGGATAAAACCTCAGACAAAGCGATCTAATGGCTCACGAGAACCCTGTTGTCGTGAACTCTGGTTTCTGATTTGATCTCAATCTGATCAACGTCGAAGGCTGTCATGTTTACAAGGCGGGGAGACATGACATGGCCAGAGGTCGCAAGCCCGTGTTTTTTCTCAACGGGTCAATCCCAGGATTGGTCTTGGGAGGAACCTACCGTGGTGCCGATGAATAGCACAGCCAGGCAGTGGTAGTTCGATAGAGTCTCTGAAGACCTCGGGTTGGGACACAAGCGTTCAACTTCAGTTGGTCTCTATCGCGATCCCAACTACTTAGCATGGCACATCAATGATGTGATGTAACTGGTTGACGACTGCAACATCTCACTCACATAGAGGGTAGCAGCTTACTAAGTGCAGATACTCTGACCACATTGTCTATACTCAAGTGTGTATAAGAGCTCATAATCATTCCCCCCCATGATGAGCAAACTGAGGGTGACAACATATCCGGCCCAACACCAAGAAAGAACCCGCAGTATTCATTCCACAAAGTCCGGCCGAAACCTCGTGAGCTAGGCGAGGAAATCCACCGCCTTACCTAGGAAATAGCACAAGACTTGCAAAACAGAGGCCAAACCATCCCGTCCATCAACGATACGTGACCTACTAATGGCACAGGACCCATGGGGGACGTAGGGTCAGCACCAAAGCTCGCAGGGCGGCGAGGGAGCTCGAGGCCCTCGCCCTGGGCCCGCACCAGGCCCCGGGGATTTTGGGACTTTGCACGAGTAAATTATCGGACAAGACAGCATAGAATCCCACGAGGCACGGCTGCTGATGGATGAGTGCTCATGAACGCAATACCCAGACACACGACGCCTCCAGCCCCGGCGTCATGGCCAACTCCGACATGGCGCGCCTCGTGCCCATCGACGGCTCGGCCACATGCTTCGCAGAGCCATCAGAGAAGACGGGCGTCGACGAGGACAGGCTGGGTGGGTGTTGTCCCCCACACCCCACCCAGGACATGTATGTACCACCTACGTTGGGAAATAAGGCGTGGTCTGGCTGACATCAGACCCGAACGAAAGCCCGCATCCTCTGCTACGCAGCAGCAAATCAACCCCGGCGGCGGACACAGAACCCACGCGGCCCTCTCGGCCAACCTGGCCCGCTGCGCTGCGCTGCGCTGCGGGGACGGAGACGGAGGGATAGGTCCCATCCGCGAGGTCTTTGACCGCGGCATGGAGGGCATCAGCCGCGGCCCCAGCGCCAACTGGCTGGCTGGCTGGCTGACCAGTTGTCTGTCTGTCTCTGTGTATCACAGGCAAAGATGGGCTTCACGACCATGACCCTCTTCAACGCCAAGGAGCGCACCGTGGCGCTGTCTGGGCGCGCGAGCGAGCGCCCCGTGCTGAGAGGGACGCACCAGGTAGGTGCCTGATGATGCGACGGGTAGTGATGTTCGAGGCGGTTTATGGATAGATAGGGAGATGGGCTGAGGACGGCCGCTCGGAGCTCCGATGTCAATCCATGGGGGTGGAAGGTTTCGAGCCGTATACGGTACATATATGTGGTCGTATCCTAATGTGATTATTGGGCCAGGACAAGTGTCACCCATCGATCCGCACACAAGTATACGAAATCCTCTCGCAAAAGGTTCATCTTCGATGCAGTAAATTAGAACCCACCACATCCATCCAGCCTGCCATACATTTTGATACAACAGGCGCCTGATCCAACCAGGCAGACAAACAGAAACCTGCGCGACTGACTCCTATGTGTCCCCTTGGCCCCCTCCTGTCAACTCGGTTCCCAGCCGGCCAGGTAAAGAGCGAAGACAAAAGACAAAAGACAAAAAGCCTAAACTCCACGCAAAACCAAACATCAGAGAAAAGAATGAAAACAAGACGGGGGTATTTGTTGTTGTCCTGTGATGCCGTCAAAACGAAACACTTCTTCCTGGGCCTCTCCAGATCTCGTATTTCCTTTCTTTCTTCCTTTCTTTCGTTCTCTCCTTCCCAGCCAGCCGAAGCCGAAACCAAGTCCCTCGGGAAAGACAGATATAGCACGCGCGGCAAAACCAAGCCGCCGTGAGGAATAATACAAGCACAGTACGAGGGAGTCACGCGCGTCAGCTCAATTCCCATAATCATCCCACCCGTCGTCGGCATCCCCCATCTGCACGTCAAACTCCGTGTCCAGCGCCGCCTGGCCCTGCCGGATCAGCGCCTGCAGCTCCCCGTTGAGCCTGTCCAGCCGCGTCGTGTTGCGCTTCTCGGCCGCCGCCCGCTGCGCCGCCAGCCTCTTGGCCTCGTCGTCCAGCCGCGGCGACAGCTGCGGATCCATCGTCCCGCCGGCCCCGCCGGCCCCGCTGGGCGACCTGGCGCGCCCTGCCGAGAGGCTCGTCGCGCTGCGGCGGTGGTGGCCCCCGGCCCGCGACGGCGTGCCTGACCTGGGGATGAAGGACGGCGTCAGCGGGGAGTGGTGGACCGAGTGGCGGGCTGAGTGCCGGCTGGTCGGCCGGCTGCTGGGCGTGTTGTTGTTGTTTGGGGATGGCCGTTGGATGTTGGCGAATGGGTTGGGCCCTCCTAGATTTAGGCCCAGGCCCTTGGGCTGTGGTATCCGTGAGCCGTTGAGGGCAACGGTCGGCGTGGTTGGGGTCGACCGCGAGGGGGGCGACCGCGGGCTGGCGAAGCTGGCGCCATCGCCGGACCCCAGCGATGGTGATGCGACCGAGCCGCCCGCGTACGAGGCGTTGGAGGCCAGAGACAGCCTGGACGCAGAGCGAGGTGGTTGGATGCCGGGCTTCTGCTCGAACCCAAAGCGAGTCGAGGTCACACTAAACCGTCGTGCTGGGGGGTCCATGGAGCCGGCTTGCTTGGTCGGGGTTGCGAAGGGGTTGGGCTGCTGCAGGCGGGCTGCCAGGTTGCTGGTGGTGCGGGCTGGGATGCGAGACGGGGTTATTGATGATATCGACGAGATTGATGTACGCTTGTTCAACGCCGGCCGTCTTGTCGTCGGGGACTGCTGCTGTTCCTTCTCGTCGACCATGACCCAGTTCCGCCGCAGCTCGTCCAGCTCGCCGATCATGCCCGTCTGCCTCCTCTTGGGCGCCGGCCGGTCGGATATTGTGTCTGGGGAGCCCTCGCGCAGGAGCTGCTCCTGCCGCTCGAGTTCTTGCCTCTCCATCTCCTGTCGTTCGTGCTCACGCTGTTGTTCCTGCTGTTGCTGGTGGATCCTCTGCTGTTCCTGCTCCTCCTGTTCCTGGTAGTCACGGTATATCTCCTCTTGCCTGTGGTCTTCGTAGTCTGGGATACTGTCTGGAAGGTAGGACACTGCGTCGGAGAATACGGGGAAGGCCCCAGGTGGGCTCTCCGAGTCCTCGCGGTCCTGAGGAGTTGGCGGTAGGTCGGTCTGGATCTGGAGCTGGGGGTGGCTGTTAATGGGCTGGCCGTTGGTCTCGTACGCCTTGCCGCCGCCTGCCCTGAAGCCCTGGAAGGCACCGGCGCCGCCCCTGCAGAACTCCCACACCTTTCCCACGACGCCTCCTATGGCCTGGAATGCAAAAGTGGTCCAGCCTGCCGCGCGTGGCGAGGTAGGTGTTGCTGGAGCGAGGATGAGGGGAATGGTCCTGTACAGGCCGAGGATCGGGGGCGGGTCGTCGTGTGGTGTTTTTGAGCCCAGCTCGAGGCGGCGGCGGTAGTCGACGTCCGAGTACAGGCTGTCGTCGAGGCCCGCAGCACTGCCGGGGGTGGCTTGTGTGCCGGGGGTCTCTATCTGGCCTGCCAAAAGGTACCTGTCCTGGCCGCGCGCACTGTCCTCCATGCCGGAAACCTTATCAAAATACGAGCTGCTGGCTCTGGTCTCGTCGTACGTGCGCTTCCTACCTAATCTCGGGGCTGGCATGCCGTTGTTGGCGGAGGTGTTATCGGACAGCATCGAGCCGGAGAGGTTGTGGTTGGACGAGGTGGTCGGGGAGGCGGGCGGGCGGAACATGTTGGCGTTGAGGGTGGTGGCCGCCGGGGTGGTGGGCTCGGAGCAGTGGAAGGTGCCTGGCATGTATAAAGGCGACGCAGACGCCATGTCGTAGGAAGGGAAGAGAGACAGAGAGACAGAGAGAGGGAGAGAGAGGGAGTCACGAGATCAAGTGGAGGTACTCCGTAGGCAAGCCGGTTGCAGGCGTGGAAGCGGGACGGGAAGGGCTCGTGGTGGAGCGAGCTGTGGAGCTCTCGGCCCTGGGTCTCTGAGTCTCTGGTCCTCTGGCGGGTGGAGTGTGATGTGATGTGATCGATGTGATTGTTGCGACCGAGGCAACAGGACAGACAAGACAGCCAGCCTTATGGGAGGATGCCGGACGAGTTATGGTCGCAGTGGGTGGATTATGGATTATTGGAGCTCGAGCTCGGGACTCAGGGTTTAGGTTCAGGATGTCGTCGCCGCCTCTGCCGTTCACGCATGGTCTGCCACGGCCTGGCGCGAGTCGTGAAGCAGCATTTCTGGCCGGGAGCTGGCCACCCCTGCTGCGTTTCCCCCTCGAAAGATTAAAGCCAAATCTCCGCCCAAGCCGTGGAGTCGGGGTCGGCAGTGTGCCCGTTGGTGGAGCAGGTGACGGGGTTGTGGGATGTTGGATGCGAGGGGACAGGAGACGACAGGAGACGACAGTAAATAAAGAAGAGCAGGCAAGCAAGCAACCAAGCTGGGCGAGCCGACGTCAATGGTTGCAGGGATCAACGTGACGGATCGGTTCTTGCTAGCGCAGAATGCCGAGTGCAGAGTGCAAGAGCTGCCAGGGTCCAGCTTCTTCTTTTGTTGCCGTCAGTCAGCTCGAGTTGGGTTGCTCTGCTCTGGTCTGCTCTGTCCAGAAACAATAAAGTCGACGGATCAGACGATCTGACGATCTGGTAGGGAGAGAAGCCGGAGACTGGAATAAATTTGACGTGTTTCGAAATTGATGAGCGCGTGGGTGCGTGGCTGCCGCCTGTGGATCTCGTCCAACTGGCGGTCGACCACAACGCCCCAGAATGCTGCAAGATTACAGGTGCCCGTCTCTCTCGGCTGGGGGGCAAGGTGGAGCCTGCTCTGCTGCAGGGCAGTGTGGGAGGGGGCCAGGGACTGGTAGTGGGCAGGGCAGCACAGGGACAGAGCTTGGGGGGGCAGGGGGTCTTGGGGGGCTTGGGGCCGCGGGTCGACCCGAGTGAGCGGTCTGACGAACAGGCCAGCCTTTGAGTGGCTTTGGCGTGCCGTTGCTGTGGAGAAGGCTCACCAATGTCAACAATCCTTCTCCAAAATGAGGGGGGGGGGCACCGATGAGCCGACAGGGTACGGGATACCACGTGCAGCTCGAAAGATGCAAGGACGACCAGTGGTCGCCCACGTCACCACGTGCCCATCAATCTCGAGGCTGCCCATTAAATATACTGCATTTTGGAAGCGGCACGGCAAACATGTGATGTTCAAGTCGACCCGTCCAGCCAGCCAACTGCAGACTCCAGCATAGACCATGGGAGAATTCATGTACTGTAGCTACTCACTCCCCTCGTATTCTACCATGGCCTCTAGTATCATCCTACTCGATGCCTGCTCTGAAGAGGCACTGTAGGCCATAGAACAGGAGAGATCATGCCAAATTCAGTGGCTATTTGTCCTCTACATTATGCTGATGCTGGGTCTATCGCCAGTGACCAAATGCCAGAAAACACCCCAGCCCGCCGCCCACCACTCTGTGATTGACTCCCGTGAAGCAAGCATCAAGACAACAAACGCCCAAGTCTGACCGAGTCTGAGTAAACGACACACCAATATCCCGTCCCCACGCCACCATGCCCACACGTGTGGGTAGACGTCAGCCAGCCAGCCTTTCCAATTCAAGGCGCACCGCCCGCACCCTTGTAGTACTCGTCCACAGCCTCGAGATGGTCCTTGGCAACACCGCCCTGGACGCCCGCATCACCATGGACATGCCCCTGCCCGGCCCAGTACGCCTCGCGCTCCCGGATAATCTCGGCGGCCCACTCCTTGGTCTCGTCGAGCGCGAGGCGCGTGGCGACGTACGCGAACTCGCCGAGGTCCAGCTTCCGCTCGCCGCGCCGCTCGTACTCGACCATCTGCAGCAACAGCTCGACCTTGTCGATGTCGTGGACAAAGTGGCTGTCGAGGGTCTCGCTGTCCTCGTACTCCTGCCACAGCGCGCGGATCTCCTCGCCCACGTCACCCTTTGCGCCGCCCCCCAGGAGGCTGCCGGTGAGGTAGTCCATCGTCTCGGCCTCGCGCCGGCTCTTCTCGGGCTTGGGCACGCCGTCCACGGGCGTGATGTCGCCCACCAGCGACTCGGCCATGTCGTGCACCAGGCACATGCGCGTGCACTTGTCGCGGTCGATGCGGGCCAGCAGGGCCGGGGGCGCCAGCATGCTGATCATGGCCATGCGGTACATGTGGTCTGCGATGGACTCGCCGCGGGCGATGCCGAAGCGCCGCCAGCCCTCGCGCTTGGTCGTCTTGAGGCGCTCGAGCATGTGGAAGTAGGCGACGGGCGAGGAGGAGGTCGAGGTGGTGGCGGGTGGTGGGGTGGGTGTGATGGTGGCTAGGACCTTGGCTACGGTCCAGTCGCCGGTTATCTTGGGGGTGATGACGATCGAGGGGTCTGGTGGTGGATGGGTGGTCACCGTTAGCATCGGGCATGTCAAGGGAGGGGGGAAGAGACAGGAGTGGAAGAGGCGGGCGTACCTGGGTCGGCCGGCTTGACGTCGTGGTCGAGGCCATTGGCCTGCACGTTGTTGACGGCGCTTGGTGACATCGTGGCCAGTGTTGTTCCTGAGTGTCTGTTGTTTTCTGGGTCCTCGGGCTCTGAAGGGGGAGAGAGATATGGGCAAAGAGAGACAGAACAGGTGGCAGGAAGACCAAGACGGAGGGAGGAGAGGGAGTGTCTGTTTATATCGCGACCGCTCAGGAATTGGGTATCAAAACGATCCAAAAGATCAAAAGATGGAATCAGGCAGGCACCGTTCCAGAATATGCAGGCGGCCGCAGAAGACAGTCCCGAGACAGAATGTGCATGCAGTCGGCAGTTGGGGATGGTCTGGAAGGAAAGGAGCAACAATTCGGAATTCCTAGTCTACAGTACGGAGCGTAGGCCCAAGCAGCAAACGGGCGGAATTGTTGTTCTGCCCCCCACTTGCTGCTGGGTGATCGACAAACAGTGGGTTGCTGGTGGAGGTGGGGATCCCCTGTCGAGCGGATCTTATCAGTCGGTCGCCCACGTTCCAGGCTCCAGCAGGGTTAGGGTAGCTGTATTGACGGCTGACAACTGACCTGCCACCACTGGCCCGTCCTGTTGACATGACCTCGTCTGCTTCATCAGTCAGTCAGTCCGCCAGCCAGCCAGCCCGTGCCGCAAACACTCGGTGATGCTATTCCTCAGCACCTTTGGGTGTTCATGTAGTCAATTGACCCTGCAGAAAGGACGTTATGGGCACGCGGGTCCGGGGCAATCCGATAGCTCCAGAGGACATGTTGTCAGGCCTCGTTTGAAACTTGCAAGCATGGCGACCCCTTTTCTGAGCCGGCGCTGCCGAGTGGCTATGGCTGTCCTATGTGGCACGGCCAAGCGGTCAACGGGCTTCTCCCTCTCGAGATCTTCTCCATCCATTCTGACACGGCAAATATGTCACCCGGGCTCGGTAGCAGCAGCAGCAGCAGCAGCTCCTGGGCCTGACGTGCCAGGATTTGTGGAATAGTAGCATCTCCACTCCCTTCTGGGCCACGTACCTCTGTAGCTCTAACTCCTCTTGCTGGCGTGTCATATCTTATCTTCCCGATTGCGAAGCCAAGTGGCAACGGGCTTGAGCAAGAGAGTCTCCTGACCGCAGCAGCCACCAGAGCACCGTCGTCTGCCAGGTACCCCAGGTGCCTGCCTGCTTAGACAAGCTCCTGTGAGCCAGGCGGTCGGCGGTCGACTGATGGGTCTTCTTCGCCATGTTTTCTGTCCCGAGGAGCAGGCAGGCAGGCGGAGACATCCAGTGAGGTTCACGGATTGGCGCCCAGCAGGTAGTTCCCTTGCGGTAGCACCAGTCCAAGCGAGGGCCAGTTGATCATGTCTTGTCATGTCCTCTTCATTAGAGCTAGATAGAGCATCCCGACTGGTGAGGCTGCTCATTCTTCATCCATGGACTGACTGTCTCGTCTCAAACCTGCAAAGAGGAAGAAGCCTTCTCTCCCGTCCGCAAGACCAAGCCCGAAATCTCTCCTCCGGGGGCAGCACGGACGACAGCACGCCCGTGGTGGGAGCTGCGCCGGCTGTGTCAGGCAGACTCGAGCTCCTTTCTTCTCAGCCTTACAGCCTGGGGTCTCGGTGTACGTAAGTACTCAACCGAAGTGACTGGGTGGGTGGGTGTGCTGCGGGACCAAGCTTATGGCGACCCGCCAGGTTGCGGTGACCCAGCTGCCATCTCACAGCCAGCAGACTCTGCCTGGAGGGGTCACCGCCATGCGCCACTGCCTCGTCAGGCGCGGACGCGATGTTGTTGTTGTTGTTGTTTTCTTCTTCACTTCGCGAGATCAACTCACGAGAGCAATGAAAAAAAAAAAGATTGTCAAGCCGAAGCTCGAAGTGGTTCCAAAAAGTAGAGTGTTGTCTTGCAAGCAAGATCAATTCAGCGCGAAGCTGGAGAGGTAGACAAAAAATTTGAGTCCAGAGAGACCAAGCAACTCCGAACGCCAGCCCCGAGGGGAGTGTTCGTGTTATTGTTCTTCAGTGTTTTCCTGGTGGTGTCGGTTAGCAGTACATATACGTAAACAAAGGAAAAGGATGGGGGGTGTGTGTGTTCCCTGAGCACAATATAAAAGGTCCTCCTCTTTATGTGACCCGGCCTCCGCGGCATTCCACTTCCGCTTCCTCGTGCCTACGGTTCACGGTCCCGGGTCCTCCTCTTTCGGTGCCCATCTCCCTTGGCGCGTCGCGGTCGTGGTCGGCGGTTTATAGCCCGGCGGGGGGGCTCGGGGTGGGGGGGCGGTTGTCGAGGTTTGTCGAGAGTGGTTGAGAAGAGATAGTCGAGTCGAAGGGAGGGGAGGGGATGAGAGGGGGGAGCAGAAGAATAGGAGATGAAAGAGTTGATGAGGGGTGGTGGGTTGGCTGTGGGGTTTGACGCTGAAGTTAGTGTGGGAAGCTTGAGGGAAGGAGGGCGAAGGTGAGAGGTGAATGCGATGATGGACGGTAAGAAGTGAGGGTGAGGGTGAGGGTGGCAAATGGAGATGAGGATGGAGGATGAGGTATGGGAGGCGAGGATTGTGGAGGAGGATGAATAGTGTGAGGAGGGAGAGTAAGGAGTGAGAGTGAGAGTGAGGATTGAGAATTGAGAGCGAGGACTGACAGTTGGTTGAAGTGGGTGTGTTGATGTTGTGGGAAAGGTTGGAAGGCGTTTGTGTGTTTGCAAAAAAAGGTTTTGTAATGTTTTGTGTTGACTGTGAGGGGCAAGACGCGAGGCGCGTCCAAGAGGGATAGCTTTGCTGGGCAGCTCTGCCCAGCAGTGCCACTGAAGGAAAATGTGCTCTCCTAGAGAGACTGTGGGCTATGGAGGGGCAAGGAGGAAAGGAAATGGGCGCTGTGGGGACGAGGCGCGAGAGGGAAGTGTGCTTGTGGGTTGCTGGGTGTATTTTTGAGGTTTTAGGGATGCGAGGGCATGAAAATGCGGGATTCTCACAGGAGGTGACGGGGAGGAGGAGCAGGAGAAGGGAAGGGGGGATAGTCAGAGGAAGGGTAGGAGAAGTGGTGATGTGAGAGTATTCGTCGACGAGAGAAGAGAGGGGAAGGGGATGGTGAGGAGGAGAGAGTGTTGGAGAGAACTTACTGAGATGTTGTGATGTGGAATCTGAAGGAAGAATGGATGGTTGACAAGTCTGGTTGTGGGTTTAAGTAATGGTTGTGGTGGGGGGAAAGGGAGCTGGCTGATTTAGGATTCAGTCTGGTTGACGTTCAGGAAAGGGAGCTCCCCTGAAGTCAGTTACTTTGCTTTGAGGGGAGCTCCACCCCTGTTTGTTTGGAACTAGGAGAGCTCGCATCTTCCAGTTGGAAACTGCTTGCTGGACAGCCTCCGCCATGTGCTGCTCACAAGCGGAGGGATGCCAGTGCTGGAAGCTGGCAGCCACTGGTCAAAGTGGCGTTGGGGCTCCATGTCAAGTACACGGCCCTCAGGCTCCCCTTTAATGAGAAGACTCTTACCTAAATATATCGTCCGTCTATGACGAATATCAATGGAGAGTGGCTACGTCGGGCACTCAATCACCTGCTCGAGTGGGCACGGCTAGGACCAGTTGTGCCGTGTCTTCTCTTCACGAGACTCCGTAGCATGCTCCATGACGGCTCAGCGAGCAGTGTGACTCCACCTGGGCATGTATGCTGGTGGTGTTGTCAGGTTTGGAAGAGCTCAAAGCAAACTTGTACTTGCTATCCATGGGCAGAGAGTGGAATGACTGTCTACAACTGCCCAGATTCTTGTTGCTACTAATGTTCAGAGTTCAGGGTGTGAGGTATCTGAGAAAGAGCTGGTCTCCTCTGAGTCTTGATGATAACACTGCGTTGCTGCAGGCATCGCCAGCTTCGCCTCTGCAAAATATGTCAGTTTTTGGGAGGACCAGCTTCTAATGGTATTTGTCTATGAAGATCTCTAATCTGACTGCTGGAGACGCCCGCTCTGGCTGTCTACTCTACCAGACGAGTGTGTTCAGGGTTTTCTCTGCAAGATGTCCTTGTACCAGGACTTCATCTGGCTGGTCGCAACGCCAACCTGATTAAGCTGTCCCTCCAGCAGAATGAAGTCATGTGCGGCCTTCGGAAACCCTTCGAGGACCACCCTCGTGTCGGGGTTCCTCACCCGCAGCCGCTTCGCAAAAGCCAAGATCTGCTCCCTCAGCACCTCGCGCTGCCCAACAGTCACAAGCACGTCGCTGACAACCCCATCCACGCCGTCCCACCAGGAACCGTCCCGCACGTCCCCAGGCATAGCCCAGCCCGCCACCTCAGCCGCCTCGTAGCTCCGTGCCCCGCCGAGCGCGCTCGTCGTGAGGGAAGTCGACTGCCTGACGACCTTGGCCGAGACCATGTCCAGGTACTCATTCTCGCGGAACGCCGGCCCGTCGTCCACGCCGCTCAGCCAGGGGGACACGAAGAAGGCGCCCGCGAACCTCTGCCCCGGGGGAAGCTCGATCCTGGCCGCGCCGGGGAGGGGGTGGACCAGGTGCGCCAGCAGGCCGGCGGCGATGTGCCCGCCGCACGAGTCCCCGCCAAAGACGACGTCGGACGGCGACACGCGGCCGCCGTCCAGGACGACGGCGAGCGCCTCGGCGGCCTGGAGCAGCTGCGTGGGGTACGAGGCGGCCGGCCAGAGGCTGTACTGCAGGACGGCGACGGCGACGTCCTCGCCCGCCTCGGCGGCCGCGGACAGGTACGCGTTGCGGCACCAGTTCAGGTGCCCGACGTCGAGGGGCAGGACGTAGCCGCCGCCGTGGAAGAAGAGCACGAACTTGGTGGCGGTGGCGCGGTCGCCCAGCCAGAGGATGGAGCTCTGGCCGTCGGAGAGGGGCTGGATCTCAGGCCTCAGGCGGGACAGCGAGGTAGGGCTCTTGGCGGTGTCGTACGTCAAGATGTTCTTTGTCACGACCGCGGCCAGCCAGAGGAGGTAGACCGTGCCGGTCGGGGGCATGATGAACTGCAGCTCTGTCGGGGTGACGGTGTTCATCAAGGTGCGGAGGAGGTTGCAGTACATGAAGGGCAGCACTGGGAGCCCGCGGCGCACGCATTGTGGGACTGCGTGGAGGAGGTTGACGAAGAGGACCGGTGGTACTGTGAAGTGTGTCAGCGTTTCGATCATTGATGCTTTGATATTGGAATGAGTGGCCCGGGTTGCCTCACCGATGACCAAGAGCTTGATGGCCAGTCTGAGAATCTCCAGCCAGGACAGCTGGGCTCTGTGGAAGAGTTCATGAGGAGCCATGGTGGCTTGGTAGATGTGGTGGGGTTCACTTTGCAATGAGAGGCATAATTCGTTGCCGTCGGAGTCAACTCGATGATGATCTCAAGTGCTCTATAGTTGCCGTAAGGGATGAACGAGGGACTTCAACTTCGGCCGTGTAATAAGCGAGACAGCTGGAATGGGCAGGGTGTTCTTTCACATGGGAACCCGAGAATTTAAATTTCAACACTAATTGACATGGCCGTTGCTAGATGAATCCTTTGAGGCAGCCGCACGGAAGTAATTGTGGATCGTCAGCACTACTTGACCAGCTCGTGCGAGTTATAATAAGCTGACGATTGAGGCGCAACCACTCGGCGCATTGTCAGTTGCGAAACGGGAAGCACACCTGAAAAAAAGGCCCCACTCTTAATGTTGAGATCCTTCTGCCCTACCGACTGACTTGCTCTGCAGCAGAATGCGTGCATGTGAAATAGCGCAAGTGGTCATTGGTGGCCGAGCGTTGATATACGACATATGCAAGACATCGGTGCGTCCGCCCAAGGGTGTTACATGCAATGGAACATCTCGGTGGCACCCCTGACACTCATACTGTAACTCGGTGAGTCGGTGAGTTGAGGTGGGGACTGTGCAGCCTGGCAGCCTGGCAGCCTCCGATGGCCACCCTCTCAGCCTCTCAGCCTCTGCACATCTCTCAGCCGTGGGTGCCACGCCGCGCGGTTGTGAGACGCGGTGGAAGCGCGCTTACCCCGGACACGCGAGGGACGGTCGGTGGGGTGAAAGCCCCCACTATGGAGTACCTACGTGCCGAGATACCTGACGTATATCCAAGTACCCAGGTACCTACTATCGGGTGTCTCGCCGGTGGAGCCCTGGGTCTTAGATACCAAGCAGTCCTGACAGGTCTGACAGCACGGATCATTGGCCGGACCGGCTTATCGCCAAATGCCCCTCAATCTTCCCTTACCCCCACCTGACCCGCGTACTCCGAAGTCGCCAAAGCGTCATATCGATTGGCCGCATTGCCTTCTCCAAAAAAAAAAAGTCAAAGCCTCGTGCTACACCACGACTTTCTCGACCAAGATCAATTGATCCGAGGCAACGTGATACCATGTGTGGTATTTCGGGTATAATTGTATGTTCCAACAAGCTCATGCTCTCCCCGGCCAAATAAACGCGCCTTAAGAATAAGAAACACGCTGACTCTCTCTTGCGACAGCTGGGCGATCCAGAAGCCACCACCGCCGCCATCGACCTGCACGAGTCCCTGTACTATCTCCAGCACGTCAGTTACCCGATCGCAAAGCCTCTCTGCGCCACATATTGCACTGCTTCTTGTCTTGGAGGAATGCTGACGCTCGGAATAGCGTGGACAAGATGCTGCCGGTATTGCCGTGTGTCGGGGCGGGAGGGTCTTCCAGTGCAAGGGCCTAGGCATGGCCAGCAAGGTCTTTGACGATGGCAAGCGCGCGACGCCGGCGACGATACCTGGCTACATGGGGTAACCTCACCTCCGACAACATCATGGCCATCGTGACCAGACGAATGGATGGGGGCTGACATTGCGCCTGTAACAGAATTTCTCACCTTCGCTACCCGACTGCCGGCACCTCATCTGCGTACGCTCGACCAATCCCCGGCCAAACCTACCTTGCGGCCTCAAGCCTGACTCGAGCAAATTCTAACGTCTTCGTCACTGCAGATCGGAAGCCCAGCCCTTCTTCGTCAACTCCCCCTTCGGCCTGTCAATGAGCGTCAACGGAAATGTCGTCAACGCCCCGGAAATCGTCAAGTTCCTGGACTACGAGGCTCGCCGCCATGTCAACACCGACTCCGACTCCGAACTCATGTACGGCCACCCGTCTGTCAGGTTTCAGTCCCGCCTTTTCGCTAACCCAAGACCCGTTCCTCAGGCTGAACATTCTCGCCTGGGCCCTTGGCGAAACTGGCAAGCGCCGAGCCAGTGTGGAAGATGTCTTTGCTGCGCTGCGCGAGGTTTACGCAAGGTGTCATGGTGCATTTGCATGTACCGCCATGATTGCCGGCTTTGGCATCTTGGGCTTCCGGTACGTTTTGGCCCCCACACCCCTTTGCGACCTTCCGAATCTCCCAACTAACACGCTTTGCCAATGTTGCAGTGACGAAAATGGCATCCGGCCCCTCTGCCTCGGATCTCGACCATCAGAAACCCTCGAAGGCGCGACAGACTACTTTCTGGCTTCGGAATCGATTGCTCTGACACAGCTTGGATTCAAGAACATCGTTGACATCTTGCCCGGCCAGGCTGTCTTTATCCAAAAAGGAGGCGTTCCTCAGTTCTCACAAGTCGTGCCGGCCAAGTCTTACACCCCTGATCTGTTTGAGTATCTCTACTTCGCAAGGCCTGATGCGCACATGGATGGCATTTCTGTCCACCGCAGCCGACAGAAGATGGGACTGAAGTTGGCCAGCAGGATGAAGCAGGTTTTGGGCGAAGACGGGGTTCGGGAAATTGATGTTGGTATGTCACGCGTGCTGTCCCCATGCTCCATGAATTCAGCATGTCTTTCAATCCCTGCGCAAGGATGCGTATTTGATTGCGGTTTGCTAACATATCGTTCTCAAAGTCATTCCCATTCCCGAGGTGAGTGTTTTCTGCATGCCACATCTCAGGCAGTGGGCCGTTACTCATCATCCTGTTCCAACCAGACTAGTAATACGGCCGGCGCCGAGCTTGCTAAGGAGCTACAAATACCCTTCTCAAATGCGTTCGTGAAGAACAGGTACATCTATCGCACATTCATCGTAAGTACTTTTCTCGACGGGCATCAAGCACCTAGGCACGCGCAATGCTGATTCCTCGAATTCATCCAGCTTCCCGGCCAGAGGGCACGACAAAAGAGCGTCCGTCGGAAGCTCTCACCCATCGCGTCGGAATTCAAAGACAAGGTTGTTTGCCTGGTTGACGACAGCATCGTACGGGGGACGACGTCGTGCGAGATTGTGCGTGGCCCCTCTCCCTCCTTCATGACACAGAAATCAAGTTGTCATCGTGGACTCATCTTCGAGTGAAGCGAGCTGCGCAGGCTTGAAACGCCGCGGAGATGGGCACAAGAGCTTACTGGTTGTTGCGGATTTCAGGTTCAAATGGTTAGAGAATGCGAGGCAAAGCGCATCATCCTGGTGTCTTGCAGCCCAGAGATCACCCACCCACATGTTGTAAGTGTCGCATCTCACTCTAGAGAGACAGGCACATACGCACTGGCTCTCCAGCTTTGAAAGCGGCTGCTAACCCTGTCTGTCCAGCACGGCATCGACCTTGCCGACCCAGCCCGTAAGCACGCAGTCCCAAGCATACATACCACTGACTTGACAGGAAGAAAAAAAGAAAAGCTGACAAAACGGCATCCAGAACTCCTCGCCCACGGCAGGACGCTACAGGAGATGACCGAGATCATCGGGTGCGACGCCCTGGTGTTCCAGACCCTCGAGGACCTGAAGGCAGCCTGCATAGAAGCCGCGGACGAGTCGAGCCAGGTGCGAGACTTTGAGGTCGGTGTCTTCTGCGGCCAGTACACGAGCCCCCTCCCGGCGGACTACCTCGAGCGCTCCATGCGGCAGTACAAGCATGCCACATCATCTAAGAGCGGGGGCAGTGCCGGCGCCCTGGTGTCGAGCAGCGGTCCTGTGAACGTGCAGGCGCCGTTTGAGGACCATGAGGACATCAAGTAAGCTGGCTTATATGTCTACCCCCTGACCTGTGATATGGTAAAAGAAATCAGCCCTGGGGACAAGGTTGACTAATGATGGGTTTTGCGCAGTCTTCACAACAATCTTTCTACCAGGCATTAGGTCGCACCACTTGGAGCAGGCCTGCATCTCTAGGAAGTCCATCCCTTGGGACCCTTACTGCCATCGATGCGCCAGGCCGATGCTAGGATGAAAGTGGAGGGCCGGCACAGACGCTGCTGGGCTGGACTGGGCTGGACTGTCATGGAGTCCATAGGATAGACGGTGCTGGGTGGTAACCAGTGTGGTTTGCCTCTGTTGCACAGATGAACCACGAGGCTCTCTTTTTCTCCCTCTTGTCTTGGGGTTTGAAGACATGGGCGGCTGCAGATTCCAATGCCCCGCGAAGGGCATGGAGACTTTTATACGTACTCAAGCAGCATATGCAGGCGTGGTGGGCTGGGTGACCAAACCTCGTGCGCCGTAGATTCCCTTCCCCTTCCCCGCCAGAAGAGGGACAGACACATTTAAATTAGAATTGCACATGTGTAGAGAGAGGGAGCTATTCCAGTCAGTATCCCTTACCGCCCACCTTCCAAGGTTAACTGGCACCTGTGATTTGCCGTGCACGATTGCAATCTCTCCCGGGTGTTGAACTCGGTGCACATGTTCGGAGAGATGAGGAGCAAGCAGCAAGCACCCTTACGAGGGACAGACTTTTGAAAGATTGTCTGGTTTGTCGGCCTGACGCCCTGGCTGTTGAAGGTCCGAGGGTCAGGTGGCCACAGTACATACAGTGTACTCTGGGCTTCTTCTCTCGAAATAGAATGATTCCGACCAGGGCAGGCAGGCCCTGACACTGTCATGAGAGAGAGGCCCACGGGTGCGTGAGGCGAGCCATCCCAATATGATACATGTGGGAGACTCTCCTCACGGATTCTGAAGGGCATTCAAGTGCTTTTGGATTCCCAAATCGAGACCACTCACAGCCGATCGACGGCCGGGGCGCCTCAAGTTTAATACCGCTCAGCCGCTGAGATCAATCGCCCATGGCAAAAGCAAAAACAACCTGGTCGCTCTGTTGATCGATCGGTGATGGTTGATCAGCTGCTGCCCTAACCCTTCCGCCCTCGTGCTCTGCATTCACCTATTAGCTGATGTGGTCCCGCTGCGGTGGACTGCCGTGACTGCAGCATGAGCTAATGTGTAGAGGCGGCTCTATCAAAAGCAAGCTTCCAAGCTTTGCTGGCTGCGGGAGCGTTCGCCACCTCCGTCATATGTATCAATCCCAGGCGGTCCCCACCAGCCACACATGACGACTGAAGCCACACCCATCCATCCCTTCTGTTTAACCTCGACAGCAGACAGCAACCCTCGCAAAGATATTCTATATTTCTCGTTTTATATAGCTTTTGTTATTAAGTTGAAACTCATTTACAGATCCATCAATAAATCACGGGAATCATGTCGGAAAAGCCACAGCCACAAGAAAGCAATGCTGCTCCTGCTGCTGCACCTCAGCAACCTCCTGCCGGCGGTGGGGCTGGAGCTGCATCTGGATCTGGATCCGGGGCCGGGATAACAGCAGGGCTGCCCATGGCCGAGATCACCCAGGCCGCAGAGGCGGCAAAGGCGGCGGCGCGGTTCCAGGACGCGGCGGACGCGCTCAAGAAGCAGGCGGCGCTCGTCAGGGACCCGGCCGAGCGGGAGAGGCTGTGGCAGGCCGCGTACGCCAAGGAGAAGGAGGCGCACGGGGAGAGCAAGAAGGCGAGGTGTGAGTTGCACGGTTCATATATTTGTCTTTTTTTTTCCCCCAAGGAAAATGAAACCCATGCTGACATCTGCCAGTAATGGCCTCGGGCTGGGGCCAGGGCACGGGCTTCGGCATCGGCATCTCGAGCGCGGTGGGCATGGGGCTGGGCAACCTCGTCGGGGCGCTGCTGAGCGGCGTCGTCGCCGTCCCCGGCAGCCTGATCGGGGCGGGGGTCGGCGCGCTCCACGGACCATGGTACAGATTCAGCGAGACGATGATCGGTGGTGACGGTCAGAAGAAGACAGAGAAGGCTGATCAAGATGCTGGTCATGACAGGCTCGGAAAGGACATGGACAAGACATCGCAGTCCGGCGGCGGCGGGGCAGACGGGACGACGGATGAGGAGGACGAGGAGGCGCACAGGAGGATTGTTGATGCGGCTAAGAAGCTTGAGGAGGAGGAGAAGGGACAGAAGTGAGCTGGGCTGAAGTTGGGGAGGGTTCATGTTGGGGCGACGCCCAGCGGATCGAAGGCTTGGAATTGGATGGATGGATGAGTTTTTTTCTTTGCTCATATCAGCGTGGCTTGGGCATTTGGCAGGGCAGCATACAGCAAGCGAGCATTGAATTTGACATTTTTCGTATCAAAACAACTTGAATCTCTTTGGGTGTTTGGGAGTTTGGAAAAGACTGCGGGACAGTTCGACTGCGGAAATTAGGTATCAAGGGACGACCGATGAGGGCGAGTGGTTCTGAACTCCGGCTCTCTCATCATATCGCTTTCGATCTGCTTGGGTGGTGCTTCCCCAGAGGCCGAGCGGGGCTGATGGAAAATACATGGCTCAAGACGACACGGGGACCTCCAAAACGTGACATTTCCTCTGGGCATGCCTACATCGGGCCAGAATCCCAGACGAAGACTCTCGTCTCACCATTGTAGATCTATGGGACTGATGGGGCCACTGGGCGGCCACTGGTCTGATTTCGAGGAGCACAGTTCATTCCCGCAAAGGCAGGGTATATGGTCTTCTCTCCATATGTAGTCTGAGCTCGTCAAGGACACTCGTATGTTTCTCGGGGGCAGGTTCGAAGATATTTGTCTGCCCTCGTCTTGGGCTGGGACACCTACGAAGCTTTCCTCCCTCAAATTAGGGTTTCTTCTCTCGACATACTATGCAAGTCGCTATGCAGAGGAGAATAGGAGGAAGATATGTAGTTTGCTCGCCTCGGCGCGGTTCTTACGAAGCGCTGACCTGGAATACGAAGAGTATTCATATCAAATCGTCAAGAACACCTCTCGGGCAGACATGAGCGTAAATCACAGGCCTGTCTGCTTCCACTGTCCAGAAATTCGAGGCCAGCTGCCACCAGGCTCGACGGCCGACCTGCCGGCCCAACGGCGACCGTTGAGCTCGGAAGTAAGTCTGCACAGGTGGACAAACGCGTCGTTATGCGGTGGTTGGTAAACAACAATTCACCGAGATAGACTCACATTTGGGTCAGTCAGAGCATGCGCTTCCAACCCAGTCACCGCAGCTGCATTCTGGCCACCACTTTTGGCCTTCAATTCGAATTTTCACATGACCTGGCACTCGTCCGTCCGTCCGCCCGTCCATCCACTACTATTTAACAGCAACCTCCCCCCTCCCACTTCCCACCACCCACTTCCCACCTCCAACACACACATCGATCCAGTCTCAACTGCTCGACTGCTTCTTCTTCTTCTTCCATCCACCTGCACCGGTAGCAATTTTGCCTGCCATTGCCTTCTTCCATCCACTTGCCCAAGTCGCAATCCGACGACTACCGCTGCTTTCCATCTCCATCTGTCCTTCGTCCATCCATCGGCCTCAAACGAGACCAACACCACACACCTTCAATCCCCAGAACCTCAATCCCACAATTATCAGTTGCCTCTTCTCTCCTCGAGCCATTTGCCTTTGCCTTTGCCTGTGCCTACCATGGCCGTAATCAGTCGGTCCGTCAAGGGCCGCCATTGTCTGGCCACCAGTCGCAAGGTCATCGGCAGTGTTGCCGCGACTCACATTTTCCACGCCATGGTGCGCGTGCGCCGTCTCCCCCGTCTCTCGGTCGCACTGAAGCGCCCCGATACCTTGGGCGACCAGCTCGTCAACAAGAAGCTCGCCGATAGTCTGACTCGAATCACTCATCGCAAGGCAAGATAACAACTTACCTACATAGACTCTCCTCTGCTTCCCAAACGGCTAGGCTAACGACGGACTTCATAATAGCACCGCGAGTTCCGTGCCACGCTCAAGACGGCCTGCCGTGGCGGAGATTAGAACTCTTCGCACGGTATGGACGTCGACAAGAGTGGTTTCTGTGGACAGGCGGTCGGCTCTGCTGTCGACAATGAGCGACATGTCGCGAAAATTCACACAAACGTGGACATGGCCATGGACATTGACACGGATAACGATATGGGAATTGAGGCGGACTTGATCGACCTCATGGACGTCGACGACGTCGACACCGACATGAGCGACGACGACGACTTCTCCCACTGCCCCTCCACCCCCTCCACCCCCGCCACCATATACTCTGCCACCTGGACCCCGTCCCCCAAGTTCCAGGCGCCCTCGACCCCCCCGTCGACCTACTCCCAGGCCTTCTTCAAGACCCCAGAGACCTCGGGCTCGTCCTTCTGGCAGACGATTGCCGACACACCCACCCCGGCCAACAACCTTCCCGCCGCTGCTTCTCCCACCCCGGTGAGAAATGGCCCCATCGGATTCACCATGGAGCCTCCTGCTGCCCAGCAGCCTGCCGCTCAGCAGCCTGTGAGGAATGGTCCCATCTCATTCAACATGGAGCCTCTCAAGCCTCAGCCTGCTGCCGCTCAGCAACCTGCCACTCAGCAGCCTGTGAGAAATGGTCCCATCTCATTCAACATGGAGCCTCTCAAGCCTCAGGCTGCTACCGCTCAGCAGGCTGCCACTCTGCAGGGCATGAGAAATGGTCCCATCGCATTTACCATGGAGTCTCCCAAGCCTCAGCCTCCTGCCCCTCAGCAGCCTGTGAGAAATGGCCCCATCACATTCACCGTGGGGCCTTTCACCCCCCAGAAGGCTGCCGCTCAGCAGCAGTTCAATACTCAGCAGGGCCCAACCCACCCTCAGCAGCCCACTGCTCAGCAGGCTATGAGAAATGGCCCCATCGCTTTCACCATGGAGCCCTTCACCCCCAAGCAGGCTGCCGCTCAACAGCAGTTCCCTACTCAGCAGTTCGCAACTCAGCAGTTCGCTACTCAGCAGTTCACTACTCAGCAGGGCCCAGTCCACCCTCAGCAGCCTGCTGCTCAGCAGCCTGTGAGAAATGGCCCAATTGCATTCACCATGGGACCTTTCACCCCCCAGCAGCCTGCCGCTCAGCAGCCTCACGCTCAGCAGCCTCACACCCAGCAGCCTCACGCTCAGCAGCCTGACACCCAGCAGCCTCACGCCCAGCAGCCTTTCACTCAGCCTGCTGTGAAAAATGGCCCTATTGCATTCACCATGGAGCCTCAGCAGTCTACCACTCAGCCCGCCCCAGCCAAGCCGAGTCCAACCGTGGCTCCCCTGGCTCCCCGCACTCACCAGCTGCCTCCTCACCGTGCCATCAAGCCACTGGAGCCCCAGGCGATGGATCATCTCACCCACGGCCTAGCCTCATTTCACGTCTCCGACCCAGCGACTTACGACTGGACCCTGGCACCCAGGTTCGGCCCCTACGTGGGCAGAGCCAACAGCGAGGCCTTCGAGACCAAGCTTGCCTTCCTGGCCGACCAGCCCATGGAGTGCCTCGTCCAGCGCATGACGGGCACCTCGTTCCATGTCACCAAGGCCAAGGACCAGAACTGGACGGCGCCTACCATCTACGGCCCGTTCGTCGGCAAGGAGAACAGCGCCGCGTGGGAGGCGAAGTGGGAGTCGTGGTGGGACGCCTTCAGGGCTGCTGAGGCCAAGCTTGACTCTGACGAGGTCCCGCATGTCGACAAGGGCAAGGGCGTCGCTACTGAGCCTCAGCCTGCTGGTGAGGATGAGGGTGCCACATCGCCTGCTCCGTCTTCGCCTCCTGCCCAGGCCACCTCTGCAGCGGTGCCGGCAGCCTACGACTATGCCTTCGCCAACAACATGATGGATCACATGTACTACTCCGCACTGCCACGGCTCGCGGTCGAGTTCAACTCCCGTGACAAGCCCTGGTACACCTCGGCCCGTCGGGAGAACGAGGCGGACGACCTCAAGGAGAAGATGGATCGCAAGGAGCTCAACGGCGAGAGCTTCGCGATGATCGACGGCGCATATCGAGACCGATCCAGCCTCGACCGCATGTCGCTCTGCGAGCTCTTCGACGATTGGTGGACTGATGTAATCAGCGATGATCTGTATATGATCTTCAGGGATTGGAGCGAGGACGACCACGTTAAGTTCGGCAACGAGCTGAGGGACGCCTTCAGCGCGTATATCGACAGCCCCCCTCCCCCGGCCGAGACGGCCGACGACGACTCCGATTAGGCAGTATACTCCTAGCTGCCTTTCCAACTTGTCCGAGTACCACTTCCAACAACCTGTACAAACTACATTGCCTCCCAAGGCATATTTCGCCAAGAGAAAGCCCAGACCGGACTTACACGCGCTACCGGAAACCAACACCTACCCGTACCTTGTCAACGCTTTAAATTGAGTCGGAAACTTACGCTGGTCTCTCACTATCTATCCCGGGGTCACAATTCTATCCCGAGGGGACCGCAGGAATTCTCTCCGCTCTTGGCATCAACACAACCAAACAGATATGGAGACCGACGGACCGACCGGGCCAGACGCGCCACACACGCGCTAGCCCCCCCCCTGCGCAGCACGCTCGAGTTCACTCGCGTGCTGCCAACGGCTGGCTGCTCACTACCTACCTTCCGCCCCGCCCGCCGGCTTCATCTCCCCTCCCGAAACCAGGGCTGATAATAAAGTTCCCACGCGCAATGCGGCGCCGACACACACACCGACACTCTCCATCCGCCTCGTACTGGGCCCGCCCCTGCGGGAATGCTCTCCTCACCCCAACCCCCCTGTCTGGAAGGAACCTTTCCTTCCTGACTAACCTCGCGGGTGAGGATCGAGGACCTCTACGAGCTCAGCTGGATGGATCGAGTACGGAGGAAGAAGTATCGGTGGAGGGAATAATGACGGTGGGAATCTTGGCGGAGGCAACCATGGCGGCGGTTTCGGTTTCTCATCCTTGAAGTATTAGTATGGAATTCTGCTGAGGTCTGGTAGATATAATCTTTTATGCTCCTAAGTTAAATAGAGCCCCATGAAAAGATGATAACGTACATGAGTGCCCTTGCCCTTGACTGGGATGCTGTTCGTCGAGCGTGCCTTTGCAACCTCTCGGAGTAAGTATTTCTTCACCATGCTTGCCGTCTCGGTAAGTTGATCGGGTGTAGTGATGGTTTCGTTTTTAATCCCCATACATATAAAATGTAGGTGGCGCCATTTATTGACGAAGCGTCCTACGTGCCCAGATTCATGCCGCCGTGATACCACTATTTAGATTCGGCCGAACCGTGGAACTGGTCCCCTCGGATCTCGTCGGACGACTTGCATGGCTGGGTCATCCTTGAACGACTTCCTCCGGGGCTCCTGACCCGGGGGCGAACGTGGTGAAATAGGCCCAGACCGGCTCCGGAGGGAAGTCCCATCCTCACAGGTGGGTGTTAAACCAAGTGTAATACTTGCTCATCCGTGCTGGCAATCTTATTTCGGCGCGCATCGCACACCCGATGATGATCACCCACACTACAAAGTATGGCTATACTTAGATATGTATTAACATGAGAAGGTCATGCATGACCTGCTACGCGAAAACGATTACGAATCCCGTTTAGTCTCTCCGAATAATGGGAAGGGAGCGCGGGGCACATGGTACAATGCCATCGCTGACCGTCTTTATCATCAGTAGTCATCTCCATTTTCGGCGCGGGAGCCAACACAATACTTCTCACGACTACTGAGAAGGTTAGAAAGTAAGGTCACAAGATGGCATTTGAGAAGGCGGCCAAGAGCTGGGCGTCCCCCACGTGGTTGGTCGTCCACACACTGCCCTTGGCCCTTGGAGAGAGAGGCGGGGGGCCACAGCCTGGCACGGAGCCCAGTCTGGATGGATAGACCTGAAGGCATCGCCAAGCTTACCAACCACCAGGGCACCGGCATTCCCTCGTACCCACAGCTGTCGACGGGCAGATGGGCTTGGCCACAGACCCCGCAGAGTCTTGACAGCCCGGCTGACCGAAGTCCTCAACGTGAGCACCATCTCAGCTTATGTTTAAGGCCTACAAACCTTAGGAACCTTATACAGACTATGAACAGGAACGAATGTTGGATATATGGTGTTCTGCTGGCTGGAAAGGGCATACTGCCTATGTATTATTTCGACCAGCAGCGACACATAGGTAGTCGTTACTCCAAGTTTCCACCACATACCCTCAAGCCCTCACCTTTGACACATTAGGGTGAAAAGCTCCGTTCCCTCCCTTCCTCTCCTAGGCACAGATCCAGCTGACAATGTTCGCAGTGAGGTGCTTGCGGCATGTCAGATCCGTGCCTCCAACCTCGGTGGCCGCCCAGGACTGGTCAGGTGTGACGGTGCAATCCGTGGTTCTGACACAAGTGTCGTCAGCATTAGGAATCACCTGCCTCATCCTAAGACAGGGACTGTCCGGGTGACCAGGACTCACTTGTACAGGTTACAGCCTGTGATGGATCCCCCGCTTGGGATCTCGACATAGTTCACATCGCCGATGAGCGCAGCTGGGGCCAAGGGGAAGTCTGCAAAGGTGTCTATCGCCGCACATTACTCATTGTCAGTTTCTCGAGTTAATCGTGGTATTATACAGGCCCGAAGTTGTCATACAGCAGACGTTCGCTTCAACTGACAGCGCACCACATGTGCCAGCACCGGCTGTTGGCTGGGCATAGGGGCATGCTCCTGTGGCGTAGGTGGACGCCGTGCAGAACTGTATGTCTGTTGTGCCGGTCCGGGGGAGCACAGCAGCGCTGGCTAGGCCAGCCAGTGCTGTCATGCCGAAAAGGCTGGGAAGCTGCATGTTGCCTTGATCTTTAGTGTGGCTTGGGCAGAGAGGTCGAATACACTGGAAGACTAGAGGAGTAGTCGGGCTCAGGTTCGAGGTGGTCAGAATTGCTCTTTTGGTTATCACACTGCTGCAAGACGTAACTCATGGACAAACAAGCCTTCTTCTACAGCCACGACCTGAAGCTTATATAGTGCTAATGTCGTATCACCACAACATGTAGATCCTACTATGTGTCAACTACCACGATCCCATCCGGCTGGGACCGCCGGAAGCGCGCGCCGGAAACCCAAGCCGGCCTGCCTCATGACGTGAGATCCTGTTCGTCTCCTCACCGACCACACTGGTAGTGAAGCTCCATGGCCGATCAAGTGCGGAACACGAGATATCTACCAACCCAGCCTGCATGCGATTCCTCACGAAAACCCCCACGGGAAACAGCCCTGCCATCGCCCCCTCACCGGCATGAGAACCTGCAGACTCGGCGAGGCCTTGTTCTTTATCGTATAGGATCCGCCCTAGTATTAGCCGCGCAGCACAATATGCATAAGGCGCAGCAGGGCGGCCACCCGACTGGCCTGGACAGCCCAGGGCTGCAGGTGGGAAGGGCGACTATTACATGCAGGTCGGGATGCGGCTCGACAAGTCTTGGGGCACTACGGCTCTGGACCGTCCCGAAGGAGGGGACCGTTGAGAGTATCCAATCCAGCTTGATCTCGGTGGGTGAAGGGTTCAACATGCACAATTATCCGGCCACTATTCTCACTGTCTTCTCGTAATTCCGCTTGGCTTCTATTCATCCTATCAATACATTGCTAACGCGAAGAATGGCTCCTCGTATGATGTCTGTCGAATGTTTCGGACATGATTGACGACTGAGAGCCTCGCTGCTCACCGTTCCCACTGTCCCCTATTGCCTTCCTATGCTGGGGCTGATCTTCTCAGCTGCGGCGGGCCCGGAGCGATATCCGATAACAGCTAGAGAAGAGATACTATACCAAGCTCGCATACCTTAGTTCTCGGGCTGACTTACTATGTTGAGCAGGCAGTATGGGTGTTGCATAACTTTACTATCTGACGATGTTACAACAGTGACTGGTCAAAAAACCATGGGCTGAGGCAAAAGTATTTTGGTTCGTTGACGTCTAAGCGACCCAGGGAGTCCACTTACAAATGGAGATTACGGAGATATGCACAAGGGTGGTTGAGGTCCCCTTTCCCCCTTCTGAAGTATCTGCCCTGGGGCCTAGGTACTGCACTCTTCCCACCTCGGCCCTCGGCTCCGGGCAAAATGCACGACATGCCAGTACGTCAGAGGTTGAACGGTACGCATGTAAAACAATGTTGCAGTGTGTACTCCGTACTGTATTGTGGACTACAACACAGGGGGACATGACTCTCCGGCCCAAGAGATCTGCCACTGACTCATAATTCTCCGATGAGGATGATCATCTTCCAGCCCGCTACGGCACTGCGAAACCGAAGCACGCCTGAATCATTGGATAAGACTTGTCGCAAAGGAATCCGAACTGCCATCTCTTCCACAGCTGAGAACCAGGGCCCAGCAGCTCGATGCTACGTCCGGAACCCGAAGTTGCGCCCTCTCTCCCCATGCCTCATCATCATCATGCAGCGGCGCGACAAGCCTTGGGAAACGTTATTCGCCCTCTTTGAAGGTTCCGCTTAGACAGTGATGTAATTTTAGAGTTGCCCAGGTGCCCAAGCTTCGGGAACGAGCCTACGCTGTAAGGGTGGATGGGGTGCGTGTGGGGACCAGTCGAGGATGTGACAGCCGAACAGACCGTCGGGCGGCCGGGCGACAGCCTCGTAGTGTATATTATTATCCATCTTCGGATGCCATCACCATCCGTTTGTTTCCCCGAGCATCTGGCAAGCGACATCCGAGGAACCAAGCCAGCCCGCCAGCCCACCTGGGCACTGGGGTCCGAGTAATGGGACCGCAGGGCTCAAACCACACCCAGACAGCCACCCGCCGGCGGGCGCGGCAGACACAAGTGTCCACAGCCGGCCCTGGCCTGGCAACCTGGGCATGTACTTGCCGACATGTCTGGGGCGGCTTGGCGGTGCTCCACGCACACCCATTCACCTGCCCATCCACTTGGCAGGCACCCACACAACGCGCAGGCGCAAGACGCACACGCCGCAGAAGCAACCCGGAACTCATGGCAAGTCAGTCGACGTCGTCCGGTCTGCCGGTCAGCGCGTGTACCTCCCCGGGACGGTAAGGGCTGCATGCATGAAGGATGCCGGCTACAACCGTCCGCCCGTCCCTTCTTCTGCACAAGCCGAACTTTTGCCTGGCCATTTTTACATTTGCCAGCCAGTGGGGACCCACTACAAAATGCCCACTGCATAGGGCTCAGACTTAAGCCGTGATCAGTGGGGGAATATTCATGAGCGCCCGCCCGGGGGAGTATCCCCGGAGCAGAGGGAGAGAGTGATAGAGAGACCACACGTGCATGCAGCGGGCCTGCAGGCGCCGGGCTGAAGCAGGAACTTCGGAGCAACAGGAATTTGAGTTTCCCTCTTATTATCTACTGTGGTATTCCTGCCCACGGGTTCCGCGACCCACTGTTCGGCTAGATATCAGGCTCACGGGGCAGGCTATCCGGGGAACCTCACCTGAAAGCCAAAAAAGAACTCCCACCACCACCAACCACCCTGGCCGGTTTCGTTCACATGCCTTTTATTTCCTTCTTTGGCTGGCCCCCGGGGCTAACATACATTTAACGCAACAGGCTCACGGGCGGACGGGGCGGCCTGGCGCGCGTTCGCAGGAAGGAATCACTGCAGCTGAGGAGGATCAAGGTTGGGTCTTCAAACAGCCGGTTCGATCTAGCACGGGAGGTTAATAGCTCAAGGGTGCGTCGGGCCTCGATTACAACTAGCGATGTCTGTGTCTGTGTCTGTGTCTATGTGTAGGTACAGCGTGCAATGCGCCGTGTCCGCCGAGGGAGCAGGTAGTAGTCTGGCATAATAAGCTTCGGTTCGCTCGACATGCTAACAATAAGCTTCTGGCCAGGCGATGGGGCCCGAACCTGCGTTTGTCTTCATTTCATCCAAACTAAGCTTTTGTGAAGCCCGTGGGAGCATGTAAGCGGCAAGCCGAGGCCCCAGGGACCGACCTATTTGATGCGACAGGCAATGCACACATACCTGGGCACACACACACACACACACACACACATGTCCAGTGCAGCAGCGGCAGAGACGCAAAACACACTTGCTTACACCAGGCAAAGTGGGCCCAACCGTTTTGCTCCTCGCTTCTGCACCTGCTGCTGCTGCCCGCCTTGCCCGCCGCCTGCCCGCTTGAGCCTCAACCTTAAATCCTGCCTGCAGCACGGCGCTGTGCGCCGAAGGGGGCCGGGGGGGGGGGAGGGAGGGAGCAAGGGGCCAGCCAGCAGCGGCAAGACATCCGAACGGCTGGCTGGCCGGCTGGCCGCCCGTCTGTTTTTTCTGGTTGTGAATGAGGCTGTCGGGGCTGGAGTACGCGTGGGGTTTTGTGCCCCGACGCCGTGTGACATCCCTCCCCCCCCGACCCAGCAAGGCACCGGAAACCTTGGGCCGCGGGGTGTTTGTGTGTGTGTATGTTTGTAGGTATGTGTGTGCCTGGGGTTTCTTGGTCATGTGCGTTCATAGGCGCGCGTGTGTGTGCAGCCCAGCCAGCCAGCCAGCCAGCCGGCCCTCCCCGGGCGTGCGACACATATCAGACCGAGATGGCAGGGGCGTGTGTGAAGAACGGCCCGCGCGTGTGGGACTGAGGCCTGTCCCCGGGAACGACGAAGCAGCCGAAGGGGGAGGCAGGATTGCAGGGCAGGGAGGCAGGGAGAGTTGGCCAGGGGGGGGGGTGTGTGTGTTGGGAGTGGGAGCTGCACTTCAAGCTTAATTCCATTTATAGGGTCCGAGATATCCTTTTCCTGTCCACCACCTCCGGTGCAGTGAGGCGAGACGACAAGGGACGACGAGAGAGGGTATCGTGAATTTTCAGACCGGAACTTCCGGGGCAGCTGACCGCCCAGCGCCCAGCGCCCAGCGGGCATTACGGAACGTCGACTCCGGGCAGACGGAATCTCGACAAAAGACCGAAGTCTCGTCGAGCCAGCGGCCGAAGTGTTTCCGGCTCCGGGCGAAAGACGGAAAAAAGCTTGGCCGCACATCGCCGACGACGGGGTGGGACGATATATCACCTCACCTGAGAGATTGGAAAGGCGGTGGGGGGGGGGAGGGAAGGGGGGAGGGAGGTGTGAAGGGAAAGAAGGAATCGAAAAGCACTGATCACCAAGTGCCATTGAGGGATTGCTGCAATCACTGTTGTCACTTTGCTGCTGCAGAAAATCCCTGCATCAGCCCTAGGAGCGGGAGAGCCGAGGCATGGCATACGCAGAGAAAGAGTCGCGGAGCGCCTTTTCCAGCCAGACAACCCGGTCGAGCAACAATGCCATGCGGCACGTCTTCCACTTTTCCCCCGTCTGCACTCTGCTAGGCGAGGCTGCTGATCTGACAAGTCTCTGGCAAAGCCTTGTATAGATGAGATTATTATTGCCGGGTCATGGCCTCGCGAGTGTGCATGAACCACACTAGCTGCCCAACCGGCAGGAGTCGTCGCATCAGGCCTCTGCGAACTAGCAGTCGCTAGAAGGGTCTGAGGGGTCATTAAAGTGGCAGAGTGGTAACCGAGAGGGAATAAAACAGGCAGAAAATGCTTGTCCCCAGGGCCCTGCCCGCCTGCTAAAACAAGAGCTATGGGCTAGCTGCATCTCCCATCGAAGCTTCAATGCGCGCGCCGTCCCGCCGGTTCGACCTGCCCGGGGAGGGCAAGGTGGGAGCAGAGTAGCAGACAAGCAGAGTAGCAGGCCTGGCAGCAGTACTACAAGTACTCCGTAAAGCGTTCGCCCTGCCTAGTACGTAATACGTGCAAAGCATGTTGTTCCTTTCTCCAACGGCCCCCGGGCCCGCAAGCTACGCATTGACCCGGCGAGGACGGGGGGAGGGGGGGTCTGGATCGATGGATATCTATAAACCGTTTAGTGGAGGCGAACTTGAAGACCAGGCGGAACCCGCCTGCCCGCGCGGCCTCGTTAATCCATCTCTTCTGGCCTGGCAAGCTCGCAAGCCTGGCTGGCAGAGCCACACGGCCCTGACGCAGCGCCTCGGTTGGCTAACTGGCTTGGTCGCCGGCAAAGATGATCATTTCGCCTCGGCTTGGCGCCTGCGGGCGAAATGGCGAGATGGCCGGACAGCTGACAGGCCGGACAGGCAGAGCAAATAAGACAGAGACCACAGCCTTGGCATGCCATATTCTCCCCTGGTCTTGGCGGGGTCATGATAGCATCGCCTACCTCATCTCGAGGCGCTTGCTTGCGCGGCAGCTTGGCGCCCAAGAGGAGCCATTCCACATTGCGTGCAGGCAGCGCCGGCTTGGCCTCTGTGGCGGCATTAAACTCAAATACCGCTGGCGGTGGTGGATGGTGTGAGGCATGTGGGGGAAGGGGGAAGGGGGGAAGGGGGGATACATAGATAGTAGGACTGTGGTAGAGAAGACGAGACGAGACGGCGCAGACAGAGTCGGCCTGCCAAGCCCCAAGGCCACACATAGATCAGGTGGTCAACTAGCTCATGCCTCATGCCTCATGCCTCAATGCTCTGCCAGTGGCGCCAGTGCCGTCCCGGGGCCCTTCCTCTTGGCACATCAAACTCGGCTTGTTTTGGTGATGGAAGCAGGTTCGTGAATGGGATCGTGATGCTTTCCGTGAACACCTGCACTTGGCCCTTGCTTGGCGCCTTCGGGCGGGCTTGATCGACGGGGAGAAGGCCACGCCGAGCATCCATGATGGACTGCCGCTGTGGCCCTGCGCCTCACTGACCCCAGCAGCCCATCCTGCCCTGCCACCCCGGCATCTCTTCTTCCCTATCCACCCGCCCCGCGGTCTTATTATAGGCGGCGGATTGTTTCGGTTCGGCGAGGACGGGGGCCACATCCAGTGTACGGAGTAGGTCTGTATGGATCCGCAATGTACACTGCATGGTGGTGCACATCGCAAGTGTACATCATCGGGTACATGTGCGGTGGAGAGCGCGGCGGTGGGATCGATCTCGGCCCTCGGGGGTCCCACATGGGAAACGGGCGGCTGGGGTCGCAAGAGGCGCAACCCTGATCGGAATCGGAGCACAGAAGGTCACTTGTCACAACTCGATTGCAGGTCGCGTGGCAGCTAAATCCAGGCACGCACCGGGCAGCCCGGCGCCCCCCCCCCCAGGCACCAGGGCCCCAGGTGGCAGAGTGGGAGAATGGGAGAGTGGGAGAGTGGCAGACTGGCAGAGTGGGAGTCACTAGTAGCCTCCCCCTTCGCTACTGTTTTGACCGAGGCTGGCGGGCTGGGCAGGGCCACGGCGAATGATATGCGGGCTTGGGCAGCTGGGCAGCCACACCCGCAGGCTCGACGCCCGCAGCCGCCGTCAGGCACGCCAGAAGTAGGAGCCCGAAAGGCCGCCCCTCGGAGTTTGTTTCGAAACAAGAGTGGCAGATGGCGGCAGAGGGTGGCCAGACAGCCAGAGGGGTGGCACGGCACTGTGGTACAGTAGTGTAGATGCCCGGCTCAAAGCCCAGCATGCGACGACGCAATCACCGCAATCTATTCCAATCCCGACGTTGCAGAGGACCCTGCATGCGCGGCATGGCGAGGCAGAGAGCCAGCCAAGCGCCGCCGCCAGGGATCCAAGCTTGACGCCACCCCTGCTGCCCCTGCTGCCCTTGCTGCCCACCGTCGGCGGGCTGGCAGGCTGGTTGGTGGCAGGCGGGGTGCTGTGGTGTCTGGCAGCAGGCCCCCAGCATGAAGGATGATGAAGGGTATCCCACAGTGTAGCATAGGGCAAGCCTGGGGCAAGTAACGGTCCGGGTGGAGGGGCCCTCCCCGTCACATCGCTCGACGAGAAGCCCACGAGGTGAATCCGGGCGCGGGCGCGGGCGCGGGCGCTCGATATCCAAGTCCCTGGACCGGGGGTGTGGATCGCAACCAGGTTTGGTACAGCTCTTGTTTGGATATGCTTGTTGGTCGTCCAGTCGTCTAATCCCCCTTTCCCTTCCTCCCACTGGCGCCCGGACGGGGTCGGACGGCTGAGCATTACCCGCGAGCGCCGCAGGCCGGTGGGACCATGTGTGCGTCTCCATCCGTACATAGATTGTAGATACCCTGACAACTGATACCACACACACTCGCACACACACACACACACAACGTGTGTAATTGTATGCTGCAACGATACAGCGCCTGCACAGAGCCCTCGCCCTCGTGCGTGATGCGACCCGCCTGAAAGTTCAGCCCGCCAGCCCGGCCACAGGCGACCAACCACAGACAGAGCCACTGAAATTCTGTCGATGTTTTGGGCGTCTGTCAGTGAGTGAGTCCCCACGAGCAGGCATGTCCTGCAGGCCTGTCAATCTGTCAATCAGTCCTGTCAATCAACCCACTCAGTCAGCCAGTGTGCCACCCAGCCTGCCACTCGGTTAGTCAGTCTCGCAAATCAATCAGTCAACCAACCGGCCGGCCTGCTCACACCCTCCCTCCCAAGCCTCCCTACCTCGACCTGCACCAGGCCCCGCCCCTCTCCGCCGCGAGGCCGTGCCTGGTCGCCGCAGCACTAAAGTTGGGCCTGTGGAGGTTTTCTTGGCGGTCGTCTCTCCTTCATTTCACATCTCCTTGCCCTCGTCTTGGCACGCAACCCAGCGAGATAATTGCTGTGGCTCGTGGTGGCTCGGATAGTGGCTCTCTGGCTTTAGGCGCGCTGCCCCGGCCATCGCTTGTTCATCGGCTGTGTATATTCATGGCACTGTACTCTGCATTCTGCATCCCCTCCTGAAGTCGCTTGCCTTGCCCCCTGGCGATCCGAGCGAAGCCACTCCCGGCAGACATCAGATCGGGCAGCTTCGGGGAAACCTTGGCCTAACCATGGCGAGCCTGAGTGACTGTTTCAACTTGCTGCACAACATGTTCAGCGTGACAGGGCGCGCACAACGTCGTGTCCTCGAGCAGCAGTGATCACCGCCCCCGAAGATTCCGCCGCTGCCACACACGTGGCATGGCCCGGGATGGTGGGACCAGGCCACTCCCACCAGCATTTTTACCACCACCCCCCCCCCTCCCAATTCCACTGGACCCCCAGCCCTGACTTCTCCGAGGGCGGGCGGCCGGGGTGGGTAGGGTGGTAGCGGTTGGTAGCCGGTGGGCGCTGGGGAGTAAAGCCCGGAGCGAGCTGTGACAACCTTGTTCTTGGAAACCTTGTTTTCCCGCAGCCCGCTGCTGCCAGGGAGGCAGGGCAAGGAGACAGCAACGAAAAAAAGTCTTGGGCCCCTTGGGAGCTCTCAGCTCGAGCCTGAAGTATCGCTTGTGTGGAGGGCTCCACCTGGTGGGATATGCTTCAAGCATATCCCAACCTAATCGGAAATGATCTTCATTCGTCCTTCTTGGGGCCCTTGAGAGGCATGGCATGGCTCACATGCGATAAAAGAGCTCCCCGCCCCTGCCGTTGTGTCGCAGGCCGGCGGGACATCAGGTGTATGTAAGACAGCCAGACAGGCCTGCCAAGACACATCTAAGAGGAACACTGGACTCTCTGCGAGTCCGCCCCCATGCTCGACAGCTTGCAAGCATCACGAATGCTCCGGTGTCGTTAAGAACAGCGGCATCCCTCGTCTCGATGGTGGTTCGAGCATGTCAGAAGCACCCGGACATCTACAGCAGCTACACTCACCCCGCCAACACCACCTTCACCGTCATCACCAACGACAACATCAGCACAACGGCTCCTCCAACACGCCCAAGACCCTCCCGCACCGCCCGCCAGATCCCTATCGACCTGGCCGGCCCCCCTGAGGCTCCGATGCCAGACTCCGTCATCGCCGCAACATATCGGGGTCACGTCGCCTCCACCCAGGACGCCTTGATCGTGATCGAAGCCTGCCTACGGGGCGTACTGTACCACACCTGCCGCCGCCCGAGGTCATCCGAGGAGTCATCCCTTGCGAAGAGCGGGAATATCTTCGTGTATGAGAGGGGGTCGTCGGGCATCAGGAGTTGGGAGGACGGCATAACATGGTCGACGCCCCAGAGGGTTGGGAACTTTGAGATTTGCCGGCAGCTGTCGTCTTCGTCGGGTCGAAGCAGGTCCAATGGTAGGTACAAGCTGCCCATCACTTTCTCCAGCATCCCCTTTCCACACCGTTTCACACGGTCCATATGCTGATCTTTGCCCTTGCGCGATAGGAAACCACAGCAGTTCCGGGAGATTGTGCCGGAAAACCATCAGCGTGACCGTCCGCGGTATCACGCACCACCTCGTCGCCTACTTCAGCTCCCGCGACTTCACGTCGAACACACTCATGACGCCATCGGCAGACTTTGGCCTGGCGGACATCATCCCGCGCCCGGAGCTGTACAGCCAGGGTTTCCGAGCCCCCCTGGAAGAAGACGACCGCGATGAGGTGATGCTCCTGATCAGGTAACAGTGGGGCCTGGCGCCTCCCATGAGGTGGCGCCCCGGGCCACGTGCCTCATGTAGGAGCGCAGCTGAAACCGCAATCGATGGCCGTGCCTGCTCAGGGCAGGCTGCAGCTAGCCGAGGACCAAAGCAAATTGTGAAGAGCACTTTCATGTGTACAGCCGTGGAACTGAGGGATCGGGTCGGCAAAACAGGACGACTGAAACCGCCTCCGTCGCCACCACCACCACCACCCCCGCCACCAACACCAACACCAACACCATAAACATCGGCGTTGCCGCAAACTTACCGCCGCCTCCTCCGTCAGCAATTCCAGAATACATGGGAAAGGTACCTAAATCGGCGTCGGCAGGTAGAAATAACGCCGTTTCTTCTCGGGACCGAACAACAAGACAACTCAAAAAAAACACATGGCAAAACACCTACTTCCAGAAAAAAAAAGTTGTAATCAACAGCAACGTCGGGTTTGGGAGGGTTGCGCTAGACTTCCTTTCTGTATCGGGATAGGACAGGCATCCATAAATACAAGGCGCCTGTTGAATGATGACCAAATTCCAGCCTCCCATGCATCCGTGACTGCGCGTGGCATGTGGCGGGGTCGACAAGAAGCTGGACTCATTGAGGCGTGACAAGGCCTTAGCAGTTCGGAATCTTGTTGTCTGCCTCCCTTCTTCTTCGTCCTCGCTTGTCCTAGTAGTCCTCCCATAGGTCCTTGACGTACGCCTCCGTCAGACGCTCGTCGGGACCGTGGGATTCTTGCCACCTCTGAAAGCCGCCCCTGAGCACGCACACCTTCTGCGCGACAGGCTTCGTAGCTTTCTTAGCACCGTCCCCTTCTTGTGTTTGTTCCTCGTCCTGTGGTGGTGGTGCTGCTGCCGACGCCGTCGCCGTGCCGTCAGGCGCAGCGATGGAGGCCTCGCCGAACTTGGCCTCACGCTCTCTGATGTACCTCAGGGCGGCGCTGGGGCCGCGCTGTTTCGACAGGGCGCAGTGGAAGACGACGGTCTCTGTGTTCTCGAGCTGGCGCAGGAGGGTGGGCATCCACTCGTCCAGCTGGTGCGAGGGCACCCAGCGGGAGCCCTTGATGTGCCCGCCGATGTGGTCTGTACACGAGATGGATCATCCCAGATGTCAGCAACGAGGAACTGGACTGGGCGCCTGCCTGCCTGCCCACCCACCTCCATCGCGGACGTCGATCACGGCGAGCGAGTTGTCTGGCGACTTGGCCGCGAGCAGCTCTTGTGACAGCGCCGTCACCTCCATGCGCGGGAGGTTGGCGATTGTGAATCTCGACATGCTTGTTCTTCTGAGGATCGCGTTCATGGGATTGCGAGGAGATTCCAGCGTTCCTGGCTCAATTTGGGTTGGAAACCGCCGGCGAGGAAGCTTGGAGCTACAAGGAAGCTTTTCGGACTTGAGCTGTGACGTATGCACCCCAACCCTGGCTTGTGCTGCTCTTGTGGGGGGGGGGGAGGCTTTCCCGAGCTTAACCCTCCTCTTTGAACGAAACAATCATGTCCCTCGCCTCACGATTTTGTGCGGGAACCTACATACCTAGGTATGTAATTTAGGTAGCAATTCAATTCACTCATGGTACATACCAACACATACATTCGTGCAATAAATCTTTCCTCAGGGGCAAGTCTCGAGGGGCAAGTCTCGAGGGGCAAGTCTCGAGGGGCCAGATCCAGATTAAATCCATGAGTCCCTGAGCCAGCCCTCCACACCACAACATCAAACACCAACACCCTCTGGCTGGCCAAACTTGTTCCTTTGAGAGGGTGACCTGCTCCTCATGCGGATTGTTGCCCGCGGTCAGACGAGAACCCAGCGAGATGGGTACTTTTGCTGCGCTAGTACACATTGGCATGCATTTTCAGCAGGTCACGTCCCTTAGCGGTGCTATACATAAGGAACGCTATAAGCCTTGCGCAGATACACGATAGTTGCAACATGAACAATACTTGATCCTCTACGTAACGGATAGTTACTTTTTAGTGTAAAAGTGATGTGATGACTTCAAAGGTTTGTCTTCTCACTTCCAATTTTGAAGTTAAGTATAGCCGATTTTGGAAGTCTTCCTGCACAGATACTGACTGAGGCAACCAGGAGGCTCATCAACAGGCTGGACGGGCCTCGTGCCAACTCCACTGAACCAAGGCAACAGTCTGAATGACATAAGCAGAATTTCGCCCAATTCAGGTACCTACCTAGGTACACAAGCAGCTGGCATTTAAAAACCAACAGCCCCGTGCCTCTCAGCCCCATTCCTTTTCTCCATCTCACCCTCTCATATGAACAAGCTTGTACATCGACACGGCACTTGCCCCATCCTAAAGAACACCCGTCAGTGCCTCATGTCTACCGATGCGCATTCTGTTAAGGCCAAGGTCGCCTCCGACGGTCCGCGAGAGGCACCCACTTTACCAAATCAACCAGACCCTCAGGACTTGTCGGGAAAGGAGCTTGAGTTAAAGGCCGCATTCAAGGAGGCACAGGAGGAATTAGCAAAGATGACCAGAGAAGAGAAAATGAAAATATTTCCTTGGATGAGTAAGTCATCTGGTTAATAGCGACAAATCTGGCGCGTGAGTACGTCTGTTTGCTAATCACTGCGGAATTGCCTTTCTTAGAGGACGAGCCACCTTCCGGGGTGCCCGCTGATAAGGCCATGGCCATCTTGGCGGAGATGGAGGAGCAGGAAAGGAGGGAGGCTGAAGCTGAGGACGAGGACGAAGCCACTGGCACTGGTGCAGGCAAGGCCTCTTGACAGTAGATGGCAAAAGACAGGGCCCAACTGGTATGGATTGTGCTGCTTACACAACTTTGGCATGTGGAAACTGATACGCAGTGGCCTAGAGTCTGACCTCACAATCGACTTGGGGCGAGGGCGAGGGGCAATAACATCACACAAGCCAAAATTGGCACGAAACTGCGTGTTGCTGCCGAGTGGATCATCCGTGCTGGTGATAAGCTGTGGGAGGACTCGCTGCTCGGGATCCTGACCCGACGTTAGTAGATTGCGCGGTTTCATCCCATCGGGGCCGGTTTGACCCTGGCCATGAATGGCATTAACCTCGACCGTTGGGGCCTTTGGAAGCGCAGGTTTGGCGAGGTGCGTGGTATTATTAAGGGCCAGGCGACGATACTGTTGGTCGGGCTTCGGATATTACGACGGCATCAGAGAAGAAGTCAGCTGAGGCGCTGTAACGTTAGATGTGGACTTGTATTGCACTTACTTCGAGGCAAACTAGGAGTATTTGACATTTTTGACTTCGGGAACTGGATTCGACACATGAGGCATAACTTGGCCGGGATATAAATCACCCTATGCATGCCCAGGTGGTTGTACGGTCATGGCGAATTCAACCTAACCAGCCCTTTTTTCACATCGTCGCGAAGGCTCTCTTTCGGCTTTTATATGTAGTTATTGCTTTCTTGCAGTAATTCTGGCACAAAAGTCAGTACTAAATACTACCAAATCATTTCCTATGGGATGATAGACGGAGTGGGGACGAACTCATGCAAGCGTTTTGTGAATGCTAATGACATTTCCTGGCGATCAGTGAGAAACTCATGACATTTTACGGTTATCGCTCTCCCAATTCCGATTCCTTTCAAATTTGAAGACGGCAACGAATGGATAATCACAATGAAGAGACAAATCCACTTTCCTGTACCGACTAACTGGATTGGTATACCTGCGGGTCACCACAGCTGATTGAACACGTTACGTCTCCAGGGCAATCTGCCCCGTAAATTTTGCTCGCGAAAACAAACGAGAGTTCCACTGCCCCTGAGTAATTACTAATTATAACCTTTGCTTCCCCCTGTTAGCAGTTCTGCTAGCAAAGACTCTGCTGACCTTCTCACATCTATGCAGTCCTGTTAATTCAACCACCACTCAACCCTCCGCCTTAATCGTTACAACTGTCAGTGAATCCCTGCGCATTATATCGCTCGGGCTTTTGCAGGGGTTATAAACTCTGGAAGAGTGTACTGAAATCAGTGCACGCTGCTTCGATGCCTCATACCGGCAGTCAGTGGACCTTTGTGCTCGCCGTCACCGCAATTTTTCTCAGCGTCGTGGTCACGCTGCAGATTCTGTCATCCTACGGCAAGGCCTCCCTCGCGGCACCAGCCGAGATCCTCACCTTTATCGATGCCGTCGACTCCTCAGTCGAGGAGAACGAGAGCTATGATCGAGATGTGTTGCGCGTGCAGCGTCTAGACGACAAGCTGCGCCTCGGCCGGCTGCTCCGGGAAATCCAGAGGGGAGGAGATGACTTGCGAGAGGAGCTCAATGGCCTGTTAATGAGCGAAAGTGGAGACCTCACAAGCGATGACTACAGCGATCTCCGAGATCTGCGGCTGAGGGCCACCGCACGCCTCCTCTGGGCCTCGAAGCGTAAGAGGCTCGAGGACAAGGTCCGCAGGCTAGACATGCTGCGCATGCGCTTCCTAGTGGCCTACATGGGCCTCATATCATCCGGCCGCGTGAGGAAGACTGAGAAGAGCTCATCATCATATACGAGCCAGAGTGCTGCCCGGCCCCCTCCACCGCCGCCTCTGCCACCGTTGCCCCTGGGCGTCAGTACGGGTCTGCACAAGAAGAAGTCACGGCGCCGGCTGAGCCGAGCGGCAGCCCTGGGACGCGGAGACAACAGCATCGATGGGAGTAAGAAGCAAGGCTGGGCAGGCGTCATCCGGGAACTACAGCTGTCACCACTGCTTCAGAAACGCAACGCCCGCGAGCGCCACGGCTACTCCAACATCGGGAAGGTCATGTCGCCCATCAAGTCGCAGTTCACAATGGTGGCAGAACCTCCGTCGCCGCCGGATTCAACAAAGTCTGACAATTGTCAGTGCGACCTCCAGAAGGAGAAGTTCCCCGATTTCAACGAGTCGGTCGGTGTTGCGATGTGAGCCCTGCGTGCCCATGTCAAGTAGTGGCGTCACTTTTGCACGGCTACATCAAACGGTGCAAATTCCAACATTCGGTCAGCAGCTGCTAGGAACAGAGGCAGTTGGCGACTATTTTACACCGCCCTGGAGATGCATTACTACGCCCCAGAATGAATTTTACACAGAGATACCCTGCATCTTCAAGGGCAGTACTGCCAACATGATTAGATTACGAGAAGCATTTGTTTTATGTAGCTCAAGAAGCTACCATTTTTATTCTTTCATAGTTGAATCGCGACGGATAGCTGGATAGTCTCGACAGTTTAGTTAACATGAAATCCTTTCGTGGTGTGCTCACGATCTGAGTTTTGGCGAAGACACCCGAGGTATGCATCGCTGCAGGACAAATAGTGCATGGGTTTCTCTCCCCAGGCAGGTGCGTATCGTATGAGATGCAGCAGACGGCCAATTTTTGGTCTTTGGAACGCGCAGTCCACAAGTTAACCAAGTAAACAGTCGCCTATTAAGTTCCAGATGTAAGCCTCATTACCACCATTACATACACGTGTAGGCACGTTGCCTCGCTCAATATGTAGTCCAGCTCCAATCCTTCCAATCCTTCTCGAAGGCAACGTCGCTAATATTTACCAATTCTGTTGGGGCTGTCTTGCCCCCATCGCTGCGGCTGGAGCGGAAATCTGCGCTTTCCGGGATTCAGCTGAGACAAGACACGCCGTGACTTTTTATACCTTGATAAGCGTGGTTCGTGGAGCACGTCGATTGTCATTGACTTTGGATTCAGGCAGCTGCAGTGACTCCAACCAGGAATGAGCTAGTCCATGCAGCTCGCCGCCGCCAACAGGTCTGGCCCGTGTTGACCTGAGGGCCAACGTGGAGGCGTCAGTGAGGAGGGGAACCGATCGCGTACCTACACCGCATGTCACTGCAGGCATAAGAAAGCCGTGCAAAAGACCAGCACTGGTGAGCTAACCTATAACTACCGGTAGCTTGTTCAGAGGCGTCGAGCTAGAGGGCGCCACCGTCCAGAAGGGCTTATGCCAAGACCTGTTCAGCTCCGATCACAGACAAGACAGTGGTATCCGGGGGGCCATTTCTTGAGCCGCAGCGATCTCCCGCCTCTCAGCCGTCAGATTGGGGCATGTGCATGAGCTTGATTTGACGGACTCCGGTGTTGCTCGTGTCCGAAGATGCAGGTCTGGATTTAGCCGGCATCCGAGTGCATAATAAGAGGGGAGCGAGACCCGGGTCAAGACCAGAATTCCGTGCCCGACTGGACTGGGCTTTACCAGTCGGTTACACATCATCGAGACCCGAAAATGAGAATGAGGAGGTCGCTGGTGCACGGGGCCCTCTCGGTTACGGCCCTCACCGGCCTCGCCGTCGCGTCTGAGCCGTCAAGTTCGAGGAGAACACAGGTCGGGGCGCCATATTTGCGTTCTCAAGTGACGACTCATCGTGGGAACTCGCCGGACGGTCAGACCTGGGGCAAGTTCCGACGGGCCAATTCCAGGAGACAAGATGCGACTCGCTTGGAGAATCAGCAGACTGGCACCTCATACACCATCGACATCGAGATCGGCACGCCGCCCCAGCCTCTGACCCTTATCCTCGATACGGGCTCGTCGGAGCTGTGGGTGAATCCAACGTGTGCGACATCAGGACAGCCCGACTACTGCGAGTCATTTTCACAGTTCGACTACACCTCTAGCTCGACAATAAACGATACGGGGTACTCAAATATGTTAGCGTATGGAAAGGGTAATGTCACGATCGAGTATGTGACGGATGTGGTCAGCATTGGATGTAAGTTAGGAAGATATACCTCAGGAATAAAGTCGGTGATCATCACATACTGACCGCTGGCAAACAGCTGCTAGCATCACAGACCAGATATTTGGCGTGGGCTTCGAATCATACGACATACCCCTGGGAATTCTCGGCCTTGCTCCGCCCACAGACTCGGAACCTCTGTACACATATGTGCTCGATAATATGGTGGACCAGGGCCTGATCGACAGTCGGGCCTTTAGCCTGGACCTCCGAGATGTCGACAGCCCGGACGGCTCGGTCATCTTCGGCGGCGTCGATACTGGCAAGTTTGTCGGGGAGCTGCAGAAGTGCCCCATAGTCGACCCTCTGGAAACCCCTAGCGGTGCAGACCGATACTGGATCTACCTCACTGGTCTTGGGATGACGCTCCCGAGTGGTGAATCCGGGCTGATCGCCAGTGGGGAGCTGCCCGTCTTCCTGGACAGCGGCGGGACGATGACTCGGCTGCCCACCCAAGTGTTCGAGGCCGTAGGCTCTGTCTTCCCCGGCTCGCAGTATGACGCCGAGTCTGGATACTTCATTGTTGATTGCGACGTTGGTGACAGCTCGGGAAGTGTGGATTTTGTCTTTAGCGAGAAGATCATCAGCGTTGCGTTTGACGACTTTATCTGGCGCGTGCCCAGCATGGATGATACATGCGTCCTCGGCGTCCTGGCTGACGATGGTAAGTTAACAATAAGCTAGTCAAGTGCCCGTGGGCAAAAGCAAGCTGACTCGTACCACTCAACAGATGAACCCGTCCTTGGAGACACGTTTCTGCGCGCAGCATACGTCGTCTACGACCAAGACAACCGAAACCTGCACCTTGCCCAGGCCGCCAACTGCGGCACCAGCCTCGTCGCCATCTCCTCCGGCTCGGACGCGGTGCCATCCGTCACCGGCGACTGCACGGCCACCGTAGAGGCAGGTCCGCTGACTGGCTCGCTGACTGCGACAGAGGCACCGTCGACCATCACGAATGGCCCCGGCGGGCTGAGCTCGGCTATTGCGCCGGGCCCTGGCGGCACCCAGACCGGTGAAAGGGTGGCGAGCAGTCTGTGCCTGACGTGCAAGAACACCGCCACGGCGGCAGCGAATCCTTCCGGGACGACTAGGACTGCAAACGCCGGTGCCGTGGAGACTGGTAGCCCTCTGGCCGCGGTTGGTGCGATGGCGATGGCTGCTTTGCTGATCTGATTTGTGATCAAGCCAAAATTGGAGACAGACACAATGCAGAGGCGGGAAGGTAGGATATAGCATGATGATGTGTAAGACAATTAAGTTAGATTGGGAAATAACGCCCCGTAGATAATGCCGGCTTAAAATCGTTGGATCCATGATTCCCCCCAAAACGCCTGAGCTGAATGCCGGATGTCAATCTGGGATTTGCAAACGCTGTCAAAGCTGTGTGCGCCAGGTGGCCAGAAAGTAATCTGATCTCTGCCCGGAAGGACGCTCGAGGATGTGCGGAAATGGAATTGGCTCCCAACACTCCCGAGTCATCCAAACTCTGTGATAGTTCATGTTGAAAAGTATCTCAAGTCAGCGGCAGCGGCACCAGACGCATCTCATGGAACCTTATTAACGCCCTGACCGGTAGCTTGATTTGACTTCTCCCTCTCTTTCTCCTCCCTCTTTATCCGTTTTCTCTCCTCCTTTGCTCGAATATTGCGTCTCCACGCGATCCCGTTCCTCATGACAAGGAGCAACAGAGGCGCTCCGGCCAGGTACAAGAAACCGAAGATCACGAACGTCCAGCCGACCCCAATTGCTTCAACCAAGGGCGAGACGGCGGCAGTCGCAGCAGCACCGAGCAGGCACCGAGTCAGATTACCGGCAGCGGTGGCTGCGCCGGCCTTCTTTTGATACATGTCAATAATCAAAACGGTCGACGAGTTCGTGTAACCGATCATCCCGACGCCATTGAGGAACAGCAGGATGCATAGCACGGCAATCGGTGCCTTATACTGCAGCGCCCATCCCCAGGCGAAAAGAACAGCGGTTGCGAGCGCCAGCAGCGGCAGGCCGATCTCGATACGCGCACGCTCCACGGGGAAGTTGGACAGGTCGTCCTGGGCGCCCTTGGTCAAGGCGATGCCGTGTTTCTTGGCGTGGCGGCGGTAGTTCCAGTCGATGGCCGGGCCGGTGACGAAAGCTGCGACGGCTGACCCGGCGGCCATGGGCAGGTACATCAGGCCGACCTTGACGTCGTCGAAGCCGTACAGGCGCTGGAGCTGGGATGGCATCACGGTCGAAATGGCGTAAAAGCCCGCAAAGACGATAGCGCCGTACCCGAGAAGCAGGCCGAGGAGCGGCTCGAAGAGCATCTTTAGAGAATCCAGTGGGTTGCCGAAGCCGACCGTGAGCTTGGGCCGGTGCTTCCTCGATGTGGCCTTCTTGATGCGCCGGAGGGCCTCGTGGTCGCCGGTCCGCTCTGCCTGGCGCTTCTTCCGGCGGTCCGAGATAACCTGCAACAACGTCCTGTACGCGGGGTGTGGGCGGATGCTTCCGTCGCCGACCAGCTTGCGACATGTCTCCGGAAAAAAGAAGATGATGAGGACGAGTGTTACGGCGGCAAAGATCGTCAGGAACCAGAAAATTGACCTCCATCCCAGATACTGAGAAAGCACGCCCCCCAACACGGGGCCCAGGCTCGGAGCCAGCACGACGGGCAGCACGGTGAGGCCGATATAGTTCCCCCTCTCGGCGCTGGTGACGGTGTCGGCGATGACGGCCTGGCTCAGCGCGATGGTGGCGGCGATCCCGGCGCTCTGGAAGCACCGCAGGACCAGCAGCTGCGTGTAGTTGACGCTCACTGCAACACCCTCGTTCGCGAGGATGTAGATCACGAAGCAGAGGATGAACGCTGGCCTCCGTCCTGCCGTGTCGGCGAAGCCGCCGATGAACATCGGGGTGATGCCCTGGAAGATCATGTATGTCGACACCGTCAGGTTGATCTGCGAGGCTGTCACGTTGAGCTCCTCGGCGATAACGTTGAGCGCTGGGAAGTAGATCTGGCCCGTCAGCGGCGAGAAGAAGGCGGCCAGCGCTGCGGCGAGGACGATCATTGTCTTTTGCCTGGATGTGTAGGATGAGTATGGCGGTGGTACTGCCTGTGCTGGATCCCCGTCGACGCTGGTTGAGACGACGGGCTTCTCACTCGGCGGCTCATCATCTGGCCTGCCGGGACCCTCCCCTTGTCGTGATTCTGTTGTCATAATCCATTCTTTCAGTTCATCTTGGTCTGTCTTGGTATAAACTGTTGGGAATTGGAGTCGAGTTGAATTTGTGTCTGGACTTGGATCTCCAGCCCTCTGATGAGGGACGCCCGTCTTTCCAGCCATCTTTGGCTTCCACAGCTACTTGCCACCTCGCATGATGCGCGAGGCTAGCAACGGCCAAGGTGATCCCTATATAAGAGGGCAGCATGAGGACAGGAACGCCTTGTAGGGCAGCGACTAGGCCAGTCGGTTCCATCGGTGCCGGGGGGAGCGCCCTCGGCGCGCTAGTCATTATTTCCTACCAGGAGACTCGGCACCCCATCCAGCTCCTCGTATCTTGACTGAGTGCCAGACACATGACACCATCTTGAAGCGCCGAGCCGGCACCGACACTGTTCTCGTATAGGTCTCGCTATTCGTGATAATATATGGTCGCGCGCTGTCGTCAGCCTGCATGGCAATCAGCTCAGAACATATTAATCGATTGCCTGTCCTGTTTCAGCGGAAGAGCAGGCCTGTTTCAGTATAGGGCTCTCAAGCCTGTTTGCTTTACATCGGGTACCTGGTATACTTTGCTTAGTTCGATCCAAACGTCCCAGCCGCGGCTGGCGTGAACTCAATACCCATGATGATATAAATGCACCTCATTTGGTGGACCCGGGGACCTGGTTCAATAACACGGAAGACGGCCGCCAATGCTACATTCCTGCCGTTGGGCACATGATAATAAGGTTGCACATGATAATAAGGTTCATGGGGCCACTCTCCCGGCCGAAACGGCACCGACATGATGACGATCCCCCGCATACAACGGCCAGGCACCGACTGAGATAGCCTTTATAATCTACAGAATGAAGCTGTAAACCGGCGAAGTAGCTGCACTTTAAAGAGTAACCTTACCTTGCCCAGGTCGGCTTCAAATAGTCAGACATCGTCAGCTCGCTCAAGTATGAGATTGACACTTCGCTTTGGTGTTCTTTTTACCGTGTAGACGGTCGGAAACACTCATCCTGGACCCTCGCCCGCCTTCCAACCCACAAGCCGGAAATTGCCCGTTTGCTGGCTCAGCGGCGTAGTTGCCTAGATTGTGCTTTTCGAAATATGCGTGTCCATACTTCTCTCTTCCTTTCCACTCCATTGTGATCTGATGCATCCCAGTTCGAGGCGTGTTTCTAAATCCCGGAATGTGTGTTGCAACTTCCAACCGGAATATGCACGCTGCTATCTGCTGCAGACTGGATATATTGTCATGTCACTTTTGGTGAAAAAGCGTCACAGAGCACGATCAGTTTCCCAATGAAATCCGCAATGAATCGTGCATGTTCCACTAGTCTCTTGGAACGCGCGTTTCACTGAGTTCAAGAGATTGCAAAATCCGAAAACGAGCCAGTTGATCTGGGACAGTCTCTCATGGCCTGGCCGAAGACTCATGCAAGGCCACCCTAGCGAACTTTAAATCTCAACGCAGGTACCGTACAAATGCCACGAGTCAATATACTCAGCTCCCATTGACTTTGCCACGAGTCCAGATGTTCAGCCCAATCTTCGAACCCTTTAACACCGGCTGCCCTCCATGTGCTGTGTCCCGATGTCCCGACCCGTCCTTCCTGAAGTTGACCCAGAACACCGCATTCCCGGGTATCGGGCGCACCGCCAGCCCCCTCTTGTACGAGCAGTCTAACCACTTACACCAAGGCTCCCTGTCCCTCCACGCCGGCTGGAGCACGAACGGGAACCACGTCGAGCCGCCCTCGATGTCGTCGGATGCTTCCAGCGTCGCGAAGAAGCTGGTGATGCGGTCCACCGGCCGGGGCGTCGCGTAGTGGAAGTCGTAGTGCGTCTCAAACTCGCCGCCCTCGGTGTACTTGAGCACCGCGAGCTGCTCCATGGTGGCGTTGGGGGCGAAGCCCTGGAATGTTGCTGCCCGAGACTTTACGCAGTCCACCACTGGGTCGCCGCCTTTGAGCCACGCGGTCTCGCTTTTCCGGGAGCTCGAGTCCACGAAGACCTTCTTGGCCCCGGCCTGGTTGTTGAAATTCTGCACCACTGATGGCTCATACTCTGCCAGACTGTGGAAGAGTATCTCAGATAAGTGTTCTCGCTCCATTTTCGGACGACTGGGGCGACAGGGACCGGACTCACGCAAGCTTCTTGAGATGCTCCGTCTCGTATGGGGTTATAAAGTTCTCGATGTAGACCATGATAGGATCGTAGCTGAGGAATTTTGGCTTCATTTCTGAGTGTGTGCACGTGTAGTTGCTCCCTTTTCCATCAGATGGTGATGATGAGCTGGCTTGCGATGTCTGAACTACGTTGACGAGCGACTGCGCCTCCCCGCTGCTGCCGTCGAGCACCACCCGCGCGCCGCTCAGATAGAGAACGAACGCCCCAACGGCCGCGGCCGCGTTGAAGCCGAGCAATGCCTTTGAAGTCATTTGGACGTCTTTAATCAGCATAAGACGATATGAGTGAATCTGTGTACAGAGTGTTTGTGGTCGCAGGTCAATTGAAATCTGACATGGCTTCAAATAGCTGGTGCCGACATGGAGCCAGACCTCGGGACGACACACAGATGATTGCTCTCGCAGTTGAAACAGCACCACATCCGAACTTGAAACAAACCTGCTCTGTCGCCCCCCGTACACTAGCATTCTGCCCATTTTTGAAACATCATTGCAACCGCCCTCTTGCCAGACGGGATATCAGATGAATTTTCACTGTTCGATATACCCAAAGCTGCACCCTGAATTGCTTCAGTTGGTGTGCACTCACGTCTTGGCAGGATATTACACGGCCACAACAAAATTGACATTGACGCCCTTGGGCAAATTGAGATAACCAAGTGAAATCTAAAGACCAAACTGAATATCCACCCGCTCCTTAGTAAAATACCCCCAATCAGACCACTCACTGCAGTCAAGAAGATGCATCCATAAATAGACCAGTTGACAACTTTGATAGCCATCAATCAACTGAGTAAATCAGAGCCTTGCCATATTGCTGGCTCGACCATTTCTCAAGGCCTTCTAGCAGGCTGTTCGCAAAAGCAGAGTCAAAACGATGTCCGCTCTTGAAATTGGCGAGACAGCCTCTCCAAGTCACCCATTTCTCGGCGAGGACTCCCTCAGGTGCTCGCAAGATACCAACGGGCACGCTGACAATCTGCTGCTCGGGGGTTGGCGTCCTGACGTCCCAGGAGGCCATCACGGTGGCGCCGCAGTCGCCACAGAAGCCCCGCAATGCTCCTTGTGACGATGCATACGTCTTCATGGTGCCGTACGGAGCCAGACCTGGCGGCATGGGCGGCTGGATCAGCGCCCGCGGCACCGGCACCCATCCCACGACGTGCACGCCTGCGATGCGGCGGCAGTCGTCGCAGACGTCCAGGAAGGCCTTCCACTTCTCTTTCTCGGCTGGCGAGATGTAGCGTGATATGAACGGGTCGTTGGTGACGGCGGGCAACGTCGGCCTGGGAATCGTGAAGGACACCCCGCCGCAGTGGCAGCCGGCTCGTAGGACCTCATTCCCCTCACCGTCAAACTCCTGCTTCGGTAGCTCGTCCACCATGCCTGCCGACCACCAGCCGCTGTCTGGTCCCGGGTTGAAGGTCTTCATCTCACGATCGCCCATCCGGGGCAGGAATTGGAAGAGCCCCGTACCGCCCGTGGAGCCATCCGTGAAGCAATGCGTCCTGATCTGGAACAGGTCCTCGCCCTGCTCCGTGAAGAGGCTCGTCGAGATCCTCCATTCTTTCTCTGTTGCGCCCTCGGCCACCTCGATATCTTCGTCTCCAATGTGGCTCCCGCAGGTGGTGCAGAAGAAGCGCTCGGCTTGGGCATGCGCGTGCTTGTAGCCCGTCAGATTCGATCTTGAAGAGGGCGCGATGAATGTGGGGACGATCCCGGAAGGCAGCTCTGCGTGGAATATGCACATCGTCCCGTGTGTGTAGCGGCAGATGCTGCAGTGACACATGTGGACGCCCAGGGGAAGCTTGGCCCGTGGGATCTCGATGCTGTACTGCACTGCCCGGCAATGGCAGCTGGCCGTCAGCGTTCTGGTGGTGCTGCCTGTCTCTGCCATGTTTGCAACGTAGGAGGGGGTCGTCGAGAGCGCGCTCGTGAGGAGTACTGATAGATGTCAGCTGCAAAAAAACCAGGATCTCGGGAATTACTACCTACTTATCGTCTTACTAGGTACATAAGTAGATTAGGCATCCGGAAAAGACTGGTGGCGCTTAGTGAGCGGGGATCGCCGTGAGCGGCGGAATCGGTCCCGGACAGTCATCCCGGAGGAAGTTACGGGAGACTGATTTCGAGATCTTTGAGTATACTATGAGCACTATAGTAAATAGTCTGAATCCTTCTTTTGGAGTAGATGACGATTATATTTTGTGTCAGGGCTTGAGAAAGGTTCAATGTTGGCTGCCTGTTTACTAGTCTTGGTTCCGTGTATTCCCACGCATGTGACGGCTCACGGGGTTTACTACTTCCATTTAAAGTGTCACGTAGATGCTGTCAGCCTGAGATGACAGCTGATTCGCTGAAAATCCCCCAGGGAAAAAGAGAATCAATTCAAACACACATTCGTTGCTGCTACGCTTCTGATAATAATGATATGCCCTGAACGGGCCCAGCGCCGACCCATCTTAGGGCTGCCTAGAGTCTATGATCCGATCAAAACGCATTGTCTCCTGTGTCAACGTATCCATCCGGCCTCGGGACGAACAGACTGCCGTTGAACCTCTCCGAGACGAATTCGCGGATAGGCTCGAATTTTCGACAAGTGTGCAGCGCGTCTGTCTTCACGTACTCGCTCTTATAACCTTCAAAGTACTTGAGTGGGACGACGGACGTGCTACCCCAGCACATGATCGACTGGCGAAGGTGGTCGATACAGTGTTCTAACATCGCGGAGTGTTAGCTGACATCGCACTTAAAATGTGGGTGGCGGAATGGGGACTAGAAGACTAACCGGTGTGTACGGGGCCGTGGATTGGGAGGGCTGGGTAGACATCGCGATGCAAGGCCTGTCTGATCTGGTTGAGGCAGTGCAACTGGTGGAACATGTCGAACCTTGAGAGTTGTGATCATACTGTTAGCATATTCTTATCTTCCTCCGTCATTACGCTTAGGGGCGTAAACCGAGAGGAAATGGCATGGAGCTAACTCACCCGCCCGTGTAGCCAGACCTAGTATGGTCCCAATATTCCCTGTAATTACTTCCCCACAGAGATTTGGCCTCAGCTTCTGATATTGAGAAATACCTCCCCCACAGCATCTCTTCCCACGCCCGGTCAATCTCTGGTGTCGTGTCGCCGACGTAGGCCTTATCGTCTGGATTGGCGACTAGGAACTCATGGCCGTTGGTCTCGAAGTCAACCGGTGATTTGAAGCGGACTTCTTCAAGCTGTATACGTTCTGCAGGTACTGCCGAGCAGGTTAGACGAGCAGGTCAGACGATACACCCGGGGCCGGTGAGCATGGCGAGTAGCCAGCTCGCCATGGGGTCAGACTTACACAGGCTTTCTTCTCGGAATCCTGTCTCATACTTTCCACGTCCGCCGAGTCGGGGCTGGAGAATTGACAAGGCCAATGTGAAGATGACACCGGAAACGAACGCGCCTACGCCAATGGCGGCGATATAAAGGATCTCTCTGCGCGTTGCCTCTCTTTCTCTGTTAGGCATTGACCGGAAACGAGGGGCGTGACGAGGGTCGTGTTCCTCCGCTGTATTCCCTTCAAGTAGGTGGTACTTTTGGCTCTCCATGGCGGCTGTGGCTGCGTCTGATGATGGCAGTGGGTGCGTCTGATAGAGGAAGTGGTTATGTCTGATGGGGGCAGTGGGTGAGTCTGATGTGGGTAGTAGGTGCGTCTGATGCTGGCAGATGGGATGAGAGAGAAGAGGCGAGATGATTGAAAAGATGAACTGGGAGATAGGTGAGTAGGCCGGTGCCTTCCAGAGATGTTAGGATGGGCTCAACTTGAAGTGCCGCCACCAGCGAAACGCTCCTGTGACACGTGTTGATGAGACTTAAGCATATACACCGATTCTGAACAAGACGTTGAAGATTTCATTACGTGAATGTGTGTACCGACGGCATTGTACGTTTGGCCGACAACCCGGACTATTTCTCTTAAGATCCTACAATATCGCGGTCAGAGAGTCGATCCATTGCCGTCATTCGCCTGGTCCTGACTAAGATCTGCGGCTGCTGTGATACAGGGTGAGGGTCCATGGGGGCCAACCCAAAACAAGCACCATTAAGAGCGGCGGACTATAGATTCCTGACAAGCATGGACATCCGCGATGCGACCCGCTCAGGGGTTTCAAGTTCCATAACGGCCGATCTGAAAAGCTTAAAGTCTATGCGCGGATATTCACACAACCACTAACATTATACGACAACCTGCAAGGTTGCACGTGTGATGACTGGCAAGACTGGTTCAGTGAAGGTAGTGGGGCATCCCCGAAAAAGGCTATGCAAATATCCACCACCCCCTATAGTAACGGTGAGCGCCGGCGGCGCTTGTGTCAGCCTTATTGCAACCCCTCCACCCTGGCCCTCAGTCCGGGTTGCCTTGTCGGTATGCCACCGTTGTCAAGCGCGCTCGACTGAAGTTGTGACAGCTGTCGAGGATCTGATGCAGTCTCAAGTCCACCCGAACTTTCTATTCGTGCCAGTCTGTCACTGACGACATGAGTTCGGTCGCAACTGATACTCAGCGGTCACGAAGTAATTGGCCTTCCACCCAAACTGCCAGTTTGATCGCCAAGCGGGGATGAGACTATCTGGATTAATGCAAGTGCCATCTGGTGAGAACGGACAATCCGTGGGGCGAAGTCAGATTTACACCCAACGCGCTTGTGAAAACATTTGAATATCAAATATTGCAGTGGAACAAGGCCGAAAGTCAGCGAAGATGCTTTCTGAGCCCTCAAGTATATGAAGAGCCGGGCAGCCTGCTCGGTGTTGAATTGTTCTGAGAGGATCATCTACTTTCATTTCATTTCATTCACTTCACTTAATACCATTCGAACTATTTCAACTTGCATATTTTCCTGTTCCCTGGTTGGAGCAGCCATCACTTTACAATCACCATGAAGCTCTCCCTCGTCTTGTCGCTGGCGGCCACCATCATCTCCGTGGCAGCCGCGCCCGCAATCCCCGGGCTCGATCCGGAGAGCATCAAGAAGACGCTTGCATCCCCGGCGCCTCAGGATAAGCGCGAGGCAAAGAAGGCTCAGTTTGAAGTCCCTCAAGACAAGCGCTCCCCCAAGGGGCTGGACGCCGAGACGATTGAGGAGATCAGGGAGAACCTCCCCCCGGCGCCTTCTGACAAGCGCTCGCCCAAGAAGGCCAAGTTCGAAGTTCCTCAAGACAAGCGCGAGGCCAAGAAGGCTCAGTTCGAGGTTCCCCAGGACAAGCGCTCCCCCAAGGGCCTGGACGCCGAGACCATCGAGGAGATCAGGGAGAACCTCCCCCCGGCGCCTTCTGACAAGCGCTCGCCCAAGAAGGCCAAGTTCGAAGTTCCTCAAGACAAGCGCGAGGCCAAGAAGGCTCAGTTCGAGGTGCCTCAGGACAAGCGCTCCCCAAAGGGCTTAGATGCTGAGACGATTGAGGAGATCAGGGAAAATCTCCCCCCAGCGCCTGCCGACAAGCGCGAGGCCAAGAAGGCGCAATTCGAGGTGCCTCAGGATAAGCGTGAGGCGAAGAAGGCTCAGTTCGAAGTTCCTCAGGATAAGCGCGAAGCCAAGAAGGCGCAATTCGAGGTTCCCCAGGACAAGCGTGAGGCCAAGAAGGCCCAGTTTGAGGTTCCCCAGGATAAGCGTGAGGCCAAGAAGGCCCAGTTCGAGGTTCCTCAGGACAAGCGTGAGGCTAAGAAGGCCAAGTTTGAGGTTCCCCAGGACAAGCGTGAGGCTCACTTCGAGGTCCCCCAGGACTAAATGGGCGGCGTATAGGGGAGCCGTGGGAGCAAGATCATGAGAGCCAAGATGCCCCGATTTGTTCTCAACAACGCAAACTCACGCTGGTGGCATGCAGGCACGGTCCGGTGAGCCAGTGTACACAGGATGCGTGGTTTGGGGAAGGATTTTAGGACGCTGGTTCTGTCTCTTGCCTCGCTATGGTATTCTTTGCGTGGCACCTGGGCGTTCAAAGCAGATTGTAAAGCCCGCCCGGGACGCGGTGGTGAGCTCTGGAGTTCGGAGGCGTGCAATGGTGGTGGTATTAGCCACCAATCGACGAGGTCATGTCACAATAACAGGTTCAATGCAAGTTATCGAGTTTGGATGCAAAAGATTGCGATATCGGAGTGACTTGAGGAGACATGAAAATGTATTACTAGTAGACTGCGGTTTGTGACGCCAAGTAGTGTTGTCTGAGAAATCTCAGACACCATATCCATTGCTATTATTATTTTTCCTTGTTGAAACGGAGCGAAAACGAGCTGCTGGTACGAACACGCTCACCTACTTAACCTTCGGAGAGCAGTAATCCCATGCCCTAGCTATACCATTCCTGCGGTATTGTCCTGCTTTGTGCTCTTCATTCCACACACACGGTGGCTACAGTACGGAAAGAGATTGAGATGGGACCCTTAGGTATCTAGGTATTGTCCAACCGTTGGCGACTTCAGTAGAGCCAGCTGCCTGCATTGGCCAAGCATGGCCAGCATTATTACGCTACGAGGAAATAAAGCAAGGCCATCCACGTCGTAATTCCTCAATCACTCCTAATTCTTTTAACATATCCAACCTGGAAATGCACAATTTCTTCCAGGTTGCGCTTTCACGTTGGCTGGTGATCCCCCCCAGCAAGCCCTGGAGATCAGCCAGCGAGCGGTCTTGGTCGAAGCGATAGGCCGAACATTATCAGCGCCTATGATCTGGACGGAAAGCGGGCAGCAGAGATCCGGGACACTTCCCATTTCGTCATGGATGGGTATTTCGAATATACATTCCCTGATGACGAGTTGCGCCCCCAGGTGCTGTTAAGAGCAACGGCGACACCGAGCATATGGTTGCGGGTGGGGGCTCAGCATGGGTGATGCTCTTGGCACCGCAGCCATCATGGGGCTTGATGGCTTTATTACTGGTTTCGCTTCTATTCCATGTACGTCCGAGGACTTATATGGCGCCTTCATACGGTGGTAAACGCTCAAGACCCAGCGATTAAAAAGGAATAAGACGTCGATAACTGTAGTTAAAATACGATAGGTGCTGTGGCTTCCTATCTGAGCTCGAATCCAACGACAGCCCCAAAGGTCACCTGGCTAACAGAATACAACATCATATCTCCCACAGAAATACAGGTACTCAACTTAATTAAGTACATATGGACTACTGCATTCCGTACCTAGGTACAGACTTACCTGCGCACCGGGTGCGGGTATTCACCTATCCTAGGCCTCAACAATGCTACCCTGGTTACGTTGCCCCCAGGCAATCATTATAAGAACCTACAGCCGAAGCTTCTTCTTGGCTGTGACTCTCATGAGACTCTTAAGTACCAGTGCTTGGCTCACCGTTCTGAGCTCCATGTGGGGCCTGCTAATAACATAGAAGTGGATGGACAAAATTGGGCTGTCAACACCGAAGCGCATCCCATTCGGACCACTGCACGGCATGACGGAAAGTACTGAAGATATTGTCTCCGAGGGGGAAACAGTAGCTCTAGGCTTGCTCATCACATGGCTCTCTCTCTCTCTCTCTCTCTCTCTCTCTCTCCCTTATTCTCCCCCCCCCCCCTTTTTTTTTTCAAATTCAGTGCTAGATTCTTTCCTTCAGATCCGAACCATGTCAAAAAAGTATCCTCATTGCCCACCAAAAAGAACATTTCATCTAGCCTTTGAGATGACCTTTCGAAGACTGACTCCTCAGAGAGAATGTCGAGGCCTTTTTGAGGAGTGCCAGACTGGATCCCTTTTTCTTCGAGCTCAACACGGAATTGTTCCTCATGAGGTCTATCCTGGGCCGCGCTTTGATGTCCGCCTCGACCCTTCGTGCCTCGTCGATCTCCTTCCAAATGACAGCCGCCATAGGATCGCCGCTTCGACGTCCTAAGGTGCATGTATCTCCTGGTGTACCAGCACTGTTGAGATCAATCCACTCTTTCCCAAAGAAGACCATGGTTCCCATGTACAGTTCGGGGGCGGTTCCGTCGACTTTCCGCTTCCCGAAGGCGGGCCATTCAACGGGCAGCTTGTCCCATTCTTGCATGGCAAAGTCGCTGGGCCGCAGGGTCTCGGGGTCGTATGGTAACATTTTCAGGTCACCTCCAGCCAGAATCCCATGGCGCATACGGTCGCCTATCGAGGTGTTCCCAATATCCATGAAGCACATAGGCCTTGTTATGGGCGCTGGGCTTGCTAGGTCGAGCACCACGGCGGTTAGGACGGTGATGGCTCGGATTTTCGGGAAGAATTGCAGGATGAGTCGAAGTTTCTTCAGCCATATGTCGTCCTTTTCCTTCGACTCAGACAGCGAGCTTGCGTTTATTGCGACCTTCTGGACCTCGCTCAAGATTTGCGGGAGGTTGGGGTCTCTGTCGAATATGATCTTGGTTTTGGGCCGCTCATAATACTTGAAAATGTAGTTATCAATGAACAGCATGTCAAGTGGGGGGTTGAAACTCCGATGGCTGGAGTTGGGTTCGTTGCTGCTCTTTGAGGCCTGCTTTGGCATCGGCCCCAGGTGTACTCCACTGAACCTGTGGGGATGGACCTTCCCATCGTCAAACTGAATCTGCCACTTTGGCCAGAAAATGTTGTCTGTGTAGGCTGTGTCGGTTTGTTGTTGGTCCATGCTGGCGGACTACCTGAGAGCTTGTCGACCTTTGAATCCCATTCATGCTGTGGGATCTTCTTGTGCAATGTCTCTGGCAAAAGATATTTGGTAGCTTGGTCTTCTGGAGGGGTGAGGGATATGTGATGGAGACTTGATGGAGAAGTCAGAGTCTTTCGTTGGTCACTCCCTTCGTCCAATGTTGCTGTGAACAGTGACAGGTTTAGGACATATTGGCATGGCGCTATGCCGAAGTCACGCCATTCCACCTTGGTTGAACCCCCATGATCATTTCAAATGTCATGGTTGTTACCAGGTATTAATACAAATGAGAACAAACGCAGGCCGTTTGGTTTGCCCAACGCCATCAGATTCAAGAACTCAATGCCTCTGCCTCCAGACTTGTCTGATACCCTTCAAATTCATTTTGAATCCCTAGATCTCATTGCTTTGTACAGTCTCATCAATGAAGCCTGTCTTTCTGTATCAGGGGAGATCTTTGTTCAACTCTGGCGAGAGTTGTGTTGATTTAAACTGCAGTAACTGTGTGCAAGATTTACCATCTCCCAATATTCCAAGTTTAGGTATTTCTGTGTATATGTCATTGATATCATAATTGATGAGGAGTAATGATGACAACCTGAGCATGCATGGCGGCCGTAATTAATGGTCAACCTCGACGGCCCGGTGTAGAGGAACTGCACGTTGGTGAAAACCTCCGCCTACTTGCTCGCTTTCAATGCATTCTTATTTTTCTGGGGTAAATCATAGAATCTTAGGGTGTTGAAATTGTCATCAGCTGGAAGTATTTCCTTGCGGGTGTTGATTCCGATGACTGATGGTTCGATTCTGTTGGGATCACTTTGCCGTCAAAGAGAGTAAAGCAAGCTCTTGAGAACCTTCCGCTTGAAAAGGAACAAAAATTGAGGATATCGAGACAGCGGTCGACGACCGGCCGAGCAAGGTCATTGCTGATGATGGCGCTTGTGAGATCACCGTGAGCACACTTACATACCTCAGTACTCCTATTTCTCGATGAGCCCACATCACGTCTAGACCTCCCAAACTCATAGCCTCATACTCACTGTGGCTCTAATGGATCAATACAACCGCCTGAGCTTCGTGGAGGTACTACTCGAGCATTGGTGTAGAAAGACTGAGCACCAGGTTCAAACACTTCGAGCTTAGAACAATTGTAAGACAGCATTCAGAACTATAGAATGGTTCCCATTATGGAGGGTACGCACGGGAGTTTGTCGCCTTGAGCCTGTCAATTCCATCATAGTCCTATCTGTGCCCCCATAAGATGCCAGGGTGCTGGCCTCACCTATGCTTATTCCATTTCCAGAATGGGGTAGTCTCAACCGGAGGGTTTAGTCCGGTTCATTTGCTTCGTTAATATGGACGTAAAGTCAAAGGATTTCGTCAGGAAGACCTCGCACTGTAAATTAAGTCTTAAGTGCTACACGTTGCTGACAAACATATAATCCCATTTTCCACAAACGACCTACCTACATGGAAAAGGAGGCAAATGAAACAACATTCGCATGTGATTTGCCATGAGAACTTCTGCTCCGGATGGTCCGTTCAGTGTTGAAACCGACTGCAGGTACAAGGAGACTAGGGCGGCAGCCAAGGGCTGATCCAAAACGCTGGTCTGTTGCCGGTCCCCTGGAGTCCCATGTTGGCCTTTGGTGCAGAAACCAATCAGACGTGCACAAGTAGCACCGTCCTCACGGGATTGGGTTTGCATAATAGCGGTGTCTAAATTGACTTTCCAGAGCCTCGTTCAGGCACGTCCCGGTTATGCTCCACCACGCGGGCACGTCGGAACCACAGCCTCGGGAAGAGATGTGGGAAGGCCTGGGAGGATGAACCTTGGATCTGGCCGTGTTTGACTTAAGAGCTGAGCTCAAATCCCGATCCGAACTGCTTGACTGGCAAGGCGCATGAAGTATAGCACGGCTCAACGTCACCAGGAAGATATTTGGCAATGCAATTTTGAGTGCAGCGAATCTGGAATTGGTAATATCCATCTCCTGCTGTCAAGCAAATTGTCATGCGCCGCTCACATGCGGTTCACCGAACTTATGCGTCATACAACAGGATCGAGATCTGTGAGGTCCTCTCCTGCAAGGAGAGATTCATTGGTGATAATGATAAAGCTGCTCGAGCTCCTCGGTCACCGATGGTACGTTCGGTGAATTCTGGACCAGCCGCTTCTTGAACGTACACGACTCTACTCGCCCTCTCTCCCCCTCCCTTACCCTGTGATCAACAAATCAAGCCACAATGGCCACCGCCACAACGACACAAACGGCCGAAGCTCTGCCCCAGTCGCATGAGAGCTCTGCGGGTGCCCTGGTGCACCACTCTAATCAGAGCCAGGAGCTCATTCATCATGCCTCTCAACGTCGCGAGACCGGCGCTCTGAGCCAGCAGCCACGCCCGCAGAGCGCAGTGATCTATCAGCCGCCAACCCACGAAGACAAGCCCGGAGAGAAGAGAGAAGCCCAATTCTTGCCCTGGTACACACGCTGGGGCTACTCTATCTCCCTCGGTGCAGCTCAGGGATTCTTGAAGCCGGCCAGTTTGATCCGTGATATGCAAGACTCAATGCGCTCGCCGCTGCATCAGCCGAATTTGGTGAAAACCTACCAATGCCGCCCAAAGCTTCCTATCAGGTGAGTAATGCGATAGGTCCATTCTCCTATCGACTGACAACAGCTGATTCCTTCCGACAAGGGTCTTCTTTCCCAAGCCGTACGACAAGGAGAAGCCTCGGCAGATGTCCTTGTGCTTCACGATCCACGGAGGCGGATTTATCATGGGCACTCCGCAAGACAACGATGCATGGAATGCCAAATTTGCGAGTCGGTATTCGGCAACCGTTGTGGCCCTGAACTACAACAAAGCTCCGAAGACAACTTTTCCCATGTCTGTTCATGTGGGTACAATCCGTGTGCATATTAGATGCGCCTGTCAACGCGCTTGACGCGCTCACCCAGCGGCTACTGATACCGGGGTCTATGTACAGGATGTCGAGGCACTGATGCTTGCCGTTCTCTCCGACTCCGAAATTGCCCCTCACATCGACCGTTCTCGAATTGCTGTTGGCGGCTGGGACGCTGGCGGCAACCTTGCGCGTGAGTCACCTGCTTCATCATCCAACATAGACTGACTGTGAATGCTGACGGCGATGAATGAAGTGACCGTCACCCAACTTCCGGCGATCCGACCCATCGTCAACTCAGTCTTCGCCTTCTATCCGCCTTGCGACTTCACCGTGACACACCACCAAAAAAGCCGACTCCGGCGGTACAAGGCTGGAGTGGGCGGCTTCCGTGCCCGCGAGACGGACTACATGCTCTCCATGTCGCCCATGATCGACTGGTCGTACATCCCGCACGGGACGGACCTACGCAACCCGCTCCTCAGCCCGTTCTTCGCAGAGCATGACATGCTCCCCCGCCGCGTCATGATCATCGGCTGCGAGCTGGACATGTATGCCCATGAGGCCTGGCGCACCATCAGCAAGCTGGCCGGCCGTGAGGTCCCTGCCATGGAGCAGACCGTGGGGCGGGAGGGCCAGTCCGATCATGGGCAGATGCTCTTTGACGACGAGCGATTCCACTTTGAGCAGACATACAACGACGGTTCAAGCTACAAGTGGCTGCTTGTCCCTGACACCAGTAGGCGGTGTATCTCCCCGCACCTTGAGCTACACATGCTGACACCAAACCTTACAGTCCATAACTTTGACCAACGCATTGGTGGTGTTGTACGAGAGCCAGACTTCCGGGCTGATGCGGAACACAAGAGCGAGGCTTGCCTCAAGGAGATTGGCGAGTGGCTTCTTGGGCCCTTCCATTCGGCCCGAACGAATGGTGCAAACCTTGAGCAAAATGGTGATACCAATGGTACGGCCGATGCCCATCATCAGATTGAGCATTGAGGCTCACACGTGGCAGAAGTTTGGGTAAGTCTAAGATCTTGAACGCATGTGCTTTTGATTCTGGCTGATGATGAGTATGAAGTGGGTTTGAAACAGGGAAAGGATATTAGGACATAGCCAGTTCAAAGATACCAGATGCAATGAAGGGTGATGTTGCTTTCGTGACCTGTCAATATATTTGCCTTCAACATCGACCAAACCTACTGTAGACTAATTTGAATTCCGTGAACTGTTAGAACACTGGCACTATTTATTGACCAGTCCAAATATTTTGGATTGGCATTCTCAGGTGGACTCATAATCAAGTACACAGGGGACATCCGGCGGGGACACACACTACCGCAATTTCTCTTACTGCCAAAGGACTGTGCACAGGACAACCATCCTATTCCTTTTTGCTATGGATACCAACAATCGGTAGGATTCATCCGAGTTGGGCGCGACAGGCCCCCTATCCGCTGTCACATTTGCTAAGTTTATATGTTCTGATTCGCCCCTTGCACCGTCGGGATACCCAAGCAGAGGTTACGACCACATCTGTCATACATATGAAGATGCTCAGAGTGTTGGCGTGACATGATGGCGCATGGGAGGTGCTGGGTGATGCTGGGATCATTGGGACTCCGACATCCTCTGCTTCTTGAGAGGAGGCTCGCCAGAGTTGTCTTGCTCAGACTGAGAGCCCTGGCCAGAGTGAGCTTTGTCGGACGTGGACGGCTGGCGATATTTCCTTGCTGAATTCCAAATCAGCTCCAGAACGGCACTCTTGCCCTCCAAGTTGGCCTCCATGAGCTTCCTCTCATCCTCAGACCAGTCGTCCACGTTTGTCTTCTTCAGCTCTTCAACCTTCTCCATCATCTCTTTGTAGCCTTTCTGGAAGTCGGGTATAGTCTTCCGCACTGACTCCTTGTTCGTCAGGACCACACAGTATCTGTGACCTTGGTAGCCAGTAACGTAGTGGTAGATCTCGCGTCCTCGTAAGTGGCAACTCGATCCACTTGGAAAGGAAATTCGAAGACCAAGCCACGGAAGCACCAAGTCCCCATCTGCACTATTAGTTAGTAGGTTTCATCTAGGTGTGGCCACTGTTGACTCACCAGTGAAGTTTCCAAAGCAAGTTAGAGCAGCCAGGCCTTGCTCCCAGTCTGTTGAGTCCAAATGGCCTTCCGTCTGCGCATCAACAAGATGGGCCATGTACCCGTACGGGTTGTCACCTATAAAAGTGCACATGATATTAAGACTTGAGCCAAGGATATATATGGGGAAGGTTCCGCGACTCACCTGTCTTAGCCAGCTTTACTTGGAGTACCTCGGGCAGGTTCTGTCGGACTGTCAAAGCCTCCTCGTATAGCTCGGGGTCCCAAGACTTGAAGGACACACGTGACACCTTTGTGGCAGTACCATAGACGCCTGTCACGAGTTTCGGCTTTTCATCAGTCCATGCACTGCTATTGATCACTGCGTCGAGGCGGTCTCTGGATTTGACAGTGAAATCTTGCAAGCAAAGGCGTTGAAGCCCGCTCGCTGATCCGCTCTCGTGGTGGACCCCGTAATGCTCGACTCCACAGACGGCAAAATGCGGTTGCTCACACTGTTCTGAATTTACATCTTTGTTCGGAAACCGTGCTAGATGTATCGCCTGGTTCGTGGGATGCCGAAGGGCCTCCGGCTGTGTGATGGGCAACCTCCACGCAGCTGCCTGGGTTGCCCGGGCCAACTTCTCCAGGTCCCTTCTGGGAACATCTTCTGTACAGCCTTCGTAAAGACGCCAATGATCAGCCGGCTGCCCATGTCCCTGCAGATGATGATATCATATCCTTCGATGAGCTCGCGTGCCTTCGCTGCCTCTCCGTCGACTTGGAATTGATCAAATGGGTTGCTTGCCGTCCGTTTCGGCAGATTGTTCTTCACATCCTCAACATTCTCTTGTGTAATTGTGCAATCTGCTGGCTTGGCCCCATTCATTTCGTTGGTGAGATCCGCCTGGTAGGTATCATCATCCCGATGGAGATGTAGTTCTTCATGGGCCTGGTTCAGGAGGATCTTCCACTTTTCGCGCTGGCGTCCCTTGGGGAGCACGCTGCCATTTGTGGCCAGTATTCTGCGAGCCACATATTCCTCCTGGGCTCTGGATGGCGCTGGCCCTGCTCGGTCCCGTGCGATCTTCTCGATTCGCTTCGCGGTGGCTGATTGCGAGTATTGCTTGTGGCCCTTCTTGCGAACGTCAATGTAGTTATATGTCTTGCGGCAAACACGCAAGTCTCCAAATGGGCTAGGTGTTGTGAACTGTTCCGTGGTCACGTTTTCCAGGCTCTGCGACCTGGAGTATGCAGGCTTCTCTGTTACATCGAACGTGAGAACTTCCTGAAGCAGATCATGTGTCTCTTGTTCCAGCTGAGGGTCAACATTCATGTCGGAGAGATCCTCAACGTGAACCCTGGTGTCCTCATGGTGGCTGATATTGGAAATGTTGGCATACTTGTAACCTCGAACTTCTTCCACTTCAGGTTCTTCTTTACTTGTGCCCTGCTCCGGGGCAGTGGTGTTCTCTCTGGTGCTCACACCATCTTGGGGGTTGCCTTGCTCTCTGTTCTCGGGGTTGTGTACCAGGCGGCGGAAGTTGATAGGTCCGTGTGCTGGGACTTTGTCATAGGGCTGGGCTGGTGCTGGCACCCCACCTGGGTGGATGTGTTCTGCTTCAGACATTTTGAAAATGGAAGATGTATAATATGCTCTTGCTTTGCATATAGTGAGCGAAGAAATGAGGGACGCAAATTATGGGCGCTCTCGTGATTGAATTGTTACTGTGCTGGGCAATTCCGTGTTATGTTGCAGTTTGCAAATCCCGACCGGTCGCAGTGTCTGGATTACTTGCTGTTGCTCCTTTTCCGAACTGAACGACATTCGGGCCGTGCACAGGCGGCAGGCATGCTTTGGCGGGGTTGACCATTCACTCGAGTGCTGATACAACAGACAGTGTGCCTTTAGGTCGGACTTGAGGTACAACAGCCTGGGAGGAGAGCCTGAGGGCACCACCCTTGGACCTCCTGGACCCCTGTGCGTCATACAGATAGAGGCCATCCAGTGACAGTAGCAGACACTTGCGCTCTTATCGGGGGCTTGATTGGGTTGTGCAGACAACGAAGAACTCAAGTGAATGCCAAATCACGTGCATCTGTATCAGGGGCACCTTGCCCATGGCTGGACGAAGGGGGTAAGCACAGCCTGTCTAATGAGATGTGCTGATGGCATGGCTTTCTCTGCCCATAGAACTTCATCCTCTTAGGGAAATTATTGTGGTTCCACGTTACTAGAGAGGCTTGAAGAGCACAAATTGTCTATATGGGGAGAACAAAGCTGCAACACAAGGTCCAGTGCCTTCAAGGCTGCCCACGCCCTAGATACTAGGAGAGCAGGACCCAAGTGTGAAACTGATAACGAGGCCAGTTACCCTCTCCTAGGTGCCGGCACAAGGTATTGTTAAATTACCCAGATATGGTCCCTGCATGAGTCGTTCCTCGACATCTGGAGGTTCACATGTCACAAAAGGCATTGGAACAGTAATTGATGTTCAACCTTTAAGACGCATCTGAGGGTTGGAACAAGACTTCTTTGTGGCGTCTTATATTTAGGATCGGCTGATATGCAAGACCGTTTTATATTGCCAAGCAAGGATTTTCGGACCTCAGCTTATTCAAATGTTTGGTCATAGTTCAAAAATATGTCACGGGTGTTTCCTGAATACAACCTGCGTGCTCATTCTGCTGGGTTGTGTAGTTTTGGACACACTGACGCGGCCATGAGATGCAGAATCAGAGTCACAAAAAGTATCCTGTTTCAATACAAGCGTTTTTGGTCTTGCCGTCGTCACCTACAGGGTGTCCAACCAATCAGAGGCTGTACCATGGTGGCGTTCCTGAGTAGCACACCACAGCCAATGGTTTAAGGCTATGGTGAGTGTACGGAGGAGTGTAGACCACGGCTGTGTTCTTTCACTAGTGAGGGATGGCCATACGCGCTTTGGGATCATTGGCCTATCAGCTGCCAGACGGCGCACTCATTATAGGCCAGATGTGGCGGCCTCTAGAAGGGCCCGAGACCAAGGGAACCAAGACAAGCAAGCGGCGTTACGAATTCGAGCCTGCACAGCCCGGGTGAATCGAAGATCTCTTGGCCACAACCTTGGAAGTCAAGGCTAACACGCGGCCTAGCGGCACGTGTGGGAGCTTGATAGATGGCTGGGTAGCAATCCAGGATAGGCTTCAGCCAAGCCGGTTTGCTTAGTGCGTCATGCCTCCGTGGCACGCTTCACCACTGGCTGGAGTGGCTAATCTGGCTGAGCCAGGAGTCAGGGCCAAGCAGCCAAGAGACAGTTCACAGCCGGCTTGCGCCTCCGACTCATCAAACCATCTGCCGCCCGCCTCGATTGTCCCGAGCTCCATCCACCTTTGCCAATCCTATCATGACGCTTCTCTCTAAACTTTGTGTCCCTTACGCAACGTTCGACCCGGATTGATGTTTTGCGTGAGCCATTGTTTCCTTGCTGGGTTTTGACCCACCGCCTGGTGTTGGAGGACGTGTCTTTGTGTGCCCACCATTCAAGCGGGACAGGGAGAAGCTAGCGAGCTGCGTTAGGCTTTGGAAAAATGGCCGACCAAAGGAAATCCGACCGCGATGGCTCAAGCGAGTGGCTCGAAATGTCCGCGCTCGAGGGCTCTGCAACTCGCCCCAGCGCGCGACAGACACTTCTGGATGAGGGTGGTGGACAGGCAGCCAGAGCCGGAAAGACCTCATCTATGGCTGGAAGGGTGTTAGAGTTCCTCCGCCTGAGACGAACCGCACAAGCTGCTCCCGATGGCCGCATAATACCTTTGCGTGTCGGCGATGAGCCTCTGACCGATGAGCAGACGGGACGCCCCTATATTTCCAACCGGATCAGGACCTCGCGATATACCATCTGGAACTTTGTCCCAAGGCAACTCATCTATCAATTTTCCAGACTGGCCAATATGTATTTCCTGATCATTGCCATCCTTCAGATGATTCCCGGATTCAGTACAACGGGACGGTTCACGACTCTCATCCCATTGCTGATATTTGTGGCGCTTACTATCGCAAAAGAAGGTTATGACGATTGGAAGAGGTACACCCTGGACAAGGCCGAAAATGCGAGCAAGGTCACGATTTTGGGAGCCGAGCACGGTGCGACAAGCCGACAGCATGGAAAGCGGGTATCTGTTGCAGATTCTGAGGTGGCTTTGAGCCCATCGTCGACCCGGACGAAACCAAGCACGCCATGGATGACAACGCAGTGGGGCGAACTCAAGGTTGGAGATGTTGTAAGGCTCTCGGGAGATGAGCAGGTCCCAGCAGATATCGTTCTCCTGCATGCCGACGAGGGTGTCGCGTATGTCGATACCAGGGCTCTGGACGGCGAGACAAATCTCAAGAGCAAGATGGTCCCCGCGGCGCTGAAGAACTTGCATCTTGTTTCGGTGCAGAACATTTCTGGCTCGGACGTTTACTTCACTATCGAGCATCCGAACCAGGATCTTTACAATTTTGACGGGACTGCCACAGTCGATGGCAACGAAACATCGCCCCTGAATGTGGACAACATCATCTATCGAGGCTGCGAGATCAAGAACACAAAATTCATCATTGCAATGGTGATCAACACTGGCGAGGACACGAAAATCCGCATGAATGCGAACCGCAACCCGGAAGCGAAGAGGCCTGCGCTCGAGAAGTTTGTCAACCTGATCGTCATCTTCTTGGCGCTCTATATGCTCGTCACCTCGGTCCTGCTTTACATGGGCTTCAAGATCTACTGGCAGGGCACAAACGTGCCCTGGTATCTCATGTTGTCAGTCGTGTCCGACCAAGAAGTCATAATCGGATTCATCATCCAGTTCTCGAATGTTGTTCCGATGTCGCTCATCATGGCGATTGAAGCAGTCAAGCTCAACCTGGCTGTACTTGTTGCTTCTGATGCCGAGATGCACCACGATGAATCCGACACGCCTGCAGGCTGCAACACGAACATAATCCTGGACGACCTCGGGCAGATCGGCTATGTCTTTTCGGACAAGACTGGCACGCTGACCGACAACATCATGAAGTTCCGCAGGATAAGTGTGGCCGGAACAAGCTGGTGGCATCATGATGCGGGATTCACAGAGGCGAAGGTTCCGGCGCCATCGGAGGACAGAGGTAGAACCACCAACGACTTGCTTGCTCAGATCCGCCGTGACCCGAGATCTACGCTCTCCCAAGCAGCCTACGAGTACATACTTGCGTTGGCAGTATGTCACACGTGCCTCCCCGAGAAAGACCCCGAGACGGGCGAGGTCGTTGATTTCCAGGCATCGTCCCCGGATGAGTTGGCTCTGGTGAGAGCTGCACAGGAGCTCGGTATCCTGGTGGTGGAGCGCACAACCCAGTCGCTCACGCTCGAAATTTCTCACGGCCTCGGCCAAGGAGTGAGGCGTGAGACATACGAGGTACTAGATGTTATCGAGTTCAGCAGTAAGAGGAAGAGAATGTCTATTGTGGTCCGCCGTCCGGATGGTAGAATTTGGGTCATTTGCAAAGGCGCTGATACCATTGTGCTGCCGCGTCTGAGAAAGGCACAAATGGACGCCAGGAGACAGTCTCTCAGGCAACACCAGAGGGGCTCAACGAATCTTTCTTTTCCCAGGCGGTCGCTGGAGTCCCCGGCAAGTCCAGTCTCGGTACATTCGTGGAACCCAGGAACCCCGGGATTCTGGGATGGGAATCGAGATACAAACCCCTATGCCGGGAGGTCGAGTCCGTATCCAGACCGGCACATGAAGGAAGACGAGATATTGAACCGCTGTCTCGACCACATCGATGAGTACGCGAGAGAAGGTCTGCGTACGCTTGTTTTTGCGCATCGGTATCTCTCCAACGAAGAATACAGAGCGTGGAAGAGAGACTACCACAGCGCACAGGTCAGCCTGACAGATCGACAGCGGAAATTGGAGGAGGTGGGGGAGAAGATTGAGCATTCGTTCGACCTCATTGGGGCATCGGGCGTTGAGGATAAGCTGCAGAAAGGTGTGCCTGAGACAATCGACCGCCTTCGGAGGGCACGCATAAAGATATGGATGTTGACAGGCGACAAACGAGAGACAGCAATCAACATTGTGAGTTTTTTGAATCCGTTTTCTACCGCAGGCCAGCTCGTAGTCACGGAGCTCCGAGTCAACTTGACATTCACCTAGGTAAAAACTAGGACACTAACGATGAATCTGGACAGGCACATTCTTCTCGCATCTGCACGCCGGAAACGGCACTCTTCCAGCTGGACGTCGAAGACGGCGACCTGGAATGGCAGATCTCGGACATCCTCAACTCTCCGGATCGCCAAGCAGCCCCACACAGCGCCATTGTTATCGACGGCCAGACGCTCACCGCCCTGGAACAGCCCGAGGCGGCCCAAATCCGGAAGGTCTTCTTCACGCAGCTGATCCCCACCGTCGGCTCGGTGATCTGCTGCCGGGCCTCACCGTCCCAGAAGGCACTCCTGGTGCGTGCAGTGCGCGACGAGCCCTCGCCACCGCCTGGCACGACGTCCCTAGGGCGGGCCTGGTGGTGGGTGCGGACCAGCTTCACGAGCCACAGGCGGCCGCTGACGCTCGCGATCGGTGACGGCGCCAACGACCTGGCCATGATCACGGCGGCCAACGTGGGCGTGGGCATCTCCGGCCGCGAGGGCCAGCAGGCAGCACGGGTGGCCGACATCAGCATCGCGCAGTTCCGCTTCCTGTCGAGGCTGCTCCTTGTCCACGGGCGCTGGAACTACCACCGCATCACGCGCTTCGTGCTCGGCAGTTTCTGGAAGGAGACCATGTTCTGGTTCCCGGCGGCGCTGTACCAGATCGCGGCCGGCTTCACCGGCACGAGCCTGTACGAGTCAACGGCCCTGACGGTCTACGGCTTTGCGTTTTCCACCGCCTGCACCATGACCATCGGCGCCTGGGAGAAGGACCTCAAGGCCCGCACGCTGATGGCCGTGCCTGAGCTGTACGCATACGGCCAGCGGGCGCAGGGCCTGAACTGGGGGGTGTTCCTGTCGTGGATTGCGAATGCCGTCTTGGCCGGGGCGGCCATCTCCTTCTTGGCGTGGCTGGGCTACGGGGGCGCGTACACGACCACCCCGGATGACAACGGGCTTTATGCAATCGGCACATTGGTCTTCATTGCATGCATGGTGTGGACGAATGTGAAGATCCTGTGAGTGGCAAATACCCCGAGCGCTTCATAAAACTACTTTGGACAATGCACAGATACTAATGCATGGGTGACAGGGTTCTGGAGATGCAATACAAGACCATACTTGTGCTGCTGATATTCTGTGCCGAGATAGCCCTGATCTGGCTCTTCCACATCGTAGTGGGATACGTCTTCACCTCCCTGGTCATCAGCCCCTATTCGGTAGTCAACGGCTTCACCCGGGCATTCGGTGGAGATCCAGCATGGTGGGCCACGCTCGCCCTCGTACTGGGCGGGCTCTTTACGGTGGAGCTCTCCGTGGCCGCGCTAAGGCAGCGCTTTGCCGGTTCCATGAACCAGGCCTGGAGGACCGAGAAGGGCCGGGACGACATGGGGGCATGGGATACGCGGCTGTGGAAGGAGATCGAGCGGGATCGAGGGTGTAAGGCTCGGCTGGAGGAGATGGCACGAGAGTGAGCAATTGAGTGATATCAACTGAGTTCGGAATTCATCGTGCTGCGAGGTATCTGACTAAAATACAATCATGCTCATAATATGTACAAGAATAAAGTAAAACGCTTCATGAAGGCCCCAGTTCCATTCCAGGGCAATGATCTCATAATACACAGGTATCTTTTTTTCTTCTTTTCTTTTTCTATGATGATAACTCCTGAACTCAATCACTTAGAACGACGACCATGACGTCTCAAGTTTACCACTTCTTGACGTCAAACCTGTCGGCATCCATGATCTTGTTCCAGGCGGCGATGAAGTCGGTGACAAACTTCTCGCCCGAGTCAGCCATGGCGTAGACCTCAGCAATGGCACGCAGCTCGGACTGGGAGCCAAAGACAAGGTCGGCACGGGTGGCGGTCCACTTGTCAGCGCCGGTCGCCCGGTCGGTGCCCTTCCAGACCTCGCCGCTGTCGGAGTCGGTCCACTTGGTCGAGATGTCGAGGAGGTTGACGAAGAAGTCGTTGGTCAGCTTGCCGGGGGTCGCGGTCAGCACACCGTTGGCGGAGCCGTCGGCGTTGGTGTTGAGCACGCGGAGGCCACCGACGAGGACGGTGAGCTCGGGCGGGGTCAGGCCCAGCAGGTTGGCGCGGTCGACGAGGATCTCCTCGGTGCGGGCGCGGGCGTTGCCACGGCCGAAGTTGCGGAAGCCATCGGCCTTGGGCTCGAGGTAGGCGAAGGTGGACACGTCGGTCTGGTCCTGCGTGGCGTCGACACGGCCTGGGGTGAAGGGCACGGAGGCGTTGGCGAAGCCGGCATCCTTGGCCGCCTTCTCGACGGCGGCGGCGCCGCCCAGGACGATCAGGTCAGCCAGGGAGACGGGCTTGGAGTACTTGGACTTGATGCCCTCGAGGGCCTTGATCACGTCGGACAGGCCCGTGCCGGCTCCGGTGTTGACGGCCCAGCTGACCTGGGGCTCGAGGCGGATGCGGGCTCCGTTGGCACCACCACGCTTGTCGGTGTGGCGGAAGGTGCTGGCCGAGGCCCAGGCGGTGGAGATCAGGGCGGATGTGCTGACGCCGGAGGCGAGGATCTGCTGCTTCAGGGTGGCGACATCGGAGTAGTCGATCGTGGGTCCGGTGGCCTCGGGGAGGGGATCCTGCCAGATGAGCTTCTCCTTGGCGACCTCGGGGCCGAGGTAGCGGGCCAGAGGACCCATGTCACGGTGAGTGAGCTTGTACCCTGGACAGAATATCGTGATTAGCCACAGTGTCACACGGGCGCAAGCTCATGGCAGGCAGAATGGCAACTTACAGGCACGGGAGAAGTCGTCAGTGAGCTTGGTGAAGTTGGCAAGGTAGGCCTGGGAGATGTTGGCGTAGATGGGGTCGTGGCGCAGAGCCAGATCGCTGGTCAACATCCGCGGCTTCTGGAAGCTGCTGTTGTCGAAGGGCAGAGGGTAGTTGGCGGTGGCGTTGAGGGCCTCCCACTGGTGGGCGCCGCCGGGGCTCTGGACGAGGGTCCACTCGTTGTGGAACAGGGACTCGAGGAAGTTGTTGGACCACTTGGTGGGCGTCTTGCTCCAGGTGACCTCGAGGCCGGAGGTGAAAGAGCCGGTGCCCTCCTTGAAGCTGCCAGCCCATCCAAACTGCTGCTCGCCGATGTCAGCAGCCTCGGGTGCGCCGCCAATGCCGGAGCCGTTGAAAGCTCCGTGAGTCTTGCCTGTAAAGAGGGGGGGAAACGTCAGAGATACCTTCCTCACACCATATCAGAAAGGGGATCAGGGCTAAGGAGGACATACCGAAAGCGTGGCCGCCAGCAATCAGAGCAACCGTCTCCTCATCGTTCATGCCCATTCTTCCAAAGGTTGTCCGGATGTCCATGGCCGAGGTGACAGGGTCAGAGTTGGCGTTAGGGCCCTCGGGGTTCACATAGATGAGACCCATGTGAGTGGCGGACAGGGGAATCTCGAGGTTCGCGGCTCGGGCTGCGAAGTCGGTGCTGCCGTTGTAACGGTCCGCGTTGCCCTGGGGGACGAAGGTCTCCTCGGAGCCCCAGTAGATGGACTCGTCGGCCTGCCAGGTGTCGACACGGCCACCAGCGTAGCCGAAGGTCGGGAAGCCCATGTCCTCGAGGGCGACGTTGCCGGCGAGGATGATCAGGTCGCCCCAGGAGATCTTGCGGCCGTACTTCTGCTTGATGGGCCAGACCAACCGCCGAGCCTTGTCCAGACTGGCGTTGTCGGGCCAGCTGTTGAGCGGCGAGAAGCGCTGCTGGCCCATGCCGGCACCACCACGGCCATCGAAGGAGCGGTATGTGCCCGCGCTGTGCCATGCCATACGGATGAAGAGACCGCCATAGTGACCAAAGTCAGCAGGCCAGAAGGCCTGTGAGTCCCTCAGCAGGGCCTTGAGGTCGGCCTTGACAGCATCGACTAGGGGAAGGGTTAGTCAAAAGTTACTGGATGGATTCGTTTGTTTGTTTGTAAGCAGGATGCAAGTGACTCACGGTCCAGGGAGTTGAACGCCGCGGCGTAGTCGAAGTCGCCACCGTATGGGTTGATCTCGGCGGTGTTCTGACGGAGGACGTCAAGTCGCAGTTGGCAGGGGAACCAATCCCTGCTACGCGTACCACCGCCGGCGACGTTGGCCTTCTCAGCACAAGTGCCAAACGAGGTGGTCCCAGCGTCCTGGCGGCGGCTGAGGAAATCAGACGAGTACTCAGAGTCCCTCTTCTGTTGCTGTGCTGCAAACGGGCAGGAGGCAGCGGAGACCAGGGGCGCGGCCAGGAGAAGAGCCCGGAGGATATCCGGTACGGAAGGTGACCCAGACATGATGGCAAAGATAAGAAACGATCGTAAGACAACTCAAGAGGTTGATGCCAAAGAAAGAGAGGAGAGTGGGTTGTGGAGGATGGGTCCAGCTCTAGATATATCCGATGCCTGGGTGGTGGGATTGTTCAGACGAACGCTGCCCAGAGGAGACTGGAGAAGTACAAGCAGTATGTACTGTGTATTACTCGGGCTAGTGGGACGCAGGGTACAGGGCGGTCGCACGTAATGTCACTTGAACTTTAAGGTTGGGTTGACACATATGGAATTCGCTCGAAATAGGCGAGCGTGCGCGCCGTCGACAGGCGAGTTGTGGCAGTAGGACAGTTGTGACATGGGGAGATGGCACTGTACCTTTGTCGTGTTTCTCTCTTACAAATCCATGCTCAATCTCCGACGCTAAAGTTCTGTATGCCTTAGTTGTTGTGGCATCCCCTGGGGCAAAGGAAAGCAAAAAAGACAGGGGAGCACTGTCCATGACGATCCTAACCTGGGCCATAGTGGGGCGGGGACGGTTGTTAGGGAGCGCCTGACAATAAAGCTCGCAATGCTGGACTTTGAGGTCTATTGCCTTGGCACGGTCCAGTTGATCGAACTCAAACGAGTCAAATGGGGAATAAGTGGATGCTGATTCGCTGTGGAAGGGGGGGGGCTTCCAAAACTCCCAGGTTTAAGTGGCAACCGTGGACGGGGAAGTGGGCGATGGAGGGGCCTTACAGGCCAACAGGCATAAGCGTACCAGTACAGGAGGGCAGGAGGAGGGTTGATGAGTCGAAGGTGCTGGGTGGTGGGTAGTTGGGTAGGTTGGTGGGAGAGTGAGTGACAAGTGAGTGGCAGGACGATCAGAAACTTGTGGTGCTCATCATAATTGCAGCATCTGGCAGGCGTCGACTCTACGTTCAGGAATGCACCAACCAAGCCGTGCGGCTGTGGTGGATTGTGGACCCCAAAGAGGCCGGCAAACAACGTGGAGGGGGGTGTCTGCACGTTGCCCGGCTCGCAGGGAGCCGAGACCACGCTGTGCATGCATGTCCAAGACCTCAAATTAGGCCAATCAGGGGTAACACTTTCCATGTGACAAGGAAACACTGGGGTCCCTGGTGGCGCCCGCGGTTGCAGTCCGGCTTGGTGTTGATCCATTCTAAGTGCCGAGGTGTGTTCCTTCTTTCGTGAGCCCCGGTTTGGACGATGTTGTTCTAGCTGTTCTAGCTGTGCCGCTAACAATGATATTCCGAAGGATCATATGGTCAGTCTGGGCTGTCTGGTCCAGAGGCTGACCGTTGCATCGCCTCCGTGTGCCGTTGGTCGTGCCCCCCGTGTGCATACGCGCCCGGGGATGGGGATGCGGTCGACAAGGTTTTTACCAGAGCGCAGACTTCTGGAGCACGCATGCCGCTGCTCCTCGGGGGTCGGTACTCGGGATCCGTGGCGACAAAACTTGGCGTTGCTATATTGGATTTCGTGCAGGATACTCCACAACGTGTGGCATAGAAACACAGAGTATTTCCGGCCATGCGGTAACGAGGCTCACCAATCACGCAGCCGGTGACGCTGGCCCGTCCTTTTGTCGCTCACCGTCTACTCTGTACTACCGTGCACGTACAGTTTTGCCCGTTCATGCACTTCTACAATGGCGTCGCTTCGCTAACCCCGCGCGCACAGCAGCTGGCAGCCAGCGGCCAGCTGGACGATGTACTACTATCCGTAGTTCTCGTACACACGAGATTTCGGTGGGCTTCAACATGCCGCCTAGACAAAGACCCTGACTCACATTTGTTTCCTTGGTGCGTCACGGTGTCTCCGGGGGCGGAACAATCTGATAGCTGCGGGCACAGATGGACGGGAGCCCTGGAGACGCCCGCACCTGGGCACCCACCTGGTGGATCTGGAGAAAAGGGACCACAGACCTACAGTACACTAGGAGGGGCCGGCGACGTCACTTGGCGTCCTAAAGTACACTAGGAAAGATAAACTCTGGACCGGTTGGGGGACAAGGGGAGCAGGACCACCATGATCTGCGAAGTGCCCGACACAACTGCCCGACAATTGTTCCATCGAAGACGGTGAGTCCTGCTGTGGAATCACCTGATTAGTGTATACGAAAGTACGACATGATATCTACGACTAAGCAGCATTCAAGTCAGCCTGGTGCCTGGCAGCTTGATGACAGGATGCGGTTGTAGCCTCCCCCTTTCTTACTTTTGTAGTAATCCCGGCCCGTCGTGCAAATGTATCTAGTAGCGAAGGGCCACCGTGCATGTCAGGCATGCTTCCGGTCTATGCAGTTGGTCGTTTGGTGGTTCAGAGGGGACACAAAGCACAATCCATCCCGGGGGGATGGTGTAGATTGTGGGCACACACGGGGTCGTAGAGGCGGTCATCCCGCCAGCCCACGAATCACGAAGCCCCATCCCCGGCCACCGAGAGGAGGCGGTGCGTTGCAGCGTGTCCGTGACCGTGACCGCTGGACCGGCGGCTCACCTTTGTGCCTGTCTGCCCTGCCGTAATTGGCATGGCATGGGCTGGCCTGCCTGATGGGCCCGGGCCTTGGCGCATGCATGGCTGCATGGCTGCATTGGGGGCCAACGTGCAGTGGTATATCTCCTTTCCTTTCCTGCGACCGTAGCGCAGACAGCGACAGTGCTCCCGTTCTGCAGTGTAGAGGTGGCACGCCGCACGCTGCAGCCGCGGGTGCGGAAAGGCAAGATCTCTCGCGACCCCGTGTAGTACCGTGGGAGCAGGACAGTCTGTGCCCCAGGGTTATGCTTATTTCGCTACCAGGATCTGCTCCCACTGCAGCGATCTCACGACTCGCGGGCGGAGGCTCAGAGGCCTGGATGGGCCAGATCTGGAGTCTATTCAGACTTGCCTGACTTGCCTGCTCTGCGTGCTTTCTGGCTAGCTAACCACCCTGCCAGATAGCTTGGCCTACAAGCCTAGTAGCTTGGCCTGGTTGTTTGTCCATTCTTGTTCTCCAACAAGGGCAGAACGCACGTAGTATTCCTGCATGTGCAGGTATGTATGGGTCACGGCCATCATCTTGTTCGAGCAGGTACATACTCTACGTTGCCTGGAAGAAGGGGTCCAGGATCCCCTGCAGCCAGAGAGTTACACACTGTCATCCGGGCTTTGGTCAGGCTGGTCGCCCCACACAAGCTTGGTAATACACTATAAAGTACAGACGAGAGCAATGATGCACTGTACGCCCAAGCAGCCCAAGTGGGTTGCCAGCTCCTAGTTACACGTGCCCCATCTGTCTCCTTGTGTTGGGTTGAAGTCGGTGTAGCTATCAGGCAGGGCTGGCAGGCTGGCGTGCCGTCAGGCTGGGAGGTTGTACAGGTTCCCGAGTTCATCACTTGGTGCAGCATGTCAGAATGGGTGTGAGTGATATTCCAGACTCTAATTATGGAATAATTCCGGTCACCAAGAAATGCGATGTGACTGCTGTCAGATCGTCTGGGCAAAAGTGAGAAGGGGAAAAAAAGATGGTCCAATATCTGAGAGATATGATAGCGCCGTCGTCCGGTCCTGTCAGACCATCGATCTCGGCGCACAGCATCAGGAAGGTGTACGACCTGTTCCTGCATGGAAGCGATATCAGCCCATCAGCCCACCCGGAAATGTCAACGTTGAGGCCCCTTGGTGGTGTGGGAGCTTATTTGGCAGTTAAGCATGCACGCATGTATGTAGAGGCGGCTGGGCGGGCGTGGGTGGCCGGTCCGATGCAACAATGCACACCGGCTGACCGGTTCGCTGTTGTCGGAGCCTTAATTACTATTGAAGTATGTAGTAGGTATCCACAGTAGCAACAGACAACAAGCATTGAGAACAGCAGCAGCAGCAGCAGGTACTGTGTAAATTCGATGATATCCATGCGCCCCCTGGCATCTTGAAGCCAAGCCAGTGCCCAATCGGCTGCTCACCTTTTTGGGCCAACCAACACTGAAGAGTGAACCCTCATCAGCGCTGTGGCGGCGTCACCAATGATCCTTTTCCGAATCTCCTTCCGAATCCCCGACGCCACCGGCAACCGCCCCACACTGTCCAGTCAAGCCTAGGCCCTGAACTGGCCATGTCGATGCATGGGGTGCCATGTTCGGCCAAGGAAAAGAGACAGAAAGACACTGGCAGATTGGCAGGATTGAGGGCTCATGTTGTCGACACAGAGAACTCGGAGTGATGAGACAGAAGTGAGCGTGCTGGCATCGGCCGCCAGCCCAGAGCAGAAGGTTCCCTTGATCCACTTCAGGGGCGTGCCATCGCTCGGATTTGAGGTGTATTTTGGCTCCTCCCAGACATAGTTTGATACAGGGTCGTGTACATGCGCTGCATAGCGTACCACGCTCATCTACTCCGTACCTGCCGCCGGGCGAGCAGAGCAGAGCAGCCCTAGGGGCCCTGGGAAGCCGAAGATGTTTCGCCCAAGGAGTTCGGAGAATAGGGGATGATTCGGGCCTGACTAACACCCGCCGTTGGATTCCGTTTCCCGCATCTCAATGCCGCCCCGCCAGCTGCCCGCGCGCGCCCAGGACAATATGTCGGCGAATATAGTGTGTTGCAATACACAACCGTCATCAAGCTCCCGGGCCCAAGGCCGTTTCGAAACAGCCCTCGCGCCCGGTGCCCTGCCCCTCTCCTCTGCCCCTCCCGGCTCCCGTTCCACCTCCTCTCCAGCCCTGTCTGCTGTCACGCTCAAGCCCCTTGTACCCGGCCCTGGCTGGGCTTGCGGAAAAAAATCTTATGCACTACATACCACCAACACAGTAACGTGCTCACCACACTAGGCCAAGCACGCACTGGACGCCAGATCGGGGCGACGCCCGGCATGGGATGAACGACATAACCCTTGTCCCATCGAAGCCGCCCCGTCTGTCATCCACAAGTGAGTTATGCGCTGGGGCCTCGAGGGCACAACAAGGGCAGGCAGAAAGCTACGCTGGATATCGACAGTCTATCCCGACCGACGTCGCAGGAATGACTACAATGGTAGTATTCTGGCGGTTTCAGCTCTTGCCTCGCTACCCAGCAGCACACAATGCGGTTGTATCGAAGGCGGGCTGGCAGGCTGGGCAGGCTGGCAGCCATGGCAGCTGGCAGACCTGGCAGGTCGGCGAACCTTGTTCCAACTCCCTGCCGGCGTGGCGTCAAAAACCCATGCCGGAAGCCGGCACCTAACCAAACGGCCGGCGGGGCGTGCTGCCCAGGTGTTGATCACGTCGATCGCCGGATCGGAGCGGCAGAACAGAGCATTGTGCGCCGACCACACCTGCCACAGCAGGTATAGCTCGGCGTTTGAGGTGGTCGAACTAGTTCGGGTTTTGCCTTGGAAGCGAGGCCATCTAGACCTCGGTCAACACTCGTTGTTGTGCTCACGGCCAATATTGACGACACCTGCCAGCACTGGTCCCGAGAATGTGCCTGTTCTGCAAATAGTTGTGCCTCAAGCGGTCTCGACATCAAATTACTAGTAGTACATGTGCACCATATCCCAAGAGGGTCTGGGACTTGGCTCTCAACCAGTCAACATGCAGTGTCGTAAAAATAGCATTTCTCATCACATCGTGCAGTCCGTTGGGATGGCTGGATGCGCGGTCTGCACATGCTAACGAGGGCCAAGACGAAGATTTCCCCTGGTGGTGCAGTCAAGGCCGGTCGGTACTGCGTGCAGCAACAAACTCTCAGGCCACTTTCACCTGCAGCCACCCTCATCCGGCTTAGCCTGCATCCATTTGGCTTGGGGGTGCCGTAGCCGGCCCCGGTCTGCATGCAGGGCAAATCTTTCGCACATACCATACACAGCAAGTGACTGACATACCAGCCATACACGACACAGTTACCACACAGCTGCCACACGGTAGACGAGATATGCTTCTTTCCTTCTTGCTGCACCCCTATCACAACCCTGCGGCGAGCAGGGTCCGATCTGCAGCGCGATTCTCTTTCATCATCGGCGACTTCTCCCGCCACACACTCGCATGTGGCGAGTGGGGGGTCCCCTGCTTCGACCGCCGATGCTCACAGGCTCATTGATTACACCTTCCTGACCTTGTGATGTCCTAACCCCCCCGCCAAGGTGTGTAACCGCTGGCTTCTGCTGCACATGTTTACGATATCGTCCAAGGAGGGTGTTCTCGGGAGGCCAGAGGCGTGCCTCACTGCACCCCTGTCACGGCAACTTATGAAAGTATAGGAGCTTTTTCTCCATTTGGGACCCCTACTGATAGAGGAGAAAGGGCGCGCGGTGCCTGACGCGGGAAGTGGAGCGGAAAGCGGGTGGGTGTCCGACGTCGAAATTTAGATCGTCCCATGATCGAGGTAACCGTAGCACCATCCCCGCTGTCAGGATGGACAAGAGCCCTATGGGCTGGCTGAGGCGACTCGCCAAGGCGTCGGACATACGCATTGCTTGGTATGCCTAGACTTCTGGTCCCCCCCCCCCTTTCTTCTGTAGAATAATAACATTTTCGAATAATAATATTCCTAGTGGTGGTGTTGATGCTGAAGAACGCGCGTACTGCGGTGAGTCCCGCGCGAGGTGCGCTGCGCTCAGGTTATTGTTAGAACTCTTGGCGGGAAAAGTACACAATAGTGGTGGCACTTCTGCAATTCAGGTGGCGAAGGCCTTGGATCTCTGGCTGGGCAGCCTGGGCCGCGCCCAGTGCTGAGATGGATGCTGTCCTGACCAACCGCCCTACTCCCCTTCTGGTGCACGAGCGAGCGTGGTGCTGGCGATGTGACGCCAGTCGGACGATCCGTCACTTGCGCGCACCCGGACAGCCGGACTAGCTGAGTCGCAATGTGGGCTCAAGTGCTGCTGCCGCAATAGAACTGGTTGGCATATGCCCAAGGACCTGGAACGCGGTGGAGACTCGGACGAACACCTCGAATTAGACACTCCACGGGGCAGTGTCGTGTTTTGACCAGGGGCCCGGACCAACCAGAATCATGGACGTTTCCAGGAAATCTAACTGCATCACCGTGCACTGTACTTGAAGATGTGAGGACGTCGGCGAATAGATCGGGTCCGGTGCACGGATTGGCTTTGCTTGGCACCTACCTCCTCCTGGACCAGCGTTCATCAACTTGGACGTAGGTTGCGTAGGACGCGGTGGTGTTGTACATTGGTTGTTCTCGTCCAAAGTTTCAACCCCGCTGCTTAGAACCCAAAATTCCTGGTTGGCTGAAGCCTATTGCCTTTAGAGTAGACATTGATCCGTCCAAGGTTCTCGTAGATCAGAACGCTAATGAGCCCGGCGTTTTGAAACTCTATTCCTGTCATGTCCTCACTTGACAAACAAATTACACGTGTACAAAGTGGCTATGCCCTTACTCACAACTCCTGACGGACCAGATAATGACAAATCTGAAAAGCAGTCAAGCCAGCAGGACGGGAACATACTCTCGCTTGTCTGCACATGAGATTGGCCTCATTGCGGGAGCATTCGCGGACTGTCCCGGATGGTGGACACCTGGACTCGGAGTTTTGAGGCCGTCACTATCTCCACCCTCGTGAGCAAGAGCCGCCTGGGCGCTCCTATATTGTTCTTCACGATGTGGCTGTATTACGCAAAGCTCCTATGGCGTGGATTCGGGATCCACGTTGTCACGATATTGCTCGCCTGAACGTAATCTTACGAAAATATGCCCTCGCCCAGAATATGTCAGGCTAGGTTCCTCCCGCGTTTCGAAGAAGCGGACCAAACATGCAGCAAGGCTAGGCCGACTTGGTTAGTCCTGGAGGGCTCGAGCTAGCTCTTTGTTGTGCTTCAAGCGAACTTGAGGGGTATCGTGGGCTATCGAAAAGTATCTCGGATATTGCTTGTATGTAAGGCTGCGGCACTGCGGCTAAAAGTGCTCCCGTGCAGACTTCGCTCAGGCACTGTATAGAGGCGCCACGTATGGCTTCGGATGTATGGGGAATTGGAACGAAGCCAGTTATGCTCGGCGACTTTTAAGGTTATACATGGCAATCTCGCATTATATCGCGAGTAAAGAGCGCGAGGCGCGCGGTCTGAAAAATATATGCTGATATGGGTGATATCCTCTGCGGGTCACTTGGATGCGTTCCTGCATGCCGAGCTGTTACATTCCGGTCAGGTCATGCGGGGACCGGAAAACCTGACCGAAGCAGATGGGATGGGCAACCTGGGCCTCTCACCATGGTGGATGAATTTCCCGTATCCGTATTCCCCTATGGAAGGTTCTCAGGTGGGCAGGCGGCAGATGATGGCTCACACCAAAGAGTAACACAGACCGCAAAGGTGAACAGTCCCGCAGACTTGGTGTGGCAGACCATGTGATGTCAAACACCATCCCCTCTCGCATCTCGCAGCTCTGTGTGTGTACCGAGTCCGTCCTCCTGTTGCACAGCTCATGGGCTGAATGAAAGCCTCGCCCGCCGTTGAGATTCCACAGCCTGAATTGATCACAATAGTCAAAACTTGAACTTTTGGGCCAACAAATGCGTAGCAAATGTGTCCACGGCTGATAGCCAGGAAGTGGTAAATCAGGCTGAAGCCCTTTCTTCCTACGTACAACTTGAAGTGAGCAGTATGCCCGTCCGGCATCGGGTGACGGTGAAGACAGCAGGACTGTAGTAAACGTGGTAATATCAAGTCGGCTTTTGTTTCAAGAAGATTAGATAGTCCCGAGAGCTTTTGACGTATCGTACCTAGCGAACAGGTGTTATACGTGCAGCAGTAGGAATAAGCTATCCTACTCAAGTATATATGTAGCTTGCTCATATACCCTTGAGATGCGCACAACAGCGTGCTGTGCGAGGTAACCGATCACTCGAGTTCCTACTGAACTTTCTCACCCTGCTTAGCTGAGTCTCGTGGAGATTCCGCAGCGATCCTTCGCGTCACACATAGCGAAAAGTATGTTCTCACTGGCATGTGGTCCTTCCAATATTTGGAGGACAGCGGAATTCGAGTCTCAAAGAAGCTTGTTCTTGCGAAAGGGGGAATGGGCACAGGAACTCGGCGAGCTGAGATTTTAAGCTCCATGTAGAACACTGTCCTACGTAAAGGCCAGCAAATTCGAAATAGGCAATGGTGTCTGCCTCACCATTTAGCTCATTGCGTGATCTCGAAGGTTAACGTCCGAGTCTGTCCCTGGTTGAACATTCATCACGCACGACGACAAACGAAGAGTTTTAGCACCTCCTGGAAAAATCCCGGAAAGTTTAGCGGTGCTAATTTTCAAGCCGATATTCCTGAAGATGTAGCCACCATGGAAACAAAAAATGCGTGACATATCATTGATGAGGGTCTTCAGCGTTTACCACAGTGTGGAGTTTGAAGGCGCCACATACGTTTATATGTATGGGATAAGAAACAAAGCCACAAAACCACTACATTCGAGTGACAATCCTGAATTCACTGAGCGTCGTCCCTGAAAGAGAGAAGGCCAAATCCAAACCATGTTCAGAGATGCGCACTGAAGGTAGCCTTCAACTGTTGGACTGGTGCTCTGATCAACTCAGCTGGAGGTTCTGGGATCCCGAGATAAGCCGATGGCTGCCGAAGGTGGCAATGAGACTGGCTGGATCTCTAACAGCTGCAAGCGACTTCGACGTGCGAAAGCTGCTAGTGCAAGGCATCAGCCCCACCGCCCTGTTTTCTGCCGGGTGGAGCTCAGACCACAAGCGGCCCTCGATATCTCACCTCATCCAGCTCGTCTGCCTCGCTCCCACCACATGCCTTCTCCCCCCGCTGAGATAAAGTGGATCAAGCAGCACGATGGCGACAGAGCAGTATGAGGGCTACAGCCCACAGTTGGCAGACGACTGGGCCGGCCATGAAGTCTCGCAATTGCAACATGATTCCACGTCGAACCCCGCGATCCCACAACCAGCGACCGACGACCTCGCCTACAAGCCCAACACCCGCGGCAACAGCTTCAACAACCCGCCGCCGAGCGGATGGCTCTACCCTCACAAGAAGGGCATCGGCACAGGCTCGAACCTGGAGCCATTCAAGGCCGAGATCGAGTCCCGCACGCAGCGAGGAGAGAACTGCAAGGCCATCGCTGTTGCCTTGAACGCCATGGGCGTCCAGACCAGCGATCGTGCTGTCAGTCGAGTACGCATCAGATGGGGCATGAGGAAGAGGGTAAGCATCCTCCCTTTCACCCCGAAATCGTTGAAGGATATCAGCAATTTGCTAACAAACCCCAGGCCCAGCGGAAGGTCAAGACACCTCCCCCGGATGCCGACAACGTGCGGATGAGTGCCAAGTCCAAGGTCCAGGCAATGAGGAAGGCCGAGCTGATCCGCATGACAAGAGAGGGCATGACACCCGAGGAGATCTACCAGGACTTGACCTCTCGCGGGATGGAGCTCAAGAAGGGCGTCGCCACCGTGCTGCGTCTGCAGAGTGCCTGGGGTGTTGCGCGCGACGAGAAGCGGTGGCTTGGCAACTTTCGCCATCAGTGCCACAAGAAGGCAAAGGCGCAGCAGGCAGACGCATTCACTGACATAGCAAAAGAGTTGGGAGTACAGGAGGTCAAAGTCTGGGTCCAGGAGAAGATGAAGGAGCAGGCTGCCAGGCAGGCAAGGCACGAGCTGGCCCTCAAGCTTATGGGGGAGCACGCACCCACGAATCCCGAGCGGCGAAAGCTGCAAAAGCCTCGCAGGGAGAATGGTCCTTCTGAGGGTCAGGGAAATGCGAACGACGCCGAGGACGATCTTGACAGTGGAAGCTCCGAGGATGAGCACGGATCGGCCTCGCCCTTTTCGGGCCCTGTCACGGACTTGAGATTTGAGTTGGCTGACCCGGCTCGTCAAGATGGTCATGTTCCCCACGATGTACAGTTGCTGTCACCGCACGGAAACCCCAGCGGGGCCCGGTCGACCGGCTATACACCAGATCCTATCAATGAACCATCCAGTGCCGGCCGAGGTGTTGAGGGTGGCGTGTATCATGAGTACCCGCCCTTGCATGACCGGGCGGACGATTCAATGTACGATTCTGGAGGCGAGCAGCATGGCAGCGCCGGCGCTCCATCTCACACTCCAACAGGCATAGTTGAACTCATTCCGCATGCTACGCCTGCCTCGCCCATGTCGACCCACCCGCTGCCTTCGTTTCACCACCCCAATGCTCTCGACCCCAACATGTCGTCACAGCCCGCCGAGATCAGTCCGACACGAACAGCTCCAACAAGCACCACTGCCGTCCTTGCTGGGCACGGGGAGGGACATGCAGGACAGTCCAACGGGAGCGGTGGCCCTGCTCCCAAAGCGGCAGCATCAGCCGCGTCTGGTTTGGTTCTTGCCCCTGAGGAGACCGAGGCCAACAAGTCGACACTAAGTGCGCTCGACCAGTACAACGACGCTGCTAGGGTATACAAGGAGTTGCTGGAAGCAAGAAATAGCAACCAGCCACTTGCTGGGAGCTTGACCGGAATGGCGCCCTCGGCGAAGGAGCTCGAGACAGCGAAGCGCAAGCTCAAGGATGCCACCCAAGCGATGATGCTGGCATTGGACTAGAGACTAGGACCGACTGCTTCGTTGTGGCATCGAAAGCATGGTCCTGGACAAGCCTTGGTGGTCGCAAGGCTTCGGGGGAGAGCACCAAAATCATCGGCGGCGTTTATTACTACGATGATGTGACTAACATGGCCGTGCAGAAAGAAACACGGGCAACTCTACGATTACATACTTTGTTTAATTTCAAGGGTATTGTTTTCTCCCACATCAAGCCGCGTACAGAAACCACCTTACCCGATCGACGATCCCCGAATTGGATTCCTTCTGCGTGTGTTGCTTCTCCTGCTTGCTCTTCTCGGTCTTCACCGGCGCGCTGGCGTCACTCTCACCCGCCTTCGCTCTCCGAGCCCCGATGCCGTCCTTGAGCGCCTTAATTCTCGCTCCAGGAGAAGCAGTGTCCTTTTTGGCGTCGGCTGCGGTTGCTGTTGTCTCCCCCCCCTGTGGCCGTGGCTCCTTCTCACGCTGCCTCTTTGCTTTGAGGCCCTCAATCCCGCTGCCGATCCCGTCTTTGATGGACTTGAACCTTCCGCCGGAGGCTGCGGTGTCTTGCGGTGCAGGGGCAGGCTGTGCGTTCGGCTCCCTAGTGGGAGCATTCGCCTCCACGCGGGTCTCGGCACTATCCATGGTCTCAGCTTGCGGCCTCTGAGTCTCCTCGTCGACCGGGGCCTCGTTCTGCCCAGTAGCCCGTCTTCTCGCGGCGAAGTTCGTGATCCCACTTCCAATACCCGCCCTGGCGTTTCCGAGCCCATCCCGGATTGACTGGAATTTTACTGCCGCTGCAGACCTCCCTGCATTGTCCTTGTCGCCATCGGAGGCGGTGGCGGCGGCGGCAGCGGTAGCAACAGCGGGCGAGCCAGCATCGCCACTGCTGGCCTCTGGGAGTGCTTCGGGCTCAGTCCGAGCTGCCTGCTGGACCGGTACCTCGCTCTGCCCATTCTCCGGCGGCCTGAATGAGTCAACAGCAGGCTCGAGCATCTCGGGATCCGAGGGTACGAGCCGGACCCCACTCGCCCTCGACGGTGGCGACGCCGACTCCTGCGCCTCAGCCACCGACGGGTTGTTGGCCGTGACGTGCTCCCCGCGCGCGGCAGCAGCAGCGCCCTCCACGCTCTCGGCGGCCATGTCCTTGCGGCGCTTGTCGCGCGCCTGCTTGATCTTGGCGGCTGGCAGTGCCACACAGGCGGCGGCGAGACCAGCTATGGCGCTGTGTCTCTTGACGACGCTGGTTTCGTTGTTGCCGCTGTCTATCTGGGACGCCGTCTCCGTATCGCCGTTGCTGCGGGCGCTTTTCTTGACATTCTTCCTGTTCTGCCTACGCTCTTGGAGGGCCCTGGAGCGCGCCTTGAGCTTTGCAAACCTGGCCTCCTTGTTGACTCTTGTGCGGAGCGCCTTGACGCGCTCTTTCGCCCCTGCAAGCCTGCTGGCCTTCTTGTCCTTGGGTGTGGCATCTTCTGTGGTCGTTGCTGTCGCCTGGTCCGTTCCCCGTCGCCGCTTCTCGATCATGTGGTTGATCGCCAAGGGGCCCGCGACTAAGAAGCTGGTGAGACGCTGTTTCTTTGTCAAGCCGGCCTGGGCGGCGGTCGGGTCTCCAGCAGCAGCAGCAGGATCATGAGCCTCGACTGCTGCGTCCACCTCCTGGCCGTCGTGCGATGCGGCCGTGGGTGGTGTTGGGTCGTTAGCGGCGTTAGCGTCGGTCTTGTTTGCCTTGCGCTCTGCTAGACGTTTCTTGATGGCCTCTCGTCGGGTGCTCAGGCCCTGTTTCACACTCCCGCTCCGCTCACTCAGACGATGTTTCATGGCAGCACGCCTACTGGTCTTCGCCTCCTGCTGCTGCGTGCCCTCGGCGTCCTCGTCCGTCTTGGTTTTGCGGTCTTTGACCTTTTTGAAGCCGCTCGCAATGCCCTTGCCGATCAGGATTGGTATGCCCAGGATGACGATGACTGGGAACAAGATGATGCCCGCAGCCTTCTGGGCCTTCTCTTTCTTGCTCTGCTTCTCGGTCGGCTCGGCTTCCTCGGTTTGTGGCTTCCCACTGCGCTTGTCCTTGATCGCAGCCAGGCGCTGCTTGAGAGCTGCGGCCTTGCCCTTCTTTTCCGCCGGTGACGCCTCTGGCTGACCCTCCGTCTGCTTTCCTTTGGCAGGCTTTTGTGGTCGTACTCGGGCTACCAGTATGGCGAACCTGCCAGACTTCTTGTCCCCGCTCAGCCGCCCTCCTTTCGACTGCCGCACGTATTTACGGCACTGCTTTTCCCACGCCCTGGCTGCCTTGGCGGTAATGGCCTCAAGATCTTCTTCGGTTTCGCGAGCTTGCCACTGTGTTTCACGTGTCAGAAGCGAACTTCGCAATGCCCGTTGGTGCTCAGCTCCGGGGGTTTGACTCACGTTCTCATCCTCCATCTGTTCGTCTGCGTCGCCCGGCACCCTCCTTTCCGGTTCCCACCCTATGCTCGCCAGCACTCCGGCCGCAGTAGGCACTGCTGCCGGGCTGGGGAAAGCGTGTCCATTTGCCGTGTGACAACTCTCCTGTACATATCGTGACATGATGTCCATCGCCGGCGAGGGGTAGAAGGTCAGCTGGAATCGTGAGCCTTTCTTGGCATGCGAGTCGTTCTCGGCAACATTGCCAGCGTCCAAGCTCCCTGCAAACAGGCCTCCGCCGGCCTGTCCGACAGATGCGTCCGGAGTCTCTTCGACCGTCTCCTCGAAGTGCTCGAGAAACCCCTCCTCGGGGATCTCCCCTAGCTGATGGCCTGTGAAAGGCTCGCCTTCGGCGTCGACGAGCCCTGCGGCCCCTGGGGCTTCTTCTTCGGAGTGGTGCTCGAGCTCGCCTTCTGTCAAGTTGGCGTCGGGCTCCACATTCTCCGGTGTGTCTGGGGCGGCTGCACTTGGGCTGCCGTCCCGGTGCCTCTTGCGTCCCCGCTGCTGGATCTGACTCTTGATGGCAGCCACAGAGTTCCGCAACTTGGCGGAATCAAACGATGCCCTGAGCTTTTCCTTTCGGCTCGCTTGTGGCTGCTCGCTCTCCGTCACCCCTACGACAACCTCCTCTTCCTCCGAGCTCTCACTTTCCCGCGGTCCGCGTGTGTCATCAATGATCGCTTTTGGGCTGACCTGTAGAGTCTTTGGCTCCGGTCCCATCTTCCTGGTAAGGATCTTCACGATCGAACTCGCCTTGTTGGCTGTGATCTGGGCGCGAAATGTCTTGAGGATCTCCTCGGGCGTCTGGTCGGTGGAGAGCGCCCATGGGTGGATCATGACCAAATGCGCCACTGTCTCCGGCTGGATGCGGCCGAGGAAGACAGCGCCGTCGTCGGTGCCTTTTCGTTTCTCTGACGCCCAGAGGCATCCCCGGATCGTGGCGCTGTGCAATGCGCTGAGCGAGACGCGCTTGCCGTTATGGGCATTGGCCTTGGCCTTACGGACGTTATGCTGCCAGACCCGATGGGCTCTCCTGGCGTAGGGTTCCTTTCCTCGCTTCGGCTTGACCAAGGGCGGCGCAGGGGGCACGTAGAGGAAGTATTTCGCGGGTATGTCTAGAGTTGACCCTTGGATGGTGGGCTTGGGGAGCGGGACCAGGAATGCGATCACCGTCTCCGAGTTGCGACGGTAGCCCACCGCGTTGACTGTGCTCTCACCGCGGTGGGGGACTGGCCTGACGAGCGCGTTATCCCCAGGCGGTGGTGTATTGTTGGGGGGCGCCTGATCGCGGGATGGACCAGCCTCGGTGTCGTTATCGGCTGTGTCCGTTACTTCCTGGCTCGAGAATACTGGCTGGGAAGCCTCATGATGTTCCTCCTGCGCATCCGCCATCGTATGTGATTCTTCTGTCGGAGGACTCAACGTGCTTGTGGTATGACTGTGGTTCTCGTGATTCGCAGTATCCTGATGTGCTTCGGCTTCGTCATGCGACAAATCGATGCCCGAGTCCCGCTGCCCTTCTGGTACAACTGACCCTGGCTCGCGTTCTGTCTTGAAGTCCTTCACGTGAGCGGGTCCATTGGCATCGGTGGCTCCCGGAACTGCGCCGTGCGAAGCGACCTGAGTGTCTGTCATGGCCGTTGGCGGTTTAGGCTTTGGTGGTGGCCTCTTCTCGGTGGCCTGGGTGAGACGAACAGGCGCGATGGAGTGGAAGCTTAACATGGTGGCAGGTTATATGACCACGGCAGGGCGGCAGGGCGGCATCACCAGGGCTAGGCTTGGTAGGTTGGGCGCTTACACTATCACACAATGCCAGCGCATGAATCTATTGCGAGCGGAGCAGATAGAAAAGATGGTGGATCGGGCAGAGGTTCGCCGTGTCACATGGAACATCGAAGGCGTGCGCCTGGAGGTACCGCGCCCGGTTGTTTCACTATGTCCATCCCTTGGTCTTAGCCAACGTAATGCATGAATGTACGTACCGCACGCTTGCTAGTCATGCCGACGCTTGTCGCCTCGATTCTCATCAGATAGGGCGTGCATTTGCCGTTCATCGAGGCAATTCCCCTGCACCTGTTTGCGGAGGAGGGCGGCATGGTTGGCGCTAATACCCATCATAGGTTCAGCAATAGCATATCGCCGACAACTTTCCCATGCACACCTGGGCAATCTCAACTAGCACCACCCAGGTCGTAATTGCTGCTGCAATGGCATTGATGGAGCCACGTGGTAACCCAAACGATCAACCGCCGGCCCCCCTGAACCTTCTTCAGGTTCCAGAAAGGCCCGATGCTGGTAGACCGGATGAATAATAAGGTGCGCAGCCGCCTAGCCGAGCAGCAAGCGCGAATGTCGCTATGGCGTTGCGGCCTGAAAAGGGGCATGGTCAGTTTCAACGCATGCCGCCTGGAACCTCAGCGTACGCTGGCGTGCCAATTGACTTTTCACTTCAAGTTGGGTTAACATGCAATGCCGGAGTCCCCGATGCATTGTCCGATTCGTCTTTGATCGCGAATGCAGTGTTCTGTCGGTGAGCAATGACAAGTTTAAGGGCGACGCAGCCTATGATAGCAGTGTTGAATCTCGCATGCATATTATATGCAGTACATGATTCGATTGTTAACCTGCCTACAAGCCATGCTCTCCAGTGCTCGAAATGTCCCTCTCAATTATCATGTGACACTACGTTATGTCCCCTTTTCTCCTGTAAACTAACTACCAGTGACCGCAGTCCCCATATTGACTGTACAGTTGATGCGCCGCTGCCAACAAACAAAGGGAATTGAGATACGAGACGATGACTCCTGCAAAGAATTGTCATAGCCACACTGCTACTGATACATCTACCCTCGAGGAGTAATATGCCCCTCCACAACGCAGGGTGCCACTGAGTGATGCATGGGAAACAGTGTCGTCAGGCGATGCACGTGATCACCCTTCTTCACAACCGGCCGATCCCAGCCTCAGTACTTGGTGCGTACCCGCACATGGCCTTTTGACACACCGCGAGGCGCTGGCTCGTTCAACTCGTCGTCGCCGTCGTCGCGATAGTCCTCATCTCCGTTGTCCCCGTCTTCGTCCACAAAGACCTCGTCGTCCTCCTCTTCGTACTCGTCACGAGGCCTCTTCTTTGGTCTTGGTGTTTCTTCGCCTTCCGAAGACCTGTCTGACTCGGGCGCCTCGCTGGTCTGGTACTCATCCGCCTCGAACTCTGCCGAGTCGGTCTGCTCCGTTTCCTCGCCGACAAACTCCAGCTCTCCCAGTATCTGCGTGTCGTATTCGGTCAGCGCGTCGACCAACTCAGCCTTGTCGGCTTTGTCCACGCCCTTGGGTATGGCTATGCCCTTATCCTTGACTGTCTGACGCAGCCTGCTCTCGTGGTAGATGCTGTAGTCCCTCTCGAGCTCGAAGTGCTTCAGGAACTTCACCCGATGCTTCTTTTGGTCGTTCCTCAATCCGCGCTGGTCGAGCTGCTCCTTCTGGAACTCTGCTTTCAGGTCATCGAGCGACCAGGACTGGCTTGCTTCGATCCGGGGATCATTGGGGTCTGTGGGTATGGCTATGGCCTCGTGAGGGTTTTCTTCGTCCTGGTTGCTGCCGAGTTCCTCAGAGAACTCTTCAGAGCTGCCATCAAGCCCGAAGTCATCGGCGATCTTTTGGAAGTCATCAGATTTGTAGCCTTCGCCAGGGACGAGAGTGTCTCCCGGCCACAAATCTTTAGCGGAGCGCAGTGCGTATTTGGCGTTGTCGTAGGGGTGATCAAAGGCGCCATCTAACTGATCCAAGTCGTCCTCTGACTCAGGAGTCGTCTCCTTAGGAGAAGCCTGGGCCGTCTGTTCCGGAAGCCGGGTAAGATACATCAAGTTCCGGCCCAAATTACGAGCCCTGCCTCTGAATAATTCTGGGTCCAAGAGCTCCAAACCTTCAGGGAAAGCAAATCTCAGGAGTAGTCTGCCAAAGCTCTCCCCCCTCGTGTTCCTGGCAGCTACGAGCTCCGCGTCCACCCCGTCATCCGTGTCGTCGAGTTGGATTTCTGTGAGCTTTATCAACTCGGCGAGTAGTCTTTTTCCAGCGACAGCAGCATCGTCTGTTTCATTGCCATTCTCATTCCCGGGGCCGGACTTGGTTTCCACGTCGTCCGTCCGATTGGCGTCGTAAATAAGAGCGGAGGGGGAGGTTACGAGAACAGACAATCCTCCTGTCGCCGGCACGTTAATAGTCTCTTGCTGTCCCTTGTCTTCATCGATTCGATGATCTGGTATTTTCGGCTCGTAATAATGCATCCATTCGATGGCCCTGCCTTCACCGGTATCGTGCAGCCAGTCATACAGCTGCACCACGGTCTGCTCCTTAAGAAGTTCGATGTCAAAAGTCTTGTTAAACCTGGTGAAGGCTATCTCGAAGGCGCGACGCTGCCTATCGTTGCAGATGAGGGAGAAAAGGGCCATGGATGCCCCAAATTTAAGAGCATCGATCCTGCCAAACAGCCTCTCGAGATCCGTTTCGGGGCTTGTCAGCACGGTTGACAGGAGATCGAGGTAGCGTCTCCCCAACACGGGATGCTTCCAGTAGGCTATCGCCTCGCCGAGGCTCTTGATGCCATAGAATTCACCTAATCGTGACACGGTCATCCCCAAGATCTGAGGGAACATAAACCACATCCAATAGCTGTTCTTGCGGCCTTGGCTCAGCTCTGACCTGGCGGTCTCAAACATTGTACTGTTTCCGTCCTCGCCAGGTTGATCCTGGGCCTCCACGAACCTCTGCAAGTGGGAACTTTCTAGGCCGTACTTGTCGTGTAGCGTTGTATGGGGATCAGGCAGGAACTCCCTGTGTTTGACTTCGTCTGGCACCGGGCCGAAATTTTGGGTCTGGCGGTCTCGCACATACATAAGTATATGAGGTGCTTCTTCGACCACCTGCCGGCTTCTTGGGTCGAAGATATCGTCCAATGTTACCAAAGTCCCAGGTGAATCAAGATCACCGGAGTATTCATACTGCATCCACTCGACCTCGCTGGTTCGCAGCGCAGGCTTGTAATCAGTCCATACATCCATATTCTGGTGTGTACAAGTGATGATTGACTGGAGCTTGTAGATGTTGTCAACCGGATCGCCTGGCCCTTGTAGGTCGTCCGCCAAAGCGGACATGTCCAGCCGTTCGGGAAAGACAAATTTCTCGTCGTGCGTGTATTTGACGTAGCCGTCGGGGTATCGCTTGCTCATGAAATGAGGCGAAATGAACAACACCTCGGGGAGATATCCAAATTTGGTGAAATCACCTGTGTGCACTTCATCACCACACTGCGGACAAGCTTTCGTAAACGATTTATCCTCCTCCACCCACATGGCTTGGGAGATCGCCTGCTCCAAAAGCATTGATTCCGTGAGGATTACAGGCAGAATGTAGCCAGGAGTCTGCGCAAGGCCTGTGGGTTGCCGTCGTAGGACTGGGTGAGGGCAGCTGCAGTGCATGGGCGTGTGGCGGACAAAAGAGTGCTTGAACAACTGCTTGAACCGGGTCGACAAGTCGCTGCGAAGAAGACCCGTTAGTACGCGACTCACTGCCGTGTGTTCCTTTCTTGGGACTCACACATCGTCACCGCTACCAGCCTCGTCTTGCAGCGACTTCGCGTGCTCAAGCCTCTGCAAGAGATAGTTTATGAATTCGGGCACGTGGCAAGCATTCCCTTTGAACTTCTCTGGATCATCCGGTCCCAATTTCTCTGTTTGGATGCAGTTCCAAAGGGTCTCGGTGCGGCTCCACACCTCCTGCTTCAGTTCATCTTCATTCAAACCATCATATCCACGTTGGTGAAACGCCTGTGCCAGGGAATGCAGGCCAACGAAGATGGAATCATTGAAGTGTTTGCTGTTGGCAGCCTCCTCGATGAAGTTGAGGAATGGGGACAGGTCAAACAATGCCATCAAAGCCGCGCCGAACCATGATCTCGATGTCAGAGTCCGAGGTTCACCCCGAGTAGGTCCTGGGTGGATGGGGATGTGCGTATCGTATTGACCAATGCGCTCTTTGAGCAGCGCGTGGTCGGGGCTCAAAGGCGCCGCATCCAGCACCTTCTGGAGTTCATCGTGGATCTCTGGCTTCTCCGGAGAAATCGGCAGCTCGTGGTCCTCCTGGACCCAGCGCGGGGCCTGGAGATACCAAGGGTCGCGCAAGTCGTCTCGCTTGTAGTAGGCTGCCATGTCGAATGCTCGAGGATGCCCTGGAAAAGTTATTCCCAGCGCTCGATCGACCTGCCAGTGTCGGTAGAGTCAGTGGTAGTGCCCTCGAGAGCCAACGGCATAGGAGGGTGCTCGTTCTACCGCGCTAAAGACGAGATGTAGTAAAAGAGTCCTTTGTTGCCCGTGTGCGAGTCTACGGCGCCGTTTGCGGTGGCGCTACAGGAAGATGCATTCAGGCAGGGAGAAAGCAACATGCTTTGCTTTGTTTTTCCCCCCTGGATGCCTGCGCTTTTGGCCTTGTCCCTGCTAATGGGAATGGAAGCCTACATTCCTCGAACATCGTAAATGTTTTCCTGCTTCTGGGTGTGGTACTTAGGTAGCAAGCCCGCGTGCCTGAGTTCCCGCCCACGCAGCGCACCTCAGGCTGACTGGATTGCACCTTTGCGGTTGGCATTGTGGCTTGCTTGCAAAGTAACAGCCCGGCCTGCAATGACTGCATCAGTACCTCTACAGACGGTACAATGCACGGTACTAAAGAATAGGTTTCAAGGATGCAACACTGTGTCGCACTTAGCTAGTTTTTCTGTACTTCTAAGCCAACTCTATTAGCTGGAGGTCCGCACCAGCCAATGTCATTTGAAAATCAGATGTTATGAAACGAGGAGAGCCATCCATACCATGCCTGGGAAACGATTTGAGCGAGCTCTAGTCGGAAACAATATTGCCGTCCGTCCTATGATTTTATCGCATGTATGCAAAATCGACGATTGCAGGGCAACTAATTAATTGGACTGAATGCGCATTTATGATGCGCCAGCACCAGACGCAGACACGCCTTGGGCGTGCGAAGAACTTTTTTGACTGGGCACAACCTTGATGCCGTCTCGTTATCCACACCGTGACATATTTCATGAGAGAGTGTTCGGCGCTCGAGCGATGCTCTTTACCCTCCCGTCACGGCCGATCGAGTTGATGAGTTGCCAATGACTGATTCAGCTGGGCCACGTCATTCAGTCCAACAAAGTCTCTTGGCTGTGGCCCCTGATCAGGCGAGTTTCCTCTTTTCAAGCCTTCGCACTGCGATCTATTAATGAAGCCTGTGTCCCACATTTTTTCCATTGAGGATTTTATATATTCCCGCCACCTTTCCGTACCCGCATCCAGCAACCGTGCAAGACACTTGAAACCGACTCGGCGCAGTTCTCTGCCTGTCTTGACTAAGTGACACCCATATCCCTCCCTGGCTCCCGTAGAACAAGAAACACTCATCCTGTTCCGGATCTCAAGACAAGGGGTACTCCATCAATTTGAAATCACTGAAAGGTTTACGTGAATGTTGCTCCAAGTCGAACGTTGCGGCGGCTGCAAGGACGGGAGTGAACAAGGCCTGGTTAAAAATAACTGGATCGGCAGATACCCTGACCTTATTCACGCTCCTATGCACGCTACGCCTTGCCTTGCAGTTTACATACAATGTCTACGCGAAAACAATACCTTCATATGCATACGTGCGCCTTGGGGCTCGCACACTTGCTTCTGCCCGTGAACGGTTGTTGATCATCGATGGCACTGGCTGGCATATTCTGGTTCTGAGCCTTGAGGTCAAACCAATTCGCGGCTGGTTTGGTAAGATATTTCTCATTCCCCGTCGCCCAAACATGCGATGAAAATGATTTCATCTGGCCTGATACGCCGACTTAACGGGACTAAGATCGATGTTCCGGGGCGAAATGGCGGTCCCGCCCGTCCAAAGCCAGCCCAAGGTGCCGGGAAGTGGAGGGCTGGCCGCGAGCGCCGTTCTGGGCACGAGGGCTCAAGGTTCAGCAAGCCTGTTTCGGTTCGCTCAGCATAAGCCCCATGACGATCCAGGGCATATGCGCCGAACTTGGTTCCGCACCTTCCCCACCCATAGGGCTTGTTTCAGCCCCAAGGCACCCCAGGGTACCTCCCGCCCCTGACCTTGAGTGATAGGCGGAGTGGGCGAAAGGTGTGTCTACCAGATCGAAGACGCGCCGACACCAGTCTCATCTGAAGTATCATGCAGCCTTCTTGGATACCCAAGTATCGCAGTCGAATTTCATGCTGGAGACCATCGCAGACAGGGCCACCTTGGCGGGCTCTTCAGTTTACCCGATGATCTACAAAGCCTTTCGTCTTCCCAAATAAGATGCACTAGGCGATCATATTGAGATCACCATTGATCCCGACATCAGATGCATCACTATGGCTGCTCGACGCGCCGACTTCGATTCGTCTCTGTTGTTTATTGATCATTCTCTTTAAGTTTTGTTTGTTTTAGTCATTTCTTCGCGTCTCTATTCGCATCTGCTTAGCCGTGCTGGGCCACGGCGACGGTCACTCACTATGGACAAATTCCGGAAGAAGGGCCAGAGCATTAAGCTCTTTTTCAAGACGGACTGGAATATCGTCCGGGGCAAACGATATGCCCGACGAGGCGGCAGGGCGATACGATATGGTGCCGGACGCTACCTCGCGAACAGGTTTCCCATCGTTCAGTGGATTGCATTTTACAGTCCAAAATGGTTGTTTGGTGATTTGGTTTCGGGGTTGACTGTTGGGATCGTGCTGGCACTTCAAGCCGTCAACCTGACATCGTCAGCCGGAGGAACTATTTCAACTCAGCAAACTCTCATCGCCAGCTGGCTTCCTGGCTTCATATATGCCTTGACTGGGTCTTCCAAGCGTAAGTCCACATCTATCGCCCATGCTTTTGTTGATTCGTTTGGGCTTGGGTGACTGACTGAAAGGCTCCGAGGCAGATATCAGCATCGGCCCAACCTCAGCAGGCACTTTGCTGTCCCTCCAAATCATCGGACCCTTTGCCGCAGCGGCCCGAATTCCTCCCTTTGTTATATTGCCGGCGCTCACATTCTGTGTCGGGATATGGTTCCTGCTGTTTGGCGTGCTGGGACTCGGCTTTTTGTTCGATCTCATACCCACCTCGATCAGCCTGGCTGTCGTCACGACAATTGCTCTCAATCTCGTGCTTGTCCAGATCCCCACGTTCCTTGGCTTGAATGGGATACCTCCGATCGTCCCAGCGATTCCGCCCGCTGTTATCCAACAATTCGGCAACATCAGTCTGAAAACACTTGCAATCAGCATTTCAGCCATCCTGTTCCTAGTGGCTCTCGGCTTCGTCTCCCGGAAATGGGGGAAGAACAAGAATGTCGGAGGCAGAGCCGCTCAGGCTGGGTCCAACATGAGCAGTGTCATGGTTGTCTTGATATTTACCATCGTCAGCTTCCTCTTCCTGCAGAGTCTCCCAATAAGTCAACAAGTCGTGCCAGCAGCTCCCCCAGCGATGATAGGTGCTGCCACAGCACCTGTCTCCAGTGCCCCAGAAACTTCTCGGCCACAAACCTCAGTCAACACCACCAGCACTGGGGCGACGCAGATAGTCATCCCAGCCAAACGGAACGAGCTCTTATTTGGCCCGGGAGCTGATTTCCCCTCTGGAAACATCGGCTCGGGGTTGCAGGGTCGCAGTGAACTACTACCGAGCGGTCAGCCTTCGAACGTCTCGGTCACTGCAGCTTCTGCTGCTCCCGGGGCTGGCGCTCCACAACAACTACCAAAGCTGCCTTTCTGGGCTGTGTTCCCCGTATTCACCGCATCCATAGTCTCTCCACTTCCACCGATCTTCGATCTCGTCAAGGCCCTGTTTCTTCCCAGCCTGCTCGTCTTCATCGTGCTTAACATCGAGCACATTGTGATCGCCAAGACCTTCGGCCACTACCACACGTACTCCATTTCTCAGAATTCCGAAATGTTTGCCGCCGGCCTTTCGAACCTGGCCGGAGCATTCTTCGGTGGCGTCCCCGTGGGAGGTGGAGACATGGCCAGGTCCTCGCTGCTGGCCGTGACAGGGGCAAAGAGTCCGCTTAACCAGATCATGACCTCTGTTACTGTTCTCGTGGCCATGATGCCATTGAGTGGTGCGCTGAGATTCTTCCCTCAGGCCGCGCTGTCTGCCATCATAGTAGTCGCAGTGATCGACCAGCAGCCGCCTCAGAAGCTGCTCGGCGACTACTTCCGGCTCTCATTCGCCGAGTTCTTCGCTTTCTTCATGGCTTTCAACATCGCCATCGTCGTCCCAGCAGTAGGGGTTGCAATCGGAACAGCCGTGGGCGTGGGGCTGCTGGTGCTCTATACGATGTTCAGAGGCATGTTCTCTCGGCCCAGGGCCGTATCCGCCCACGACCTTGAGAGCATGTATAAAGAAAGGGAATTAAGGCCGTGGCAGCAGGGCGAACACATCCCACAGGGTACCCAGGTGCTGAAACTAGAGGCAGACATGACATGGACAAATGCCGACCGCTTCAGGAGGAGCATCGTCGACACATGCATGGTGCACCACTCGGGCCTGCCCGTCGATAGCCCAGAGCAGCCTGAGCGGCCTTGGAACTTCCACATCCACGAGCACGTGGCGGCGCTGCGGCGGGAACACAGCGCCACGCTCGACGACGATGACTCCGAGGCCCTGATGCCCCACCGCCCGCGCCTGCGCGTCGTTGTGCTGGACATGACTTCGGTTTCCTTCATCGACTCGTCCGCGATACTGAATCTGGAAATGATGAAGAGGCAGCTGCGCGAGTGGGCCGGAGAGAGCGTGGAATTTCGGTTTGTGGGGCTGAATGCGCGCGTTCTCAAGAGGTTTGAGAGGGCCAAGTGGGAGGTGGTCGACCATTGTGGGCCGCCTGTGGTGGAGGCAGGGCCGGACTACAGGACAAGGGACTTGAAATTTGACCACCTGCCACTCGCCATACACTTTATGAACCCGGAAGTGACCCTGGACGGAATGTGGGAGGAGGTGGCAGTTGTCATGGATGGGTATGAGAAGGCGTATGTCTAGAGACTGCCGCTATAGGACGTCACAGCTGGTGTCGGGCGTGCTGTGCCCTCCCCAGTTCTCGATCGCAATTAGAGGCTTGGAAGTAATTAATCAATTCTCGTTGAGCTGCAAGCAATGAGCTTTGACAGTCCCCGCTATCTCCTACCACAACTTCCCGATGTATTCACCAAACCTTTAAGAGGCAGCATTCGGCGGTACGGTGACGCGGATAACACGTCCAAGCTTGTACCACTTGGTGTACAGGTTGCGCATGACCGTGGCCTTGGTCAAGTACCTCTCTCCGTTAGCCCCCTCGACCATGAACTTTTCCTGGACCTTGCCTCCCTTGCCGCCCTTGCCCTTACGACTGACCCCCTCCTCGAAGGGCCCCGTTACATTGATGTCGCCCACAACCAGGAGCCCGCATTTCTGGCGGGAGGTTAAACACCGTCAGACGGTTCTCATCCGAGGTGAACCCCGGACCTGGCCTTGGGTACGCGGTGCCCATTATGACCACGGCAATGTCGCCTTCCCGGCCGTGGAACGATTCCACCGTCGACGCCGGCTGCATCGTGGCAAGGGCGGAGTACTCGGGTCTCCTGCGCATCCGGCGGATGAGGTCGACATTGCCTGTGTACGGCGCGATGAGAGCCAGGCGGGCCGGGTCTGCCCGCTTGGTCTTGACGAAGTCGGCGAGGAAGTCCAGCGCAATCCTGACCTGGTCGGGGCTCCGCTTCGACTTAGTGAGCTCGTCGACGAACACCCGGGAGCCCTCGCAGTGGAGAAAGATCGGGAGCAGCCTGTCCTTGGGCGCCGGCTTGACCTCGGGATACCTGGCCTGCACATACTCCTCAAGAGCGCGGCCGAGGGCGAACTGCGGCTGGTCGACGCGGCAGCTCGGGGCGTACTCGAAGGGGGTGTCTGGGTAGATGAGCTCGGAAAGCCAGTCGTACATGCCCTCTGCCATGCGGAGCTGCGTCAAGAGGCGGTAGACGGGGATGCCGGACGCCTGGAGGGCCTCCAGGGGCGAGATCTTGCCATCCTCCACGAAACGGTGTAGGAGGTTGCCCTCGGCGTCCTGCTCCTGCCCAGTCATGACCACTGGCCGCAGTTGTCTTGGGTCACCGCCGAGGACGCAGGGCAGCAACGTGTTTCCCCAGACGCAGTAGAGATCGGCCCGGTGGATGCAGGCGGCCTCGTCCACCACAACAGCACGGGCCTGGGACGTCTTCCACCCCAAGTAGGCGTCGTGGTTATCGGTCATGGCCGGGGTGGTGCACAAGATGTCGGTCTCGGAGACGAGGACGTTGAGTAGCTCCACAAGGGCGTTCGAGGAAACCATTTCTCCCTTGGAGTACTCCTCCCAAGACGTCTTGCCAGTGGCCAGGTCGCGGAGCGCGGCGAAGTCCTCCTGCTCGTCGATATGGTTCTGAAGATCGAACAAGGCAGGGCTGTCGTCGGGGCGCAGTTGTCGGACGCCCGAGACCTCGGCGCGGAACAGCGCAAGCAACCAGAAGGCACCCGACAGGGGGAACGTCCACTTGGATGTCGCTTTCCAGCCACGGTGAGGAACGGCGTTCTCCTTGTCATGCGGGTTGCGCAGGAGGTTCTCGAAGGCTTGGACCTCGTCGAAAGGCCTGAAACCGCGGAGGACGACGTTGTACTTGGCGCGGGTTGGGTCTTCCGGATGCTTGCCCTCATTGAAGCGCTCGACGACTCTTGTGGTGACCTGGTCGACGCGGGAAGCCAGATTGTCGACCGACACATTGGTAGGGCCGGAGCAGAGGACCCTGCCAATCTGTCTGCACATGGCGACAGCGGCGGCGGCGACAGCGGTCGTCTTGCCAAAGCCCGGACCCTATGATTACACAGCGGTTAGTGGGTTGATGACCAAGAGGATGGAAGGAAATGCTAATTGCTCACTGCAGTGATGATACCAAGTCCCAGCAGGCGTTTCGACATGTAGGCGCGGAATCGTTGACGGTCCGCGGGCAGGGCCTCTTCCACGACGGCGTCGGCGTACCCGTCTGAACCCAGGAGATCGACGACGGGGAGCTGTCGCAGCTCGGCGGGGGCCGTGTCGCCCAGGGAAAGATTGCCCATAGCAGTCGATGCATCGTCAGGACCGGCGACGGCGGGCTTGGCGGCCATGAATTGGTAGAAGCCGGTTCCGCGCAGCAGAGCTCGATGCAGCTCCATCTTGACCTTGGTGTCATCGTCGGGCTCGGTGCCGTCTGCCTTGGGGGCGCCAGAGACGAAGAGGCACGCAGCGTCCACCTTTCTCGCAAAGTCGTCGAGCCGCGAGTCGAATTCGAGAGAAGCGCAACTCTATTGCCGCTTTCCTTTCTCCAACGCAGCATTGGCTGAGGCGCGGTCACCGAAAGACTTGACAGCGAATGTGGGCCCACGCTCTTTGTGGGCGGGCAGGGGACGACGGACATAGAGCACGAGTTCGTACTTGTCGGTGGGATGCGCTGCGAGGGCTTCGACACCGTCGGGGTGATTCACGATCTTGCAGTCCCTGGGTGAATGTTAGTTGCTGATCGATGTCAAGCGTTGAAACACATTGGCTCGAGGAATTCAGACATACCAGTGGGCTTTTGCCTTGTCGTCGCTCTCGTCACTGAAGAGCGTGAGCTGGAAGGACTCGACCTTGGTCAGGCGACGCCAGGCACTATCGAAACGCTCGCGGAACTCGGCCGTCAGAGGCATGACGACGTAGAAGCTCTGGGTGTCTTCGTCGGCGAGCGGGCCACTGTTGACGAAGTACGCCGGGAACTTGATGTCGGCGATCTCATTGGCAGCGTCGTCAAGCCACACTACGTCCTGGACGACGGCCTGGGTCACCACAGCGACGTGTGAGTTGTCATCATCAAAGCTACATAAGTAGAGTCAGCGTACAGACAGGCAGCATTTAAACAAGAAGGCTGTTGCTTACCTGTAGGCCGGCTGGAAAGCACGCGGGCTCTTGGTCTGCGCGATGAGCTCCCGGTACTTGTCCATGTCCCATTTGTGGTCAGTGCCGTATGGGTAGCTGAAGGGCGCGGGGAGCAGGGCTGGGTTCCAGTTCTTCTGGACCTCGCGCGTGGCATAGGCCACAAGGAAGTAGAACTTGCGCTGCTGGATGACGCCGACGAGGGTGTAGTCGCCTGCGATCGCCTTGGTGTTGTCGACCCATGACTCGAGCTCGGGGTCAGCTGGGTTAGCGAAGGGAAGTCCGAATCCGTCAACGACCACGTCGGCATTGTCCTGGAGCTCGACGGTGACAAGCGCGAGGCCCTTCTCCTTGGCCTTGGCGTTGGGGAAACGCACGAGAACCGTTGGCGGGGCATCCTCTACCTTGTGGATTGCGCCGCGAGGGAACTTGACGGTGATGCGGTGCTGGTCGTAGGGCAGGACCTTGCCGCCAGCCACAGTGCGATCCACTGGCAGTCCATGTCAGCTCAGAACACTGGTGAATCGCATGGGTGGGGCTTGAGACTTGCATTTATAGCGCACGCCGAACCCAGAAGCCTCGTTGGCGTCTTGCGCGAGAGGGAACGCGAGCTGGAAGCCCATCCAGTGGGTGGTGTCAGCGACGCGGTAGGCGACCAGACGCGCGCCGATCTTGGAGTTGTTGCCAAGGTCTTTGCCGCTCGCGATGATGGGGCCCGCGGGGTTGTCGACCAGGACAGCGCAGTCTTTGGCCCACGTCTTGGGTGCTGACTTGGGGGTGTTGCCAGCCATCTTGGTCGTGCCGATGCTCTGTTGAGACATGACGGATGAAGTGTGAGTGGCGGTGAAGGGGAGAGAATAGGAAAAAGGAAGCAGAGTGCAACGGCTCGGCCGAGCAAAAGTAGCAGCCTCCTCAGAGAACTGGTGGTGGGATCCAAAGTCCGTTAGTAGCTCAAGCAGTCGTCCACCCACCTAGGTAGATGCGCACAAAATCGCCGAACACTTGAAGGACAAGTACCCGCCTCCTAAAAGAGCTGGTGGCTGTTGAGGAGTCAGCTTTCGGTGCTCAGTAAGTTGCGAACTCCTCCAGTTCAGCAGGGCTTCCGAACAACTCCTACCTGTAATTAATAAAGAATAAATGATAGACCCAAGCCTATCGCGGCCAAACCGACGAGGTAATTAGTCTGTGCAAACAGGGACAAATATGCGCAAGTCGCTGGTTGTTGAAGAAAAAAAGAGGGGGGGGGGACAGAAAGTCGAGGGTAGCGAGAACTACTTCCAGCACACCTAATTTTTAATTATAGTTATTTAAAACTTAGCTCTTTTTAATTTATAGATTGTAAAATATTTAATAGTTAAAAGAATAAGAAGAGTATTAAAAGAATAGAAGAGTTATTATAATAAAAAATAATATAAATAAATTAAAAAAAGAAAAATATTAAAAAATAAACTATAAAACTAAAGGAACTTAACATCTTAAATATTTTAAATTATAAAAATCCTAGATAGAAATATAATTTTATATAAGCTTAATATTTAACATATTACATTAGGTAATTTATTGAAAATCGATGGGTAGATAGTGAGACAGACCCGTCAACTGCTACATAACAGACGTCCCGGCTAAAAAGACCATGATAACCAATTTTAATTGCTTATCTAGCAGTATATAAGCTCCAGACAGTCGCAGATAGATAAAAGCTGGGTAGGTAGACCTAAGCTGCTTCCAGCGCTTCGTATATCGTCGACGTCGCGCCTTGAAAGCTCAAAAGAACACAATCTCTTCAAGGGTCGAAGAAGTATGGTGGTCTCCCCCGCCTTTTAGGGTCAGGCTGCCGCCTTGCAATCTCCTCCTCCTCCTATGCGTAGCACCTGGAGGCGGGGGTACAAATTTGCCTCATTCTTTCCATAGCGGCGACCACCAGAGCCTCATCACAAACCCCACCGTCTAGCGGCTTCATAGCCTCCTCTTCGATCAAGTAACAGTCACCGTACTCTGGTCAGTCCTTTGGGTCAATCACACAGTGGTCACGGTACGGATACCGTGGAAGTTCGTGACGAAATCTGTAGATATTGTGATCAACCTTTCCGCGGTAGCGGTGCCAACACCATTTGTTTTCCTGGGTGATGCGGACTGGGAGTGGGTAGAGGCTGGTGTCTGCTTGTGGGCTTGGGCTTGGTGATAACAGGAAGTCCAGAAGATCGGTGAATTGTCTTTCGGTAGGTGGTGCAAGAATGGAAGCACTTTTTGGGGAGACCAGATATTCACACCCGCAAAAACGGAGGGTACACCCATACCAGGCAACTTAGAGATTAAAGTACTCAGGTTAACACTAAACTAGTTATCTTATAGTCTTATCCTATAGTATATTATCCTAAATAAGGTTATCCTTAAGGAGGTTATTCTATAGGAGGTTATTCTATAGGAGGTTATTCTGGGAGGCTATCCTAGGATGTTATCCTATAAGAGGTTGTCCTGTAGGAGGCTGTCCTGTAGGAGGTTATTCTAGGAGGCTATTCTAGGAGCTTATCCTGTAAGAGGTTGTCCTGTAGGAGGTTGTCCTGTAGGAGGTTGTCCTGTAGGAGGTTGTTCTATAGGAGGTTGTCCTGTAGGAGGCTATCCTATATGAATTTATTCTGTAGGAGGTTCTCCTAGAGGTTGTCCTTAGGTATACCCTCCGTTTTTGCGGGTGCGAATATCCGATCTCCTTTTTGGGTTGTGTAAGTAGACACCATTGCACTGCATAGTAGATTAGACACCATAGTCTCTGCTTTGAATGGGAAATGTTATATTTAACCTAAACTTGATGTTGCTTACCTCTTCTTCATCTCTTCCACGGTCAAAGAGAACAACACCTCCGAATATATGATGCTCTGCCCAGTATCCAACAATATCTGCCAAGCCGTTTGGATATCTATCAGAATCCACATAAAGGTCTACATAGAATGGGGTGGGCAGTCCGTATATGGTGTGCATGTACTGGTCTCCTCCTTCGGAAGCCAATGCAAGCTATTTTGTACGCCATTCCTCCCACTCAGCTTGTTTATGAGTACCGTCGTCTAGTTGATAGAGAGAAACAGCAATATTGTGACAGGCAATTACAACCATTTCAAGGAGGCGGAGCTTGTACGCTATAGTGTCCGGAGATGTGTTTTGGTAGGCCCGTAGAAGCTATAATATAAGAGAACGGATATTCGCACCCGCGAAAACGGTTGGTACACCCGCTATTAAAATAAGTATATTATTTAATTACTAATTTAATTTAAATAAATAATATTTAAAATATATATATTAAATATCCTTTAAAGTTTTATTTAATATTAATATAAAATTTAAGTTTATAATTATAATTATAAAATTAATATTTAATAAATAGTAGTAAATCTTAATTTTTATAAAAAGAGTTATATTATAATTATTCTTTTAACTTTAAGTAAGATTTTCTTTTAATTATAAAAAGTAATATTAGATTATAATATAAAAAGTAAGGTATTTAATTATATTTTTTATATTCTTATAACTTTATTAAAAATTAACTTATAATTTAATAAATAATAATTATTTATTAATTAAAAATATAAATAAAAATAAAACTATAATTTTAATTAACTTTAATTTTATATATATAAATACTTAAAAATAGAATTAAATAAAAGGATATTTTATATAACTATATATTTATATATAACTTTTTTATAAAAAAATAAAAAGGGTATAAGTGGGTATACTATCCGTTTTTATAGGTGCGAATATCCGTTCTCTAATACAAACATGAGCCCACTTCTAATATTAGATACTCCTAGTACGTATTGACTCACCTTCGGCTCAAACTCGACAGAATTAATCTCGAATTGAGAGCGAAAAGCCCGTATCTTGTCCATAGTTCCAGGGCACAAGTCCTTGTGATCAAGGACAGGGAATTCCTCACAGAATCCATGGTCCTCTTCATAGATCTTGCTGATTGGCATCCCATCAACAATCTGGGCATGCGTTAACTCAGAAATTGGTGTAGACAGAAGGTTGGCCATGGCGTGTTCGAAGGAGGCTTGATGCTGTGCATCCAGGACGGTCAGAGACATGGTCGCTGATGCAGAAGCTTTAGTGAAGGCTGTGCAGCTCTGTGCCCGGAAACGAGTGTTTGGTTGCCACAAGGTTCTTGATGCCACTGGAGAGTTTAGTAGGCGAGATTGAAGGTCGAAGAGACGCGGGATGCCAACGGGTGCGGGGATCAGCACCTTAAATACTTATATTTGTTAACTCTGCCTTAGTAAGTAAGCATGGGGGTGGGTCCCATCTGTTGGCTCCGACCTTGCTCTACTTTTACCGGCTGTGCAAGTGGGTTCCAAGTGAGAATCAATGCTCTTTGACGGAAAGTCCCGACAGCGAGTGTTTATTGGAAGCTCGATTCGACTGGTCCACTGCTACCTAGGCTTCCAGGTGGGTGCACTTTGGAGCATTCTCAAGCACACAGAAACTGCATTGCTTCGCATGCTGTGCCACCACTAGCCTCGTACGACATACATGCACAAGAAATGGTGGAATACTCCTGCGTCACATACCAGTAAGTTGTAGAAGATAGGTGATGCTGTTTAGCTTTGAAACCTTGTGATCTCTTTCATGCAAGACACCTCTGGGAAATTTGGATAATTGCAACTTGACTCTGATCTTCCATTGAAAGGCCTTTTCTAACAGGAGGTGTTGCGGATTCTTATAGTTAAACATAGAGGCCTGATCGTCTCAAATTTAACTATATCCAACATGAACAGGACTTGAAGCTGGCTTGCTGAGGTAGCTCAAGCTACTCATCGCGCGTGGTATCTGAGAAGCCACAATTACTCTAGGCGTCCAACATGCCGACTGGAGTCCGCAACTGTAGCACCAAACACACTTTTCCCAAATCGCCAATAAGACGAGGTCATTTACCAACCGGGAATAGGCCTGAACCGCAAATACATGCCTCCCTCGGGCTTCATCGTGATGACGCCCTGCACACGCGGTTCCTCCTTGGTGTGCAGCTCAATCTCAAACTTGCCAATGACACCCGCCACGGCACACCTCAGCTCGGCCTTGGCAAAGTCGCGGCCTATACACGCCCTCGGCCCGTGGAGGAAGGTCAGCTCGGCAAAGTTGGTAGACGTGCCGCCCGTCTTGTTGGGCCGCAGCGTGCCGTCGTCGGCCTTGTCGATCCACCGCTCCGGTACGATCATGTGTGGGTTCTCCCAGAAGTTGGAGTGCCTGTTGATCGCATAGGGGACGAGCAGGAAGTCCGTGCCCTTTGGGATATGGTAGCCTGCGACGGTGGTATCCTTGCTGGCCTCCCGGACGGTGGAGGGCACGACGGGATAGAGACGCAAGGTCTCCTCGCACACGCCGTTGAGATAGGGCATGCCCTCCAGGAGCTCCGAGGTGATCGCCGCGTCGTGAGACGGGATTGTCTCGTGGATCTCGGCTCTGAGCTTCTTCTGGATCTCAGGGTATTTTGCACAGAGGTAACAGGTCCATGTCAAGGCGCTGGCGGTTGTCTCATGCTGGTGCGCGTTGTCAGTCAGTACGTGTTCACTCGTGTCGTGGCTCGCGTGGACTTACCCCTGCAGCCAAGAATGTTAGCATCTGGTCGCCGACTTCAACGTCGGTGAAGTCACCAGTCTGAATGATCCGCGACAAGATATCGTGCTCGGACAGGTCGCCGCCTTCCTGCAGTTCAAACTTTTTCTGCTTGATGATATCCCGGCAGACGCCACGGAGGAATGTGCCGATTTCGTTCAGGGTCTTGTTCTCTTTGAGGGGCAGCACTCGGATCAGCCATTCGGGGATCATGAAATGCAGGGCCAAGAAGACGAGCCTGCTGACTTCGGGTCGAAGAAGCTCGATGAACGCGTCGGCGATGTCGTTCTGTTTGGCTGTCAAAGACTTGAAGTCTCTTCCCATTGCGGTAGGGCCGATTATGTCTAATGTGAGTTTGCTGATCCTCAAGTGTCAGCACGCGTTCCTCTTTTCTTTATTCCACGAAACAATCAGTCTCGGCCTACCTTGCCCACTCGCTGAGCTCAACAATACCGAAACCATCGTCCCCGTCGGGGTTCTTGGCCACATCCTTCTCCAGCTCTCCCAGCAGTATATTCGTCTTCTCCCACATGAAATTGTACAGCTCGCGTATCCTGCGAATATGGAACGCAGGAGTGAGGATCCTTTTCTGATGCTTGTGCTCGGCTCCCTCGCTCATGATGAGGCCCCAGCCGATAGCCCGCCCGAGGAACGCTCGCACGCCCCATTGCTTTTCAAAGTCGTACGCGTTGGTATTGAGAATGTCACGCAGGGCTTCTGGCCCTGTCACCAGGATTGGCGCCAGGCCGATCGTCCCGGGCATCCTGAGAAGCTGGGCGTCGGGCTTCATTTCCATCCACCGGAGTGCAGACTTCCCGCGGGGAGACTCGTAAAGAATCTGTCCGCGGTTGCGTTCCTTTTCGAACTAGGTCAGGCCGATGCACCACTTCGGTTTGTACGCGCGGAGTAGACTTACACCACTGATGGTTGGAACATTCCTCAGCGGATCTCGGAAGCGTGGGTATAAGATGAATTTGTCGATGAGCTGGGCAATGAACGATAGAGTCAAAGAGCTTGCATAGGGTCGATTTAGTAACAAATTTGGGGCAATGGCAGGCCGAAACACAGATAGGAGATAGCCCAACAACCCTCCAAGAGCTAAGACCTTGAGCAGGAATAGCTCGAGTGCACGTCCAGGATTCATTGCTTCTGCAGTAATTCACGAGCCTGACATTTAGCTTGCACGTTGCGATTTGGAAATGTTTGTTGATGGCGCGCTCAGAGATCTTTATTCAATTGTAAATCTGATGTCCGGTCTGAAACCGCGCGAGGTCGGTGCCATCACAGGTCACCCAGTAGAGGGTCAGTGCCTCGGCAGATGGCTGAAACATCTGAATGGACGCTGACGCTGCGTGCGTGCCGCCTAGCTCGCGGCAAGGAGGACCCTGGACGTGGTCAGCCAACAACACAAGCTCGTTCGCAATTACCATATGCGGCCCATAGGAGACGGCGCTTCATCTGATGACGATTCCGCCTTGGTGTGGTTGAGTGCATGTGAAAGCCAACCCCACGGAATGCACACAGCCAACTGCGATGCAGTCAAAACACCTATATATTACGCTGCCAATCATCAAATATTAACCCGCGGCCGAGGCCAGCGATGACGCGTTTTCCACGCAACGTCACACACGCCCTACAATTAGCCCTGATGCTTTGGAAACGTAGAAAGTGTTCCCGATGCCGAAGGCAATCCATGTGTCGAATCGGATTTCCGAGGTCTATTAGAATCCAGATAAGTCAGCGCACCGGTCTGCACACATCCCCACCAATGTACATTATTTCTTAACTATATAATATATTATTATTAATTCTATATAACTTTTTAAATTCTAAATTAAATATATATTATAAGTATAGTTAATATTTATATAATAATATAGTTTTTATTATATAAATAATATTATTTATAATAATAAATTAAAATATATAAACTTTATATTTTTATTAATAAATAAATCTATTTAAATATTAAAAATAAGTAAGCTATTTTATTTAAATTTTTATTTTTATTTATATATATAATAACTTTTATAATAAAAAGAATAAGTAAGTATTTTTAAAAGAATTATTTAAAGTTAGAAATTTCTATTTTAAAGTTTCTTTACTAAATATAAGAAATATTTTTAAACTTTTAAGTTATTATAAAAATATAGCTTTTAATAATATTTATAATTTATTATATATGAAAAATCTATTAAATTATTTAAATTAAAATTAAAGAGTTTCTATTTATAGAAAATTAATAGAATTAATTATTAAAGATTTTAAAAAGTAGAGTAAACTCCCTACTCTTTTACTCTACTTTTTAAATCTTTAATAATTAATTCTATTAATTTTCTATAAATAGAAACTTTTAAAATATATATAAATATTATAATAATATATATTTTTATAATAAAACTTATATTATTATTTAATTAAATTAAATTTAAAATTAAATTTTAATATTTTAACTAATTTCTATATTAATTATTAATTATTTAATTAAAAAGGAAAATATTAAACTTTAATAATTTATTTCTAACTTATAGTAATATTTATTAATAATTTAAATTTTTATTTACTATAAATAAAAAATTTAGTTTTTAATAGCATTAAATTTATTTATATAGTATTTTTATAGAATTAAATAAAGTCTAGTAAAAATCAACCTTTTTAGTGGGAAATACGTGTGCGTTAGTGGGGATGTGCGCAGACCGGTGCGTGGAGTAAATATAATAGAGAAAAAAGCCCCACATATTATTAAAACTTAAATAATTAATTAAAGAAGAATTCTATAAATAGAAGCTCTTTTTATAAATACTTATTAATATTAATTACTTTTTTTAATAAAGTAAAGTAATTAAATTTATTATTAATTAACCTTAAAATTATAATATTAATATAGTATATAAAAAGTAAAAAATATCTATTTATAGTTATCTAACTATATTAGGATTAGGTTAGAATTATTTAAATTTTATTAGTATATAGAATGAAAAATAGGAATTTAATGAGTATTTTTTCCTATATATAGTATTTTTCTAGAATAAATTAGAGAGGGCTTAAAATCGGGCTTTTTGGTGGGAAATGCGTGTGCGGGAAGGGGGTGGTGCGTGGAGTGGGTCGTTGACTTAGTGATTGAGTACCTAGGCTGATATGTATATAGAACCTAGTGGTGTCGTTAACTTTTAGGTGGAAATAAGTTGTGAGTAGACTTACTATGCGCTTAACTTCGGTAAACGAATAGTATCGCGGGCTAAAAGCGCCGGGCTGCGCAACTCCATCCTAACCCATCTGTAGGTGGCATAAGCGACCTCCTTAACAGAGAAGTCTTTTCCAACGGACCATGCTGTGGGTGGATTAAGTGCCTGGACGCTGTTCTCCAGCGAATCATCGTCGGACACAGTAACTCCATGGCTTCGAAGAAACTTCCTGAGAATGTCTGCAACTCAGTTGTCGGGTGTAGAGGACTTACCTCCGAGACCCATACGCTCTTGTGATAGGCATATTACCTGTCTCGTGTCCATGCCCTCTGCGGGGTCAGGCTCATTGGACAAGAGATATGGAACTAACATCTCGAGTTCAACTCCAAATGTGATTCCCTGCGCCGGGCTTGTTGATGAGGAAGCCATTGTGTAATCGTGAAGTGACTTCGGTTGTAGTTGTGAGCTTTGTAGATGTGGAAGTACAAAATTTGGTTCCTGTGTGTGTGTGTGTGTGTGTGTGGTTGGTTACGAGGAAATCACAGTAGAAGGATGGGGATATCTCGCACATTTATAAGAAGGTTGGACGGGATGGGTATGGGTTTCGGGCCATACAATGGCATTGTCTTCATGGCATGCACCTTCAATTGTCCTTTTCTACCCAGACACAATGGAAGCGCCACAATGGCGTTGTGAATTAAACTGCCCGTGGGATCTCCTTTCTTAGATTAGACAGGCTTACTGCATGGGCTGTAGTTGGCCCCTATTACGGTGCGCACCTTATGTCCTGCTAATAAGATAACTATCTCGTGCGATTGGAAAGTCTGTGCTATCTATCTACCTGGATATGAATCCCTTGTGTTGAGCTGCCACTGACTCCAGAAGAGTCACGGTGTCATAATCTAACTATGCTAAAGGTGAGGTGGGGTGAGTCTAAAGTGAGCTTTACTAAATTTCATGCGTGTTGGGGAGCCGGTAGCCTAGATCTTAGGCTAGGTTAGAAGGCTAATAATTTATAACTATATCTAGTCTGCTTTCTAGCTACCCTTTACTTTCTCACTGAGAGTGCTGCACCTACGCTACGCCCACGAGCCAGTCCCACCGCGCGCTGTTCTAAGGTAGATAATATTTTCGATGGTAGCAGTTCCTAACGCCTAGGGTCCTTCAGCAGACGATACACCCCTATTATTCCTAACAAATCTCCAGAATGAGGTATCTACCGACAATCACTCTTTAGGCGTTGTTCTTAATCCGTATAAGACACTTGGATCGCCCAGAAGCGCCCTATGCCTGGAGATTGTTTTTCTCCATACCTCACATGTACAGCCTTGTACTTCAACTGAAAGTTTTCGTGTGGTGATAACCTTCTCATATTGATCATATTTCTATAAGATGAAAACGAGCGTGACTGTACCTCAGTAGGAATTCAACAGTAAACATGACCAAGTCTCTCCCGTACTTCAAAGTCAGCCCTGCTGACGTGTGTTCAACTGCCATCCCTTGATGTCCCCTTCGTAGCTTCTACTCCAGCCCAGCTGAAACGACCGAGACCATGCCCGCCAACGAGCTCTCTCTTCTCAGGCTTGATCGAAGAATAGCAAGCAGAGCACTTACACTGAGCCGCTATGAAGCCTGTCGCCCCATCTCTTGCACTCTAGCTGCAACAGCAGGTGGAACTGGCAGACGTTGTGCGGCTGCCTGTACCTGAGGACCTTCGCCTTGAGCCCTGATGTTTGAGATGGCAATGCTTTGCGCCTCCACGTCCCGGGGGTTAGCTGGCTTCCTCTGACCCGTGTTTGGTGTGACACACTAACCAGGGGTTTGTACGTAAATGGGCCTGGATTTGCATCCTCTGGAGAGGGGCCGGAGTTCTGCAGCCTTCTTGGACCTATTTCCGGATGTTTCCAGTTTGATTGGTTATCGCAGACCAACAGCACAACGCCGCAGGGCTGTTGGGATCATCAGACATTTAGCGGGGGCTGTGACATCATACCTGCTCAAGCTGCCTTCAGCTTCCCTAGATATGAACTTACCAGGGGCCTTTTCAGTCGACATTCCGCTGGGGCTCTATTAGTTACCCTTCAAATCTCAAAGTTCTGCATTCTATGTACCCTAGGGTAAGCTCTGCCCTAGCACCAAGGACAATGGAGGACCATTCGAACGCGCAGCAGATCCGCATGGTGATACAACAGCGGGTTGAAACATACAACGTTCTCTTCCTCGATCGCATGACGCCGCTCTTGAAGAAGGAGGTTCGCCATGCGGTCAAAGTTCACACAGAAATTCTCAACCTTGCAACGCCCAAGACTTCAAAGCGCAGCCATGTGCTGGACCAACTCGGGGACCTTGACACATTACATGACCACCTCACGGAACACTGGGCCAAGGTCCACGGGGACCTTGTCCTCCGATCTTCTCTCTTAACGGACATAGCACTGTTTCAAGTGTTCCTCGCTGAGAAACTGTTGCAGGACTACACTGGAAAGTTGTTCGAGCCCACCCCCTGGGCTTTGAACCAAGCCAGCCTAGTTGAGCTGCACTCTACTGGTGCGGCCGACAGTGGTAGAACAAATGCAGATGCTGCGTACGACCGTCACATCGACTTTCCGCTACAAGAGATGATGCTAGACCCAGGCCACGCCGCGGAAAAGCTCAGAACACTCACAAGGCAACCAAAACATCCCGGGGGCGATATTCAACAACTGATCGACCAATGCGACTGGCACAGCTTGGCCACCACTTTGGTCAACGACCGGGCGCTTGCTGCCGAGCTCTTTCAGCAAGCGCCTATAGATCCGGACGCTTTTGACGCCAATACGAGCAAGAAGGTCTTGCGAGGGATGGATCAGATAGCAGCCAAGTATTTCACAGAGCTTGCATCCCCTTCCAATTACACACCCAGCAGGCTCGCCATCCAGAGATCAGCCAAGCGATCCTCGGGCGCTGCAGATACTATGTCACCGGACGTTGTGTCGTACGCCGAAGAACCATCCTTGGTAGCTAGCGCAAAAGAAATTTACGGCAGGCTCGCCAACGGTCTCGGTCTAAGCGGGATGAGTTCCAACCTCAGATCCCTCGCCCATAATCCCTCTTCTATTAGCCTAGACGAAAAGGCTCGCCTTTTCGACGACAGAAAGAAGACGGAATGATGTTGAAGCTTAATGGGGAGGCAGAAGAGCTGATCTGTCTCGGGATGAAATGTGCGTCCCATAGCTGACTGGTACCTGCGGCATCTGAACATTGGCATAATTGCAGCACAATGACCGCTTACAGTTGTTGGGTAGCTCGGCGAGCAGCTCACCTGGCGAATCGACAAGATGGCCATGCTTGTAACGAAAGCCATCCTCTGGCTCGCCGATGTCATCATAAGCCAATCTATTCAGTCAATAGCTTAGGAAATAAGATCAAGCCTGCCCATGTCCGTCTCAATACCCGAGGGATAGACTTGTCATTAGATCCTCTTACTCTCCCCTTACGGAAGAAATCCTTGGCGGCATTGCACGGTGGCATGGTTAGGGCTGTATGGGATGTGACGGCTGGGCGTCGAGAAGAGGAGATGCGGTTCTTTGGAGCTAGTAAGTAGAAACACGAGGAGGCGGTCGATACACTGAGGGACACAACAGGCGCAAATTCACAAACGACTAGCGACACGCTTGGCCAGCTGGCAACATCAATTTATGTGGCAGGTATTTTCAAAGAGTGCGTTGTGGCCACGGTATGATAACCGAATGTATTCTTGACCGAGTTTTGAGAGATAAAATGATCACTTAAGTATTTCGAGGATCCTAGACATGTGCTATTAGGCTATATGCGACATGCACTTTTCTTTTAAAAGATATTAAGGTCATCGAGGTAATATTAAGAGATTAAATGTACCTAAGCCTGTGAATAAGAGCAGAGACGTAAGTAGAACAACACATGGAGTGTGACAATAATGTAGATGAAACTTTTATTAGGACAATCTACCACCAAAAGCCGGCCTCGAGATTTAGGACCACGCCTTGTTTAACACTAGGTCTTGAGTGTTTATTACTATATGAAGGCACTACGTGTAGCTTCGGCTGCATACGGAATAGAAACAGTGTTAGTTAAATTAGAATGCACACCGGAGAAGGTAATTAACGCAGAACGGAACAAATGTTTATTTGCCACAAGATGTTTGAAAATCCGGGCCCTGAAGCAATGACAGCGGCACATGCAGAGGGCCGCCGTGCCACCGGGCGGGCACCCGCGGACATCTATCTGGTGGAGCCGCGCGGATATCTGGTGGAGCCGCGAACAGCCCCAGGATTCCTTCCCGGGGACTCTCCCCTGCCGTCACCTGTTGTCGCTGGCAAGGAGGCTTGAAATGCCAGGCGGTAGGAGATCAGTTGTACACGAAACGGAGGTTGAGGAAAACACCTGCGGTCCGTCGGGTCAGGTTTGTCAGCATGTATGCGATGCACATCATCGGCGCCGGAGCAACTTGAGGGATGTAGAAATCAAGGACATCTGGAGGATACTCGTCTAACCTGTTAGATACTCACACAGCTTTTCTAAGTAATAACAGGTCCTACTTAATTAAGGGCCATTATTACCCCAAGAGGTACTTGATCTTCATAGTGTCAAGAAATAAAAAGGAGGCAGATTAGTCCCGAGGTCCTCTCAGCTCGTATTAAACATACCAGCCCTAGTCACAGCCCTGTACTACGGTTTATAGCTTCACCCCATTGTCCTACCCCGGATAAGTACTGAAGTAATTTGTTAGGTTTTAATAGAATTAAAAGCAGTCCCTTAAATTTGGTAGGTTTGGTAGGCCTGCTAGTAGTTCGGTCGGGGGCTATCAATTAATGTACTTAGTCAGAAATGATAGTGTAGATATCTCAAATCGTTTTTACTTGCACTAGCCTTTTGCTCCCAGGAGCAAATAAAAATCACAAACTCGATGCCGATCGGTTCGAGGTGCAATAGTCCTACCTTTACAGCGAGTTTATCTCAAATATTTAAATACCCTTAACCAGGCCTACAGCCTAACCGTTACTTACATAATATATAAGTATAGACTCCCCACCCATTCTAAATAGAGAGTTTACATATATAAATTATTTATACTACTAAATACCCTAATACTAAAATAAAAATATATATAACTTAATATAAACTCCCTACCTATTTTAAATAGGGACTCTACACCTTATAGTAATTTTATAATTAAATTAATTATTAAGTAATATTTAAATATAAATAAAAAATATTTAAAATTAAAATATAAAAAATTTAAAATAAAATATAGAGTTTATATATATATTAAAATAATAACTTTATATTACTTATAAATAATATTATAATAAATAAATTTAATCTTAATTAAAAAGTCTCTTAAAATATAAAATTAATTTAATATTCTTATAATATACTTTTAAAATTATAAAATAATTATTTAATAAATTTAAATATACTTATTTAAAAATAAAATAAAGTATAAAATATAGTCTATTTAACTATTTATATTTATTTTATTAATTATAATATTTATAAATCTTATTTTTATAAAAGATTATTTATTATTAAAATAAACTTATCTATTAATATTTTTATTATAATACTTAAATATAAATAAATATAAATATATTTATAAATATATAATTTATAAACTTTTATAACCCCTTATAAAATCTTATTTAATAAAGCTATAAATATAATTAAAAATATAACTAACTATTCTCTAACCTATAATAGTTAAATAAAAACTATAATTATATTATTAAAAGGTTAAAATATTATATTAATTACTATTATTAAGTATAGAAAAGTGTATTTTAATATATATTTATAAAACTATAAAATAAAATTATAATTTATTTTATACCCCTTATTAAACTTAAAAGAATAAATTAAGAATATTATATTTAATATAGTTAGTTTATACCTATTTAAGTTAATATAAACTTATATTTAAAGGTATATATAACTATTATTTTATATTATAAACTCCTATTTATTATAAATAAAAATCTATTATTTTAAATATTATTTATATTTAAATAAAATCTAATTATATAAAGGAAAATAAACTATAAAGAGTATATTTATATTATAATAAGTTTTAAATAAATATTAAATACTTACTTTTAAAACTTTATTATAACCTATTATTTAATAGTATAATTAATACTATAATTATTAATAAAGTATATATAATTATTATATAAAAAAGGAGTTTTAACTACCTTTTCCTTATCTATTAAATTAAACTACTAATATTATAATTAATATCTTTATTTATATATATAGCTATATTTAATTAGATTAATTAAAATTATATTTTTAAATATATAAAGTTAAATATTAATAATATTAAAATAATTTATATTTTAGTTAATTAATTTAAGTTATTAATTATTATATAACCTTTTTCTATAAATATTTATTTAATTTTATATATTTATATTTCTTATTTAATAATATAAATTTTATTAATTTTATAGTTATAATTAAAACTCTTATTTATATTAATAATAAGAATTTATTCCTTTAGATTTAAACTTTTTAATTAAATACCTTAAGGAAAAATATAGTTTTTAAAATAAATAGGTTATAAACTTTATAAAATAGTTTAATATAAATATTTAAAAGTTAAACTAAAATTTAATATTTAAAAATATAAAAGTTACATTTTAAATATTATATTATACTATTAATTATATTATTTAATATTAAATTTAATATTAGTAATATTAAAATTATTATATAGTTTAACCTATTATAAAATCCTAATATTTTAGACTTATAGTAATATAATAGATATAATATAAAGAAAATATTTAAATAAAAATAATTTATAATTTTTACCTTTTACTATTAATTTAACTATTTAGGTATAGATAGAATATAGCCTTAATTATTAATAGAACCTTTACTTTTAAAGTTTATTTAAAAGTTAAATACTTATTAACCTATATAATTTAATTATTTTATAAAATAATACTTTTAAAGGATAATATAGTTATTAAATAAATAAGTTATAAAATAAATAATATAAAAATTAATATTAATATAATTTTAAAAGTTAATAATATATTTAAAAAGCTATAAATATTTTAAGTTAAATAAAAATAAATAAAATAAGGCTATATTATTATAAAATATATAGAATATTTAACTTAAAAGTAATTACTATTTAAGATTAATAAATAAGGAAAATTAAATTTAAAATATAAGATATTCTTAAATATTAAATACTTTTAGGTTTATATTATAAATTACTTTTAAGAACCTAATAGTATAGATTTTAAATATAAAAGATTTATAAATTTAAAACTTTATTATAATAATAAAATATATTAAAATAATAATATAATATTTAAAATATTATTATTTAATCTTTATATATTTTTCAATAATAAAAGTTATATATAAATATTTTAAATAATATAACTTTTAAGTTATTTTTAATATAGTATATTAAAAGGTTTAATATCTTATATTAATATTAATTTATTACTTTATATTTATTAATAGAATATTTATAGAAAATAAAGTTTAATATATAATTAATTATTTATATTATAAAGTTAAAAATAAAAAGGTAATTTAAATAAATTATATTAAATATAAATAGCCTTAAATAACTTATAAAAGAGTTTAAATTTTAAAAATAAAATTCCTTAATAAAAGGTAATAAACTATTTAATTTACTATAAAATTAGGTATTAATAGTTTAAAAAGGCTAATATTATTTAAAAGGATAGATTAGGAAGAATAAATTAAAAGTATTATATAATAAAGAAGCTAGCTAGAAGTAATTCTAATAAATAATTAGTATAAGTAAATAAATAATATTTAAATAAAGCTTAATTATTAATTTAATTAAAGGCTTTATTTAAATAATATAAACTTTTACTTTAATATAATAGAGAGTTTATACTATTTAATATTATACCTAAAATATTAAAAGTACTACTTATAAATATAATATTTTTAAAATAGTTACTAATAATAATAATAGTAATAATAGTAATAATAATAATAATTATAATAATAATAATATATTTATATAATATTTTTTATATTTTATTTTATAAATTTAAATTAATATTTTTAAATAATATTTAATAATTTTAAAATTATAAGGAAATGGTAGTAAAGAAGGTAGTAAAGTAAATAGTAGTAATCTTAATATATAATTCTTTTATAATATATAATATTAAAATTAATTAGTAAACTCCTTATTTATTTTAATAAAAGTTTATTAATTAAATTAAAGGATATATATTATATTAATTTCTTTATTTTTATTAACTTTTACTAACTTAATTTATAATATTTATATAGATTATATTAAGATATATATTTTTATTATTAAAGAATATTACTTT